AAGTTTTAATCTTTTTTTCTTTAAAGTGTATGCGAATGTCTTACCTGAAGTAATACATAGCTAGATAAGATAAAGAAACATATCAATGTGGATATGCATGTAATGTACAGATATATAATATCAAAGAATATATTAATAAAACATTTTTCTAATGAAAATGTTTTGTTTTCTTAGTTGCTATCACGGCAAGCAGTTCTCAGTATTTAAAAATTGCAACGGTTTGTGGGAAAAAACATGTGAAAGAAAAGTCAATGTTTTTGTGATGTTTTGCTAGAATGTTGCATGCAAGTAGATCTTTGTCCGGGATAGACTGAGTTGTTTTAAGGCTATTTAAATTAAAAATGATGTAAACTAATTATTCTGTTATTTACTTTCTACTAACATCATAAAACATCATAAATAAAGATTTATGTACATTAAATGTGAACATATTTTTATCTTGATTAGTTTGTGTTGGAATTAAAGCGTAAATATTAGAAAACGTGACATTTCTGAGATTTTACCGTAACATCAAATAAAGCTTGTGACTTAATCTGCGATTCATCCTTTGGTAGCGATGGCTCAGTTCTCGCGAATTATAAATTCTTTAAATTTTAAATTATTAGCTAAAAGAACATTTGTTTCACTTCCAAAAAACCACTATAGTGTCTGCATATTATGTAAAAATAGTTTCATAAGCAAAACAAGTTGTGTCCTTCCAAAACATCCAAAAAATTGTAAGTTAATAAAATTCGTCCTTATTGCTCTCTGATTGCATCATTTAATGACAACTAAAATGACGATAGAGAAATTTTAGGATTTGTAAAAAGGAAAAACTTTAATTTTCCATTTATATCTATCATTAAATTATTTTAGCTAATGTCTGCAATGCAAGAAACTTTCACACAACAAACAACCTTCTTCGGAGAGATTATTATCAAATACTAGGAGTGAGCAAAAACGCGTCTGCAAAGGACATCAAAAAAGCTTACTATCAATTAGCCAAAAAATATCATCCTGATACCAATAAAAACGATAATGACTCTTCAAAGAAATTTCAAGAAGTTTCTGAAGCTTACGAGGTTAGTTTTCATCTTTTATTTACATTTCTTTTGATTGTAGGTCAAGACAGATTTTCATTTTTAATTCTCCTCCTTTTCTAGGTTTTAAGTGATGAAACAAAACGTAAAGAATATGACACATATGGACAAACATCAGAAGAAATGGGAAGACAAGGTGGAGGCTTCAGGCCGGGTGCTGGATTTGGTCCTCAAGGTTTCAGTCAGAATTGGCAATATCGATCAACGATAGATCCAGAAGAATTATTTAGAAAAATTTTCGGAGATGCAAGCTTTCGTTCCGGAAGTTTTGATGACTTCTCAGAGTCGCAATACGGCTTTGGTGCAGCACAAGAAGTTGTAATGAATCTGACATTTGCTCAAGCAGCTCGTGGTGTTAATAAAGATATCGATGTGAACGTAGTTGACACATGCTTAAAATGTCATGGATCAAGATGTGAACCAGGAACAAAGCCAGGCAAATGTCAATATTGCAATGGCACTGGAATGGAAACGATTTCGACTGGACCTTTTGTGATGCGTTCAACGTGTAGATATTGCCAAGGAACGAGGATGTATATCAAGTTTCCATGCAATGAATGTGACGGTAAAGGTCAGACAGTTCAAAGAAAGCGAGTGACTGTGCCAGTTCCTGCTGGCATTGAAGATGGTCAAACTGTGAGAATGAATGTTGGCAACAAAGAACTTTTTATAACTTTCAAAGTTGAAAAAAGTCGCTACTTTAAACGTGATGGTGCTGATGTACATACAAATGCAGAGATTTCACTTTCTCAAGCAGTGCTTGGTGGAACAATTCGAATTCAAGGCGTTTATGAAGATCAGACAATACAAATTATGCCTGGAACGTCATCACATTACACAGTGACAATGACAGGTAAAGGATTGAAACGCGTCAACTCATCAGGCAATGGTGATCATTACATTCATTTGAAAATCGCCATTCCGAAGAAACTTACAGAGAAACAAAAATCGCTGATTCAGGTAAAGATTTCTTTAATCATTTCGGGGTTTAATTTTATAAATTTTTTATAATTTTCAAGGCTTATGCTGAACTAGAAAAGGACACGCCAGGTCAAATCTTTGGCATAACATTTAAAAGTGATGGTAAGTCGTCATCGTCATCTTCGTCATCAACTGATGAGAATATTTCTGAAAAGTTCACTCAAAGACCCAAAGATGAAGACACTTACTATGAAGAACATGATATTAGAGACACTCGCGAATACAAAAATAGTCGGATAACTCCGAGATTTTATTTCTCTTTGGGGTTGGCATTAGTGTTCTTGGGATTCTTCTTCTTTGTAACTGATAATAAACAGAATATCATTGATTATGAGCGTGATAAAGCATTAAATGAATTACGAAGAAAACAAGAAGAGAAAGATCCTTTTGATGATGCTTAAGATTGAAATGCTTTGCCTAATACTTAGTGAAATAATCAATTGTAGGGAAATTATTGATAAAACACGCATAGGATTGTATTTCTAATATTTAAATGAAATAAAATTGAATTAAGTTATAAAACGTGTTTTATTAATAATTTCACTACAATTCAAATTGAAATATAAAATTATTAATAATTCTAAATTTATAGGAACAAGACAAAGTTATGCTGAACCACAAGATCTAACAGAGATGGTAAGAGAAGCTCTCAAAGATAAAAAGCCAATCGCTGATAAAACAACAGACAAACCAACAAATGAGTCGGATGAAGATATCAAGAAGCGAAGTAAGATTTGAAGTGAAAGTCTTTAAACATTTAATTCATTTTACAAACAATTGAATGAATGAAAATATAAATTTAAATAGTTATCTATCTGATATTTGTAATGCAAAGTATAATAATTACTAGAATTTCTAATTATTAAGTTCCATTTATGAAAGAAATAAAAACAAACTTTTAAATGAAAATACTTAAAATAGTTTTAATGTGAAATCAATGAGAATAAATTCTTCAGTTTATTTAATTACTTAGATTCCATTCTCATAATTATAATTAACAATTGACGGATTAAAACGCTTTGTTAGTTTTTTTTTAATTTTATAGAAACTAGAATTGTTGATTAATGTTGAGTCAACACACAATTTGAAGCACGAGCTGCGACAGTTTGATTAACTTACAGATGATTCAGATTATGTTGATGAGATTACACCTTGTCAAGCTAAATCAAGTCGAGTGTTACATTCAATAAGCAGCCCAATGCAAGCCTTAAATTGCATGGGAAAACAATATCGTCAATTAATTTATGCCGATTCACTGTCAAGGTTACAACAGTTGAACAAATGACTAAATAATAGTAATGAATAACTAAATGTTTACTTCATAATGTTCATGATATCTCTTAAACATGCAAAGTGGTTTAACTGGTTTCGGTCATGTGGGAAAATATTAATAAAAAAATATCCAAAGATCCATAAAACTCGAATGTGTAATAAAATTCCTGCAATATTTAAAACTTTGAGAGTTTTGATTGATGGATGGATGACAATTTGGGAATTAATAAATGTTCAAGAAATTAATTTTAAATTATTATCCAGGAGATGATGTTGGACGATGAAAAATTTAAATGGATAAAATATTTAAATGTGAAAAGTGGAAATTTATGTTTTATCGATAAACTTCAATATGTTTGAATGTGCGATATCGATAGCTAACTTCATCAGCTTACAAGATTAGAATCAACATCAAGATTCACATATTTAAGTTAATAAAATACCTTGAACGATTGATTAATAAGAAACACAATCGGAATTTAATTATAACGTTTGTTGTGTTGATACAAACTTGCAATTTTAAGAATCTGAAGTGAAAATTAAATATCGCATCTAAATGCTACACATGTTGGGACGTACGTCTAATAACAAAGCTCTATTGCGATTGATATGTTAATGCAATATCTAATTAGAATCTTGAGTATTGATCAAATATGCATAGCAATGGCATTCTAAACAATTTTGTTGTGTGCTATGAATAACTTTATAACTATAAACAATATAATCTGGATGATCATTCGAAATATTCTGACATCAAATGCAACGCTCCCATCATTCCCTCTAATTAGTCATCATATAGCAATCAAGTAATTTTCACGGGAAAAAACTGAGTCACATCAATGACAGAATTTAATTAGAGCTTCTAGAAGCTCGTGAGAAGTTATATGTGAAATTGATTCGCCAGGAAATCAGAACTCTACACACATGTTCGCTTGTGCTACCTTCCGTCAATATCATAAATCAAAAGTTCAGTCGAAAAACTCACAAAAATTTGGTAAAGCTGTCATATTAACGAATTTTCTATCAGATTTAAGAATCATTTATTGCCATTATTTAGAACCGACAACAATATTTTTCCCACAATTATAAAATGAAACGAAAATTCCTAAAGATAATTAATGAACTCCGATGCCGCTGAATGTATAAAGTCAAAGACTTCTGATAGGTTTGGATCGTATACAGTTGATGGCCACTTATTGTCATTGTTTAAGATTACAAAGAAAATAATTTATTCCACTTTCATCTTCATTTGACCTACTGACAATGTCTTCAAGACACGTGTGAAATCCACCAGTTAATCATCATTCATCTTCATAATTCAGCAATCAAAATGCGCCGTGCATTGCAGGCATCAACAAGTGACAACGATTGTACATTTAGTTTTTATGTTGATGTTGTGTCTTTAAATAATAACTTCAGTAGTCAATCTCTTGAACATAAGTAACTCTCAACACTTTAATTATATATTTTACCCTTAAATACATTTCTTTAAAGTCGCAATACTCAGTTGTTGTGTGATGTTATTACGAGCTATCTCGTAAATCATTAAATTGCAAATAATTTATTAATTAAGTATTCATGACGTTACCTTTTACTTTTTGTTTTTATTTTGTTTGTGCTTCACATTTAGATTCTTTATTCATCATTTGATTGCGGTATTCAACGATGAAAACGTGCATGCCGAGGACATCAATGACACATATTTTCATTCATTAAGACTTCGATAATATGAGAAAATAATCGATGATGGAAAAGCCTTTAAAAGAAAAATGCTTCCGTTACGATCAAGGGTGTTGATGTGTTTGAAGGCTCCGTAGATTGTGAAAACAATGACAGTAGAAAGTACTGAAATATCAAAGGATATGTACGGGCATAGAAGGCACTTCGTTCCAATAGTCTACAATCAACAATACAAAAGATTTTATTCAATGAACAAAATAAAGTTTGCTAACCTTTGTCATTCCAATCAAGAAAAGGATTGTAAATATGAAATACGATCCGAAGACAAACACAAACAGCGTATTCAATGTGTCGCATTTTTCTAAATAATATTAAAGTGTGTAATCAATTAAGCGCCTTTGAAGAAAAAAAGTAAAATTCACCTTGCCTTGAACATTCCGCTGTAAGTCGAAGTCAATATTAGTTAAGTTCATATTGCCAAACATCAATCGATAGTACCAATTACCACCCTCGTTAATATGACGTGTAAACTCTGATGTTTGAAAGTTTTTGTAATCGAAGATCTTCCCATAATAAACAGCTGAATATGACATGAAACTCCAAATGCACAACTCTAACCACATGTAAACGTAAATCGCATGTGATTTATGCAAATTGATGAAAATGTTAAGCTTTGATCTCATCGCTTAAATATTTTTATCAGCTTTAAGATGCAAAACGCACGATAATAAAAATTCGACACGATGATTAAATAAGTTGACTTTTCAAAGTTTTCTTTGTTGATTCAGATGTCATAAGATGATGAATGAACACCGCTTGCTGTCATCTTCGTACCCTTTTTTCTCATTTTCTATGAGTCAATCGACCTAAACGAAGTAATTTCTTCAAATTTCTCTGACAATGAATTTCTTTTATTTGATTTTCATTCCGATAAAATCAAATTGCGTTGCATAATTTTCTTAAATCGACAAACTATTTGAAAAATATATTGCTAAAAGGTTTCGTATCATTTGCTTCACACTCGCACCAATATTTCGTCATCAATGAAATTGAAATGCAGGCACGTCCACATTGTACATTGTTGGGCATCATTTATGCGAAAGCATTTAAGTCTTCTGTTTGTCTTGTCGTGTTTCATTTAAACGCTTTTTATTTTATTTCTGTCTCTCTTATTTCTTGTCACATGTGAGTACTTACGCTTACTTACAAGTCGAAACGAATTATTCATGGATATGAATTGTTTTTACAACATTTCGCAGCTCTTATGATACAATGGGTCATTTGCTTATTTATCTTTGGCGTTTTCCCTCATACGAAAATATAAAAAAGACTTCAAAGAGAATCATTCAATTGTTTTATTCTTTTTTCAAGTTTCTGGAAAATTATTAAATAATATGAGCTTGAATGGAATGATGATTAGCTTGTAGTCATCCACGTTTTTCCCTACGTGGCATGACTCGGTGTGATGACTTTGTTTATGAATAGAGAAGCATTGAAGGTCTACTTTGGGAGGTCTTCTCACTTCCACCCCAATTTCCGTAAAACATTCTTGTGAATTAATCACTCGTTCTTTTACCTGATACCATCATTACCACGAAATCTTATTCACCGTAAATTTGTCATCAAACAATTGTAATTACCGCGATAAACAAATCGTAAAAAGTGAGCGAGAATTGTCATTATGAAGAGCACAATTGTTCACTGACAGTTTTAATTTAATAGTTAAATCATCGTTCTGAATGACCTGAGTGACATTCGTTAAGTGTGCATCGCTATAATTATATGAGCTAATATCGGTACGTGTTGGAACTGTTATTGATTATTCCATAACTGATACTTATTGCCTTCATAAAACAGGAACAGTTGATGGTAAAATAAATTCTCGGCTCTATTAAACAAAGATCGACGCTCGGCGTCAATTAGTTACATAAACGAACTAATTTTATGATTTCGTTTTTTAAATATTTTATCTAAATATTTCTCATATTACAACAAGTTCATTCAATCATCATTGGAATTTAACTGGCAATTCATGGGCATATGATGGAAGTTGTATTGGTTTAATAAGCGTAGAAAAGCATTTTTGTTTACTTCGATATTAATAATAATAAAAAAAGTATTCCGTAGCTTAAAAGGCGTCAAATCGTTTGAAAATTTAGATTAAATCATCAATTACCATCTCAAAGGGTCGTTTAAATAAAAAGAATTATTATGGACGCGTTGTTGTCATCTAAATCTCAGTCTTAACTCAAATGCAAAATTCGCAATCGTCGTCCTATTAACCTTGAGATGACTACGAACAAATACAAAACGTGAGTGTTTTAAATAAATATCTGAAATGTTTTTTTTTCTTCTTTGAGTCAATCTCTTCATTCTCCTGGACATGGTTTGATGTGTTTGAAGGAAAACATTTTTCATGATACATATAGGGAACGGCTACGATCAAAATGTGCGGTGCGCAATAAGATTTATTCTTGTAGTTCAACAGAAGTCGAAATGATGTTATCTGAAGATTAATGGTTTCATCAATTGAAACAAAGTCAAATATCATGAAGAGTGAAGTCGTCAATCAGAAGCTACAAGCAATCTCCTAAATTGACCGTCGATTCATCATGCCACTTAATATTGTAAAACTTCATCGAAAGTGAAACTGAAATAATCTTCGAGAATGAAGGAGAATGAAATAAATGTTGAATGAAGAATGAAGTAAGAAAAAAAACAACGCAAAATGATTTCTTCTTCTTAATCATTTTTCTGAGATTTTTATTTTTTATTTTCATGTCAAAATTCAATAAAAACGACATCACGTACAAAGCTTAGACTTAATATTTACATTCACATAATCTTATGATGTTATCATTAATTCTTTATTCTTTATTCTTTTTTCTTGCGAAAGCGAGCGACACGATAATCGTAAAGGGACTAGTTAAATATTTTAAATGATGTTATTAAATTTATGAGAAGATTAAGGTAACTTTAAGGGAACTTATCTAATGGTCGCTTTCCTTCTTCTCAATTTGAAGCAGCACCGGGAAGCGTCAAAAATCACGCTCTAATCTTAAAGGCAGAATACTGAAACATATTTCACGTAATTTATGGTCATTGGAGCGCTCTGTCTGTGATTCATGATAAATAAACTTCTTGCAGACGCGCTTAAGAGTCATAAAAGTTGAATTTTTTAAATGTTTTGTTGGTGTTTAACGCTCGCGCGAGTTAAGAAAAATAAAATTAAAATTGGCTTTGAAAAAAACTAAGAAAACGAAACAAAAAGCAAAGATTTCGAATCATATAAAAGTTCAGCGTTTTTGATCTGTTTACCTTCTTGTGTTTTATGAGTTTCCATGACGTAAACGAACAAAAGAAGTTAGAAAATTAAATTAAATACTTAACAAACATTATTATAAAAGCACTCTGTAAGATAGTCGATGTGGTTGTTTTGTAATAATGTGGAGCTGAGTTACCGTACTGACCAGTGTACTGACCTCCAATACTACCTAAGGAAATTGGTGTTGTTGATGAAATGCCTCCTAACCCCGCTCCTAAATTGTTATCATTAATCTCATAGATCGGACCACTACCACCAATATTGAGAATATTCTCTTCGATTAACGACGGACGACCGGTGTGAACATATGATAAAGTTCCTGTCTTTGATCGAAGAATTCTGAAGTTAATTTTATCTTCGCTTAGCCGACCAGCGACGAAGTTGAAGAGACGATTAACAACGACATATAAATTTCCCGACTCATCAAAGCCCATACCTGTTAGTTGATTGAAAATGACAAATTTAGATAAAAAAGGAAATAAAAAAATCACTCACCGTCAGTCCATTGAATGTGCGTGTCATCCTTCGCCACGACTTGTTGATTCTCAAGTGTGAATGGACGATACGAGTCCCATTTACAAATTGCATGATTTCTCAAAAGACCATAATAAAGCATTCCATAGTTGTCCATAATCATTCCGTCAGTCTGAAATCATCGTGAAGCAAATAAAATAAATTTCACCATCAAGTCTGACGGCTCAAAACAAGTCGCAAGAAAAGACAAAAAAGATACACAGAATCGTCTCGTATGTTTATTTACCTGCGATGTTTTTAATCCATGATCAGTGACAACTTCAAACATTTGCCTGGGTGTGGCCCTACGACTAAACTCCGGATCGCGTAAACGAGATGCCGGTATCGAGTAGAGATGGAAGCTGCTGAGTGGTGCATAATAAACATTTCGTTCATAATTCTGTTCGATACTGTAAGTTCCACTGGAATCTAAATTAACATCACCAGTTTGTGGATTGTAATATGGACCGAGTGCAATTCCATCAATATGAATTGAAAAATTTAATTGCGTTCCATTGACAGCAAAGTCAAGTGCATCACGATTAGCACGCATCGAACTATTTTCCCGAACTTTCCACGATCTGTTAATCTTTCTCGAAAAAACGACAATGCCGGGATCAGCTCCATTGTTATCTGTGATGTAAGCAAATTCACCATTTGTATCGTCAATGACGATTTTGTTTAAATAGTTTGTGCCACGAGCGACGACATCATCGGGAAAGTCATATCGAAGAATTAATGTTCCATTACGTTTAAGGTCGAAAAGCATAAGCTTTGGATTACAAACAAGTTGATTGTTTGCTGTGGAGAGGAAGTTAGAAATGAGTAATTAGGAAGATGAGATCATCGAATGATTAACCTGGTAGTAAAGTGTTCACTCGACCACTATCAACAGCCCATAAAATTCCTCGCGCATCAACAGCGATGCCTTGAACGAATTGAAGTGCGGAACAATTTCCGATCTCGTTCATTTGTAAGCTTGGATAAGGTTCGATTTCTGGATCAGTTTTTCCGTTGTTATCAGGTGCAATGATGTAACCTAATGTCGCTGGTGATCCGGGAAGCATTCTTGGAATTGTCTAAGACAATGAAAATGTTTTGGTCAATACCTAATTTCGTCGTCATTTCTCATTTAGAAGTTCTTACTAAATACAATCTGTTAGCGTAAGGTTTAATATCTGAGATGATGACATTCCTAGGAATGTATTCGCCTCTAAAAATAGCAGCACTTCTCTCTTGTTCATTTCGGAACGCAAAATCTAATGTTCGCCATTCGTAGACCACTCGAAATTGCCTTTCAGTTGGTGATACGTCGGGACGGTTGCGTTCTCTTTGCAATCGTACACACGAACAAAGTTGAAGTATTATTAAAGCGTATGTGATAGATCTTGCGATCATTTTTAAAGTCACTTCTAGAATCAATTTTGAACAATAATCAGGTGAGAAAAAAAATAATTAATAATGACTCAAAATACTTATTAGCAAAATTATAACACATAAAAAAATCGTTTAAAAAGAGATCAAATGAAGAACGAATTGAAAGCAAAGCAACGAATTATTATTTTTCTTTATTGTTCGTCTATCCGACGAAGTAACCACAAATGTAATTAAAATCTCAAATCACTTTGCATGTTTAAGAAGAAAGAAAAAAAACAATCAACAACGTAAATTCGTTCAAATGCTTGAGCTGCTAATTTGTTAACAACAAAGCTGTTAATTTAATTCTCAAATATTGCAGTAGAAGAAGAATCAACGATTGATATTGTCGGTCGCATGTTGATGAACAAATAAAAAGCCACAAAAGGCATTTTTCTTTCACGTTCAATGAAGCGTACAATGGATTCAGTTGTCACCAAGTGAGTGTACTTGAAGACATAATGGAATTAGATTTCTTTAATAGAATGATTCTTATGATGCTCTCAATTCAACCGACATTTACTTTAACGATCAAGGAACTAGAAAGACGACGATTTTCAGTTGCAATTGAATGTATTTATAAAAAAATTAATTAATTTTTTTCCTTTTAATTAAAATTTAATTCAAGATCCATAACAATGACTTAACACAAAGATCGTGAAGTGTCACATTTTTTTATTATTATTTTGAATCAATAATAGTGCGTGCCAATCGGAACACAACAGAAAGTCAAGTCATCCGTTCTCAAGGAAAGCATTTGAATATTTAAATATTTTAAGTTTTGCTAATCACGACTTTAATTTACAGTAGAGAACTACATTAAATGCATTTTTAAGCATTGTTTAATCACAGCATAAAAGAACTTCAAGTACAAGCTTTATGGGCTATTTCGAGACTTTTCACAACAAATTCACGCTTTTGGGATTTTAAATTAAATCAAGTTTGAGCCCTTCAACGGGTCTTAACACACTTCTTTGTTATTGTTATTAAATGCTTGGCTACGGGCTTAACAATACTCCAATTGTGATGCAATGCCGGTATTTAGCTTATCTTTTGACATATTTGACAACAAAAAATTTCACTTTCATTTTCTTGTTTTAATTGAACTTTTCTCTCAAAAATTTTTCATCTTTTTTCAAAATTTCCCTTCAACAATTTCCGACAATTTATTTTTTTACTTTCATTCGGTGATCTTAACATAATATGACATGATGAGACGTACAATTATGTTGACAGTGATTGAGTTTTCTCATAAATTTTCCACAGCAATTAAAAAAAGTCTTCAGACAACAATTAAAATGTTAAAACATAAAAATAAATTCACTGAAGCGCACAAGACGCGATTTGTTTGTTTTCCTTCTCGTCTTCACCGATTTTAATCGAAACGACAAGTTGAAAATCTGAAAAAGTACTAAGCTTTTTGAGTTGATTGCTCAACAGCTTTATAGGAATTCGTTCGTTTGCTCAATGTATGTGTGTTGTCTCTCTTCTCCATCGACACTCTCAAATGTTTCGCAGCAAACAAACGATTTTTTCTTTTATTTTTATTATCTTCAGTGTCAGCGACTTAGCGAACAGCGATCTGTTGACCGTTTTAGCGACAAGTGTAAATACTTACGGCATGTGCCAACCACATCAACGGTGAATAAGGGAATGCTGTCTTTTTAATGGGAAAAGCAAGCATAAAAAACTATCTTCATTAGCCATACAGTGACTTCAAAATTTCCACAATTATGAAATATTTTTATTGTTAAGGTGTGGGCGTTGGTTGATGAAACGAAACAGAAGCATTTATAATTTTATTTTCTTTCATTTCTTTAACAACAATTTGAATGTTTACAAAGTTTTCTTCACAAAAGCTACAAAATCTTTGTAGAGAACATCGGGAAGTTGAAGGGCAGCAAAATGACCGCCATGATCAAAGAAGGATACGTGAATAATATTTTTGAATCGTTCTTGTGTCACGAATTTAAATTGATGTTGAATCTCGTGACGGAAATGTGCAACACCTGTTGGAGGCTCAACGGCAACACGCTCCATCGGGTAAGGTTTTCTAAACGCTTCTTTATAGATTCTCGCCGCTGTAACAGCTGCATTGTTCAAGTAGTAAATCATTATATTGTCAAGTAAGGCATCAAGTTTAAAATCATTTTTTTCAAAGCCACCATCAGATAGTTTACGATAATCTCGGTTTGTTGCTGTTGAGAACTTCTCGAGAATGTAAGCAGCAAGTCCCACTGGATTGTTACTTAAAGCTATTCCAATTGTGTCAGGTTTTGTTCCTTGAATATGGAAATATCCAGTTTCTTGTAAAAGAAAGAGAAATTCTTTAGTGTATGGATACATCCAGCTGATCTTGTCACTCTCTTCAATAAAGAATGAAGGGAAGAATGAAGCGATTGTTGTCTTAATCATTGAAAGAGTTGTGCGATGAGTAATGAAGTTTGTGTGATAGCCAATAACATTTTCAGGGAACAAAGCTGTCAAATGAGCTCCGATGACACCACCCTTGAAAATTTAAAGTTTATTAAACTTTGTAGAAATTACTAAAAGAATTTACTCACCCAATCTCCTCCTTGAATGTAAAACCTTTCGAATCCAACACGCAGCATCAAATTTCTCAAAACGACAGCCATTTTTTCAGGTCCCAAACCTTTCCTAGCTGCACCTTTACTAAATCCAAATCCAGGAAGACTTGGCGCAATCACTTCAAAAGCAATATTGTTATCAGAGGATTGAGTTAGCAACGGGAGCATTTCATAAAACTCTCGAACACTTCCAGGCCATCCATGCAACAATAAAAGAGGAAAAACTTTCGTTTCTTTAGGAACATTTGGTTTGATGTGAATGAAATGAATATTGAGGCCTTGAATTTGTGTCTTAAATTGTGTAAATTTATTTAAGAATTCTTGTTGTGCATTCCATTTAGGCAAGTATGAATCTTTCCAATACTTCACGATGTCCTTGAGTTTGTTCGAATTAAAACCATACTCAAATGCAACGTCTTCAAGTGGATCAGTAAATTGATCAGCATCTTCCAAACGATTCTTTAGTTTAATGATCACCTAAAAACATAAAAAGAAGAAAAACTTGATCAAAATGTTAATTTTTTCATTAATAATTCTTCATACTTCACCGGGAACTTCGATTTTGAAAGGTTTGATTGAAGTGTCTTCTTTATAATCTCTGGAATCGCCTTTACCCCAAAACTCTTTTAAATCAAAGATTGGTCGAGGTAAATTTTTTGATAAGCTTGTATATTTCTGATAGCAATATGCTATAATCAAGCACAATATACCCAGGAATAATTTAGAATATTCCATCTTCAACAGATACGACGAAAGATTTAGAAATCTAAAATTAAAATTATTAAAACTGAATGAGTTATCTAATTAATCCATTTGTTTATCGATAAAATCTTTATTTGTTAGAAGCTTGGTGACAAGCTAGAATGACTGTCGAGAATTACTTAATAATCACCGTATCAAAGGTCAAATATTTCCTAAATTAAAGTCCAGATAAAAAAACGCTTCTGTATTCACCGTGATTTGATCGCAAACTGAATAAAATGTAAGCTGAAGTTGTAGTCTTCATATCAATATGAGGCACATGACAAGCATATGATAAGAACATAAGATAAGAAATGAATGAAAAGTTATAAATTCAATAAATTGAATTTAAAGTAAACAAAAACTCGTAGAACACGTAACGAGTTAAATTCAAATTGATTAATAACGTAGCATGCCCCGCTTTAAACGGAAAGGTGAGCAAGATTTAGAGATAGACTTTTCGAATTATTTGCCAGTTTTGTAGCATTGTGAAAATAATAAATTAATGTATGTTACACAGCGTCGAAAGTGCTGGGCTTACATTTTTAACAAACTTTTTTAATAATCATCTCGATTGTAAAAGATTCACTTAAATTATTACGGAAATGAGGAAGAAATTATAAACATTTGAATTGTGACGTTATTTTGAAATACTCTGCAAAAAACAATTGAGAGGGAAGTTTCTTTTAAATTTTGACTAAAACAAAAATTATAAAACTCGTGGAAATCTTGAAGAAATTGTGAAAAAATTATCAAAATCTCAAGATAAACAGTTTGTAAAGTTATTGCCATCAAAATTTAGTGGATAAAAGTGATGAACAATCATAAACTGAGTACGTAAAAATTTTTTTGTTTGGGTTTGGTTTGCAAATTTTTATAACCGAGTTTTGTCAATGAAAGTGACGCATGATCTTCATTCGAATACATTAAGAAATTATTTCTATTAATGACATTTGATTTGAAGATTGTTTCTTTTATAAGTTATTGTCGTTCTTTATGAAAATAGTCGATTTCAATTACTCAAGTTTCAATGTTAAATGAATGATGGTCAGAACATGCATCGTTACCTAGAACATTAAATATTTATTGCTTGGCAAAATAAAAAGAAAGAGAAAAAAAACCAAAAATCTGATTCATCGAAGTTTTTCACACTTAGTGTCGAAACTACGTTCAAACTGCTCAAATCATAACGTGAAAAAGAAATTTTTATATTCTCATCCACCTACGTCTTCCTAAGATAGAAGAAAATAGTGTGGAAAAGTCTTTTAACGATTTATGCTGTCTCCCATGAGCATTATGGATTTCAATTCAGCACTTTTGTCCCACTGTCAACTTCTTTGTTTCGGTTATGAGAATGTGAAATGTGATATCATTTATTTGTTCTCCAGTGATTTCTGTCGAGTATAAAGTAGCCGAGAAACTGGTTTCATTTTTTATTTATTCTCTCATGAAACGTCTCGTGAAACAACATCAACTGATCATCTCCATTGTGTTTCGGTGATTTCAATTTGTTTAATGCTCATGAGTGGGATCAAGTGCTGCGTTGATATGAAAGTGAATTCCGTATATGAATTTAAACTGTTAATTTTTAATTTTTTCTCTTATTAAATTCAATTTCTATTAAAAGTGACATTTACATGAAAATAAAAATAAAAAAAGCTGCGAAAATCCATTCACAATGCGACACTATTAACGGTAGAAAAAAATTATGCAAATCAACCGCTTCCATCGTCGTAGCGATTTATGTTAAAAAATACGTTTAGTAAATGTGCAATGATTATGCATAACGAGTCCACGAAGGTAACACACATAATCGCTCACGATCATAAATTGCTGTGCGGTGTGTAAATTAACTCATTATGCGTTACCCAGCAGAAACTTGATTAATATACATTTGATTGAGATGAATCGGCGGAAAATTCTTTCACTTCATTTTAACTGTTGATAAAAATTTGCTCTACACTCACTTAATCAAAATGCGAAGAGACAGAAGGCTGTCAGACGAATTGAAAATTATTGTTTGACTCCTTTCACTGATTAAATTGATTTGCCCTTTAAAAATAAATTGTCAGCATTTTTGCGGCTTTCGTATGCAGTTCAATGCATCTTTTGAATGTTGTATTTTGTCATCATTTGCCGTGTGTGTTGGAGGAAGTTATATGACTGATGATCATCTCCTTGCCATATGTGACTTTAACTCTAAAAATATAACTTGAAGTTTGCAACAATTTCTCATCATCGAACATGAATTTCCTTGTTAAATAAACTTAAATGAATGTTTCTTGCCATTCACTGGATAGAAATTCTCAATTGCCCGATGTTCCACTTGATTTTCGATAAAGTCATTCACCAAGTCTTAATGTTAGTGGAAGACAAGCAAGGGGCTTTAATCGTTTCTTGCTTGTGCTGTCAATGAATGATCTTTTATATTTAAATATCTCATAAGATATTCCATTCATGTCTTGATCACAGATGAACATAAATTTCATTTTCATCTGAATTTTAAGAAATTTCGAAGAATTTCTTCTTCTCATGTTGACTTCAAATGTCCTCATAATGTTTCGTCACATTAAAATTATTTAAACCATTTGATTAAGCAGTTCATACGCGTATGCTGAGTTAACAGTAATTCTACCATATTTATTGTTATTGTTTCATGTTCACATTCCGTCACTTCATTGCCTCGTTTGTCCATTCTTCCACTTTAAAACTAAAAAAAGCAGAACACATTCAAAAATGAACTTTTTTTCTTTCTTGCTTTACAATTTAATGGTGCTAACTTTCATTTACATTTTTTGGATCGCATTTGTTTTTGGGAGACATTTAATAATAGTGTAACAAGATATAAATGTTAAACCCTCTTGTTAACACTTTAACAAAATCCGCCACCATATGTGAGAAGAATTAGAGAAATTCTACACCAGTCACAAGTTTTGTTGCGCTTCTCCATTAGTTCTGGTATTATTGTTAGTGACTGCTTCGTTTTCCTTCTGTTTCACTTCAGTCGACGCTCAGATTTTGCTCGGAATGGTTCGCAAGTTGTGTTCAGCTCAAGTTTTCATTGAAAGTTAATTAAAGTCATAACAACCGACGTTTTCATGCAACTCCAAGTTTATGAAAAAAAAAACATTTTTTTTATTAATTGCAAATTTGCGCAATCATTTGTAACACGCTTGAAAAGGCAAATAAAGAAAATAAAAGTTTCACCCGAAATAAAAGAAATAAAATAAAATAAAAAGAGAAAAGTTTAGTAAAGCAGCATCAAAAGTGTGTTTGTGGGAAGATTGAAAGTTCACGATGAGTGTTATATTGAAAATTGATCCTTCGAAGAAGGACGTAATCATCAACAATAACCACAACGGAATTACAATCAACAATAACAGTGTTCATTTATCTAAGCGTGAGTTTCCGCCGTTTACACGACCATGTTATGTTTTGCTATGCGATAGGGTCAATTAAACAAAAAGGAGAGAGTTTCCGCTAAGAAACCAGAAGATTTCATTGAATTTGTCATGAAACATTTTTGTGATTTTCTTTAATTTCGTTAATGAAGTCTTATTTAGTTGAACATTAAAAATGTGTTATTTTTGTGTTTCTCGTTGTTATTCATAATGGAAATTTTTTACTTGTCAGACTTTCTCACTTGTACTTGTAAAATTTGCTGCTTTTAAGTGAATAAACTGTCATGATAATTTTCTGCTAGAGTAGAGAAATTTTTAATTAAAGATGTGCTGGTTAAGCATTCATGCCGACGACTGTCGACTGAAAATATTAGAAAAATCACTTAAAACATTCAATGTTATCATCGATCTTCATTTGAATTGTCTACTCTCAGTTTACAAATTCAGTTAGCTTCTAAATATTTAAACAACTGATGCATTATAAAATGAAACTCAATGAAACCACACACTTTAAATTCCATTATATGCTGACTTCTGGTTTCGTTGTTAAGTGCTGGCATTTGATTTAATTTTCTTTTTCTTCTTTATACGTAAATCTTCTTCCATTAAACTTCTTTTTAATAATAATGTTCTCATCATGTTTCTTGTTCGTTATCTATAATTTAGTAAATACATTTTGTCACTTTAAACCGCAGTTCCAGAAAGAAAACTAAAAAGTGTAATAATTTGATAAAGACGTGATTCAACACGTCAAACTTGTCATTTATGATTAATTAATTTACTTTGAACATCAATTTATATTCTTCTGTTATTATTTTCTAATTTATTAATTTTTCTTCTCTTCATTTTCTTGTGTTTTTATCATCATCATGCATATGCATTTTATTTCTGGACGTTTGTCACACTCGATGTCATAAACTCAACAGCTGTGAGTATTAAATTCATCTTCTGATTTTAAAAATATTTTTGCTCGACTTTATTTCCTTTCTGAGACATAAAAGCTAGAAATTCATCTCCAAAGACATAATTTTGTCTCTTTTAAAAATAGAATTTGGAATAAATTTCCTTCTCACCTAAAACAGAAAGAAAAACAACGAAAATTAATTTCCCAATTCCATCGTAGATTATTTGGAAGTAAAATAACAAGTAATTTGTAATAAGAAATGTTTTTTCCGGGTTATGAAAAGCAATCCTAATGAAAATATTTATAAAAAGGTATTTAAACAGATTTTACAACAAAGCGAAAGATAATCATGAGAATTGGAAGAAAAAGCAGAAATGTTTTATGTTGATGATAGTTATTTAGCTTTAGCATTTAAAAAATTAACACTTTGAGAGTAAAGTAAGATAATCGGAGAAGGAATCAGTAGTGCATGTAAACTTGAATCATTTATAAGAAGTAATGTTGTAACAAAAGACTTGATGCTTAATTACTATTGAGTGTATTATGAAATCTTGACGTCATGACGAATAAAATTTTTCGCTAGAGTAACTTCGCTGGTTTGTTTATTAAAAGAACAAAAAGTAAAATAAAAAATAGTTAACAAAGTTGAAGCGCGCGAAACGAATTTACTTTATTAGTTCCAGCAATTCTTTAATTGTAGGCTTTACAAGGCCCTTGTAACGATTCTTATCGCGACGAAAACGACACTTGGCCGAGAATTGGAACTTTGTATTCATTTTGCATAACAAGAGTTGATTTAAACGTACGTGACTTTACGTCAAGCTTTGCCGATTGACGATTTAGGAACATAAGATTTATGAACTTTTCAACGCATTCCAATCTTCACTTATAACCGTTAAGTGTTTTCATTATATTCAACGACACAAATATTGTATCCTAATTGGTTGCAACAAATTTTGTGACATATTTAATAAGAATATTTCCATAAACCAAAATATGTTGACGAGAAATGTCGTTAACAAGTAAGAATTGATATTTTACAAATTGGAGCGTGAAACAATCTCAAGCCAGTGAATTTCAGATTTTTCTCGGGAAAAGAAAGATTGATCATGTGGCGAGTGCAAACAATTGTGGAGCATTGTAATTTAAAACAGCTGATTGCAAAGGACGAACTCAAGGAGAAAGATTATTTTTGATTTAAGAAGAAAGTAGTGTGTTTTAATAAAAAATTTGTGTACCAATATTTTTATCGGAAACTCAAGTGGAAAGTGGAAGTGAAGGGAGCTCTTAAAGTACCCATAAAGGCACAGAAATTGCGATTGAACGTTGTTAATTTGGTGATGTTTCAAAAGTCCGTCACAACAAATAATTTTATTTAAAAATTCACCTCACCAAAATTGCTGTTAAAATCTGCATCATTCCAAAGGGAGAAGAAAACATATTTCTAAAGGCTTTAAATGCCTTTCTTAAGATTTTTTTCAATTTAAACGACGAAGTGTCATCAATCAACACAAACTCAAAATTATACGATCACTCACATCGAGGAAAACTCTTCAAAAGCTTTCGGCTGATAACAGCCGCGATTTTTCGCCCTGTGAGTATATTGAAAAAAGCCTGAGAATTTTCTATTGCCGGTTGGCCTTCATATTTGTTTTAGGTGAACTGTATTCCGGATATTTGAAGAGTTGAGTGAATCGTAACATGCCACATTCTCCATCGAAGAAGACATTCCCGATTTTTAAACCATCGGAAGCATCGGCGATGAGTGCTAACACACCGCTGAAACGTTCGCGCACAGATATCGAATCGGATAATGAAGACAAGTCAATGATGGAATTTCTGGAAAAAATTAATCAAAACACAATCGAAACAAACAAAAATACGATGGAAACAAAGGAAGAGGTTCGGAAAATGGGTGTCAAATTTGATGCTATCAATGAAAAGATGGAAGCCATTGACATTAAAGTAAACAAAGTGGATGATGAAGTGAAAATTCTTCGTAATGAAATGGAGCAAAACAAACTGTTGAACTTTATGGATATTACTGGAGTGGACAAACTAGAAGTTGAAAAATATAAAAACAATTTAAAAGCATTAGCAATCGGAATTTTCACATCATTTAACATAAGCGTCGACTCCGAATCAATGGAAAGAGTTTATACAAAACTGATAAAAGGAGGATCTTCGGTTGTGGTAGTGGTGGTTTTTAAAAGCTTCAGCGACAAATTGAATAGTATGAAGATGAAGCGTGAGTCGAAAATTAAAAACAATATTTTTTTTGACCATTCGATGACTGGCGAGACTAGAAAACTCTTCATGAGCGCTAAAAAGATTGCGAAAACGACTGGAGGAAAAATCTTCATGCTCAGCGGAAAAATATTCTTCTCGAACGGTAGTGGAAACAAAATGCATTTAAGAATAGATTCAGATCTGTCAAAAATTAAAAGTCAAAATTCTGAATAGCAACCACCACCCCCACCTAACGAAAAACCAAATGAAAATATTCGGAATAGTTTTTACAGCATCATTAGTGAAGTTGCAGATGACAAAGAGAGAATTGAAAGTGATATTAATTTTTTTCATCTCAATGTTCGTGGAATTAGCAACTTAAATAAATTCTTAGAAATATATACGATGATTAAATGTTCTAAAATAAAATATGATGCGATTATTTTCTCTGAAGTCAAATTGAAGAAAGGATTTCCTATTCATCTTTACATTATTCCAGAATATAAGAGATATGCGAATCTTCGTTCAGAAGAAGGAGGTGGGGGAGTTATTGTTTTTATAAAGAATGACATCGTAGTTGAAGAACAAACGTCGCTAACTTCAGGATTCGAAAAGCTTAAACTTATGATTTTTAATGACAACAGAAAACTCAAATTATTAGCATATTATAGACCGCCTATTCAGACAAATTTGAACCAATTTTTGAGTGATTTGGAAAATGAAATCTCATCAAGCAATTCGAAAACTATTATCGTAGGTGACATCAACATCAACACTTATTCGCTGAGCTTAAGGGAGCTAAGTCATGACATGATTACTCGTCAATATAACGAAATGATCACAAGTTATGGTTTTAAAGTTATAAACAACATCCCAACAAGGCTTGCAAGTGGCAAAACCATTGATCATTTTATCACAAATCTCCACAATGATCATACAATTTCTAACGTTACTCTGAGGGTAGACGACGCCATCTCAGACCATTGTGCACTTATAACTTCCGTTAACTATCCACAAGCAACAAAACAAATTACTTCAAGGATCATAAGGAACAAAGTTGACTTGGACTTGTTAATGGATAACTTCGAAGATATTTCATCAGTATGTGACGACTTCAAAAATACAGACGAAATTGTGGAAAAAATTACGGAAGAAATTAAAAGAGCAGTGCGCTTATCATCAAGAACATTAAGTTTTAAAATAAAGAAATCTGAGAACATCAAAGATTGGGCTTCAGAAGGTCTTTTAAGTATGATTAAAGAAAAAGACAAATTGCTGATGAAGAGAAGAAAGAATCATATGAGTAAAGATATTCAAGAAAAATTGGAAGTGATGAGTGGGAAGCTGAAAAAGAAGATGAAAGATGATTTTAATAATTTCATGCAACAAATGGTCAAAGTTCCAGATCCAAAAAAGCTGTGGCGAAATCTCAATGTTTTACTTGGAAGAACGAGCGAGAATACTATTGAGGTAATCGAAGAAGCTGGCAAGAAACTCAAGAACAAGAAAGAAATTGCTAATACTTTTAATAATTATTTTGTGAGTTGTGCATCGAAACTGGCAGATTCGTTGGAAGACGATAATCAAGACCAAGACGTAGAGAAACTTGTGGAAAAATCTATTGTTTTCACCACACCAACCAGCAAAGAAATCGAGATTATTATCAGTCGACTAAAATCAAATTCTGCCGCCGGATACGATGAAATATCAGCGAAAGTTATAAAGAAACTTGCATTGAAACTTACATCGGTTATTGCCCACCTCATTTCAGTAATATTTGAAACCGGCAAATATCCAACAGCATTCAAGATTGCAGTTGTCACACCAATACACAAAAGTGGATCGAAAATGAATGTGGAAAATTACAGACCAGTGTCAGTGTTGTCAATATTGAACAAGATAATTGAGAAAGTAATCTACAACCAAATTCTAAGCTTTGTAACTGCTGAGAAAATACTTTACAGCTATCAATTTGGATTCAGGCCGAAATCGGGAACAGAAAATGCTGCAATCGAACTTGTGAACTTGATATCGAAATTCTTGGATGAAAAGAAGATTGTTTCTGGAGTTTTCATGGACCTTAAGAAAGCATTCGATCTTGTAGACCATAAACTTCTCCTTAGAGTTTTAGAAAAATACGGAATTAGAGGATTGCCTTGGGAGGTGTTGAGAAGCTATTTGGAAGATAGGAAGCAAGTTGTTAGGATTGGTGATACAAAAAGTGAAGTTGAAACATTGAAATCTGGCGTGGTGCAAGGATCATGCTTGGGGCCTCTTCTCTTTTTGCTTTTCTTTAATACAATTGGATCAACAAATGTCAATGGCAAATTGTTTCTTTTCGCTGATGATGCCGTTCTGATTAATACCAGTGAAGATGTCACCTCCAGTAGAGAATTGCTCGATTATGTTAAAAATGATATGGAAATTTTGATGAGCTTTTTCAACCAGCGAAAGATGATTTTGAATAATGACAAAACAAAATGCGTTATGTTTAGAGGAAGCAGAAGCAGAATGCAATTGCCAGCAATGATTGAAATTGGACGAGGAATAAGCATCGCAAGAATATCGACGTTTAAATATTTGGGACTCCAATTAAATGAATTTCTCAAATGGAGCGAACATATCAAAGTCATTGAACGCAAAATAGCATCTTCAAATGCAATACTGTGGAAATTGAGATATTCTTTGCCAACAGAAACGAAAAAACTTATCTACGATACACTTATTCAGTCCTACATCAGTTATATGATACAAGTCTGGGGCTTTGCTAACTACAAAGAGCTTTCAAACTTGCAGATAATGCAGAACAAAGCGCTTTGTAACACGTACAATTTACCCAATCGCACAAATCGAGTAGAAATGTACACGCATCTAGTGGAGTCGCACTTGCCAATAAGAGGTATAGCAGTCTTGAACACATCTTGTCATGTCTACAAGTCACTCAACAATCAAACACACACAAACATTATTCACACAGAAGCAGGAGCCACAAGAAGTAACATGACATTGCGTAACAATTCATCACTTCGACCAGTGAAGATTCGAACAGAGATGCGAGAAAAATCTATTGAATTCATTGGACCATCAATTTTTAATGAAATTCCTGATGAAATCAAAAGAAGCAAACATCAATATGAGTTTAAATGGTGCATGCGTTGTTACTTGCGCAATGAAAACTTCATCGGCTCATGCTTTGACTCAAGTTTCTTTAAATTCCAGCTCAGATAAAAAAGCCCTCACTGAACAAAAAGCAAACATCACTTCTTTCAATCAGCAACATTTATAAACTGAAAATACAAACAGACACAACATTTATGTTTCCTCTGCCACTTCAATCCGCCAAATTAAAAGAAACAAACGGATGAGTCCTTTAAGGCGAAAGCACTGGGCTCACCAATACTCTGATGGAAAATTTATCAATTTATGTACAGTTTTAGTTACGTTATATGTTTTATGTTTATTTTAAATTTCGAAAAGATTGGGTTTTTTGCGCAGATTGTTTTGAAGTTCAGAATTCAAGACAGTTTGCTTTTTATCCCAACAACATAAAATGTAATTCAAAAAGAAAAAAAAGAGAATAAAAATAATAATAATAATNTCAATTTATATTCTTCTGTTATTATTTTCTAATTTATTAATTTTTCTTCTCTTCATTTTCTTGTGTTTTTATCATCATCATGCATATGCATTTTATTTCTGGACGTTTGTCACACTCGATGTCATAAACTCAACAGCTGTGAGTATTAAATTCATCTTCTGATTTTAAAAATATTTTTGCTCGACTTTATTTCCTTTCTGAGACATAAAAGCTAGAAATTCATCTCCAAAGACATAATTTTGTCTCTTTTAAAAATAGAATTTGGAATAAATTTCCTTCTCACCTAAAACAGAAAGAAAAACAACGAAAATTAATTTCTCAATTCCATCGTAGATTATTTGGAAGTAAAATAACAAGTAATTTGTAATAAGAAATGTTTTTTCCGGGTTATGAAAAGCAATCCTAATGAAAATATTTATAAAAAGGTATTTAAACAGATTTTACAACAAAGCGAAAGATAATCATGAGAATTGGAAGAAAAAGCAGAAATGTTTTATGTTGATGATAGTTATTTAGCTTTAGCATTTAAAAAATTAACACTTTGAGAGTAAAGTAAGATAATCGGAGAAGGAATCAGTAGTGCATGTAAACTTGAATCATTTATAAGAAGTAATGTTGTAACAAAAGACTTGATGCTTAATTACTATTGAGTGTATTATGAAATCTTGACGTCATGACGAATAAAATTTTTCGCTAGAGTAACTTCGCTGGTTTGTTTATTAAAAGAACAAAAAGTAAAATAAAAAATAGTTAACAAAGTTGAAGCGCGCGAAACGAATTTACTTTATTAGTTCCAGCAATTCTTTAATTGTAGGCTTTACAAGGCCCTTGTAACGATTCTTATCGCGACGAAAACGACACTTGGCCGAGAATTGGAACTTTGTATTCATTTTGCATAACAAGAGTTGATTTAAACGTACGTGACTTTACTTCAAGCTTTGCCGATTGATACTTCTTTAGGAACATAAGATTTATGAACTTTTCAACGCATTCCAATCTTCACTTATAACCGTTAAGTGTTTTCATTATATTCAACGACACAAATATTGTATCCTAATTGGTTGCAACAAATTTTGTGACATATTTAATAAGAATATTTCCATAAACCAAAATATGTTGACGAGAAATGTCGTTAACAAGTAAGAATTGATATTTTACAAATTGGAGCGTGAAACAATCTCAAGCCAGTGAATTTCAGATTTTTCTCGGGAAAAGAAAGATTGATCATGTGGCGAGTGCAAACAATTGTGGAGCATTGTATCAACAAAACAAAATTTATGCTCACTGTCGGAAATTACAAGTTTCGACGATGTTGTGGTGAATTTCTATTTCCCCTTAAAATAGTTTTCACCTCTTGTAAACAACTTAGCCAAGACACACTCATATTTCTTCCCCTTCCTAAAACATTTTTCACCTCATTTATTTTCACCACAGTTGAGTTTGCTTCGAAATCGCGAGCACACAAAAATTACCGCGGAGTGAATTAATTAAGTTTGTTGCGTTAAGCGGTTGGAAATATTAATGCAATCTCATTAATTCGATGGAATAGAGTGCGTATTGTTATTTTATACTGGATAATTTGATAACTTCATAAAGAAACATCAAGAAAAGTGAACATATGTACAGCCGGGGAATTATTTTTTTTTTCGGGGCGAAGTTTTTTTTTGAAGAAGAAAAATTCGACTTCAAAGCATTGAACATGAAAAAATTATGAAAAAAGTGCTTATTTCAAAGTTTCATTTATGTCTTAACGAGGCAAAATCTGTGTAATTAAATATCATTCGGTTATTAAATGTGGTTGTTAAGCAATTCCAATTTATAAAAGCAAAATCTGTGAAACTTCGATAAAACTGAATGTGAAGCAAAACGAAAAAAAAACCATTTCAAGTATTGATCGCAACAAAAAGGAGTGAGATGAGTGCTTCCCAAAAAGAAAGCAAAGAACTAATATTATTGAGAGAAATAAGATATTTGAATTACAAAAAGAATCTCTTAAGAAGATGAGTTTCTAGTTTCATTTCTCTTGATTTCTTTTTTGTTTCCATTTTGGATTTACACCAACAAAAATCGATTCTTATCAGTAGAATGCGCGGCGGAAAACCTTTTACAAGCGTTCAAGTGAACCGTACACTGTTTGTGTATTGCAATTGATAACTCGACACAAATGTGCGACAGAACACAATGCTTTTTTCTTTATCAATTGTTAATGGGCCTAAATGAGTTTTAAATTTGTTTTCGTTCGATTTAGATGTCAATTTGCTCTTGAAATTCATACAAAACATGAATGAGTTAGTGAGAAAAAGGAATTTTTATTATGTGAAGGGTGTAGGAATAAGAAGAGAGTGATGATTGTGCAAGTAAACAACACAAACACAATCATAGTTGAGAAACGGGACTCGCAGGATAAAACATTTCTACATATCTATCTATCTACACTTTGTCATTTGTGAGTGCGTAAAACGCTCGAAGCTACTATAAACTAAAACACTAATTGAGGAATGTTTTACTTTTACTTCTGATGATGTGGGGGAAAGAATTTCAGATTAGTTTTCTTTCCCTATAAACAGAAAGCATAAGAAATGTCGAGACGTGAATAAAAATTTAATTTTTTTACTGTTTCAACTTTTTATCGATATTTTCGGTATAATGAATAATTCTTTTGCATGGCATTGTATGAGTCATATGAACACATGCACAAAACTAATTCTGGGGATGAAAAAATGAAAATAAAACACTCGTCATGTGTTTAAGGTCAAATTATGCTTCAAGGATATTTTTTTGTGCTTTTCCCTTCTTTTTGTTATGCAAATCGAGGTCAAAGGGGAAATATTTACCAACCAATCATCCAACATATATTGCCAGATCAGAAATTACAAAAGATATAAAGCAGACGACGAAAAGTTTCGATGAAAATTAAAAGTAAAGTCTGAGTCAGAACATGGAATTCTGTACGAAGCGAACGTCGGTTGAAAATATAAATAAAATCTGTCTGCTGACTGAAATTTACAACTGAACTTTCCAGTTTCTTTCATTCATTATTTTCCATGGGGAATCGAGGAACTAAATATCATTTTTTGTTTTCGTTTGCTGAGTTCAGCAACTCATGATAAAAGCGTTGGAGGAAAGCGTCATATTGACTACCAAATATTACAAACTTCCATCTAAACACTCCAATGTTTTCATAGCAAAAAAAGATATTTGATCGCGGTACGTCTGATATTTATTTGCGTAGGCAACACAATAAAACGCCATCAAATATAAAAGAAGTAATTTAATTCGCTTTCGATGTCACTGAGTTCACGACGCCTTAAGATTAATTAGGAGCGTCGTTAGAATTTGTGTCAGTGGATAAAAGAAGATCAGAATAATCAACGTTAAGTAATATTTTTACTATTATTAATTGAATGATGACTTGAAGAATGAAAAAAATGAAAGAAAAATTCGTTCGTTGCACTCTAAAAATATTAACATAAATTGGCATTATCAATAAGAATAAAAGTTAAAAGCTTTTATTTACTTTTTTATTGTTTCTTCGTTTGCCTATGAATAAACATAAGCGAATTGTGAGAAGAAGAAAAGGTGGCAAATAATTAATGACATTATCATGAATTCGCATTTTATCACCACATCATCAAATATTGCGAAGCCGGAGGCGAAATAAATTAAATGCTTGACGTGATGACATGGGCGCAGCTCTAACAGGAAGCAATGTCGCGATGCTTTTACTGAACTTGAACAATTCTCAAAAATTGATTAATTGAAGTTAATTTGTGTGAATAATCTTGATGAGCGCCACTGAGTAAATTGAAAATAATGCTGGAAATGTTAAAGTTATTGCAATTTAAATTTGATATTTCTTTTTATTAAGCATAAAAATCTTTTAAATTATTAATTTATTTCGCTTCAATTGCATAACAAAAGAAAAAATCACATTCTTCAATGTTTTTCCATCGATATCATGTGTTGTCGATTTCAACCGTGGAAAATTCAAGACAGAGCTATAAATCAAAGCTGATCACTGTTAAATAAAACAGATTTACGATGAGAAATTGTAAACTTTAAAGATCGGTTTTGTTAACGCCTTTCTTTGTTTCTTTCCAATCGATTCTCATGTGTCATCGTTTACTTGTTCATTGATTATTAATGAAGGATTTTTAAAGTTTAAATTCTCATCGCAAAATACCTAATAACTGTTATTCGACCGCAACACTTCAATTATAATTGTTATTCATTCATGAGTCATAAAAACATTCGCTTGATCTGGTTTCTGATTATTTTTACATCTTTTCTTCAATCTTCACATCCGAAAATCAATTCTCTGTAACATATACATCATCGTAAATTTAATTGCTTTAACAAAAAAAGATTAAATTAGTTGAAAAAAATTTAAAAGCTTTCACTTAAAAATGTTTAACTGCAAAATTTTCAAATGCGCCAAACTTTCTTATCGATTTCCGTTGATGAAAACTTTTCTGCTTCGTCAACTGCTCGAAATGTGCGGAAAAGAAAATTCCTACACGTATGTAATAAGAAATTCATGATATGTCGTAAATTTTAGCGAGCACTTCACTAATGATATGCTCGAATATTATTGCCATAAAACATTCAGTTCTTTATCGATTGAATTAGTAATAATTGATGGACATTTCTGGGCAACATTCATCTGTTGACGACATTCTGAATAAAGTTCAATTAAATAACCAACGGAAGTTAATTTCCACTTTCACTTTTTCACTTTTTCTAAATCTTATCACGAGGGAAAATAAAAGTTTTTCCCAATCATGAATTTCAAGAGCAAATTTGACACCATTGGGGGGAAGTAGGCGTGTTTCCATCGACACGCGAAAGAAATATAAAAACGGAACTTTAAGTACTGCAAATGTTTTTTTTATCGATCGATTACTTCGTAAAGAAATTCCTCAACAAACCATCACCCGAAATCGACAAAACTTCCGGCTGTGCATTCTGAAAAAATGTTTTGTTGTTCTTGATGTTGTCTTTAGTTAATAAATAAATATTTAATAGTTTCGTGAATTCGTAGGAATTCCAACGAAAATAGAAATCACCAATTAAATGTAATTGTTGATAAGAGATTTGCGATAATCGTGTAACAAAATAAAAAGAAAGGAAAACATAATTGGAATAAGATAATTTGAAAACAATCAAAATGAGCTCAACAACACCAACGGGTCCACCACCAGTTCCACCGACAAAACCAATCCTTTCAACTCCAGGCTCTTATATGTCAACATTCCAGTCAGGACATACAGCAACAATTCATAGTATTAATAAATCACATGACAAGCCGGCTATTGCCGCACGACCTGTTATGCCACCAACAGTACCAAAATATTCGTCATCGTTTGGAAAAATTGATCGTGATCGGAATGAATTTGGTGGCGCCAAAATCGATCGAATCGAAAGGGAAAAGGTTTGCATTAGATAAATTAAAACCGATGAACACAAAATAAACAAACAAACAGCACCATTAATTAAGACATCAAACAAATCGCTGAAAAAATCGCTTAATTTTTTCTTCTTCTTTCTTCTTTCTCATGCTTTGATTTAATTAAAATGTCTTAATTGATTATCTATCGGAAAAAATGGTTAAAAGAAAATCATTTTTCTCCCCCCTTAACATTCATATGTTGAACATTGAACATTTTTCATAAGAATTATCGGCACACATGCGGCTATTAAAACATCATTTTCATTACTTAATCATTTCAATCGCTTAAAATCAAATGAATCACAAAGAAAAAATGTTCAAAAAATATTTTTATGGGCATTTAAATTGTTTATAATTTATGGATATTTCTCGTCGATTGTTTGTTGTTGATTTTATTGTCGAGAAATGAGCGAGCGGGTTAAAGATCTAGAAAGTAAACGAAGTGTGTCTAACACGTTGCATTCGATCAGACCGCAGCCGCAATAGCAAATGTTGAAAGGCCTTCAATTCATTCTGTCTTTATGATTATTTATTATTACAACTTTAGGAAGTCAAAGAGACTTATGAGAGCGTAAACGTTCATCAAATTGTATACACAAATACGACTCTTACACAGTTTCTCGTAAATAATTCTATTAGAAATATAATAAGTTTTATAGTTTAATCTCACGCATATTGTTCAAGTCATATAAAAGATATGAAGCGTGATGCTTTAAACGTTCTTCACACAGCTAACAAAAGGCAAAAGAACGTCTTTCGATGATAAATAAACATTTTGATGCGAATGAAGCATTAAATTGCTTTCTTTCTCGCGAACATTGACCACACGCAGAAGCTCATTTAAACAGAGCATAAATCTTTTCATGTTTTTCCTTCTTTTATATTGCGCAAAGCTTAAAAAGGAAGTTTAAGTCAAGAAGAAAGCGAAAAAAAGTTAATTTCATTTTGCCATCAATTTTCTTGATAATCTGGAAGTAATTTGTTGGTGACTTTTAAGAAGTCATAAACTTCTTTACTTCATTCTCGTTTGAAGATAAAAAACGATCAAATATAGGGCAATGTAATAGAATGTAACATCATGCACATGTTCTTACATTTCCTTCGATTCAATTGCACTCTTACTACTCTCGTTGTTTTCATAATCTTTCCTTCATCTTCTGGTTCTGCGTAATGCAATGAAGAGAAATAATAACAAATGCTTAAAAATAGAACATGAAGAATCATAAAATTTAGACTGAAAAGACGAAGTATTTAAGCAAATGGGAAGAACAATACGATGACGTTAAGCCGCTCGCTTCCTTGCTCGAAAGTTTTTCTTCTTTTCTCATTTCATTGAAAAACGTAAAAAAATGTAATCAGTGAGACGACGTTACGTCTTTCGATGAAAATTAATTTTCTTTTAGATACTTAATTACATGGTAGCACGTTCTTAGAAATAAATTTCATCGTCACTATGCTTCATGTTTTTAATTCTTCTCTTTTGTAATCAACAAAAAAGTTTTTTTACTCATCATTCCTTCATTATCTTTTAAAAGCGTTGAACTCTTGAAGTAAACTGTTAAATGTCTCTAAAATCAGTATTTTTATGATCGATTTTTGTTTACTTTTATTTATGTTTAAATCAATGAATGTTTGCATGTTGGTAGGACGGAATTGGAGGCTCTTATCGTTTAGCGAGTCTCGATCGTCTTGCAAATCGTCAACGATTATTGGAACAGAATAACGGGTTGGGACAAACTGATGTAAAGAACGGAATATCAACAACTGATAGTAATTTGAATGGTAATGGTGGCGGCTATCCAGTGGGGGTAAGAAATCATTCAAAAAGCTTCTTTTAAGTTTCATGTGAAGTTTGATATTGTTGTGTGCAAAACTTAACACCGACTTGATGGTAATCTACTAACATTTGATTGTCAAATTAATGTTTAACCAAGAACGAGATCAAGGAAATCACTTTAATTGTTGTTTGAGTGTTGCATGATTTAATTGTAGATTTTTTCAGCTGATTGAGATAATTATAGAAAACATTTACAAATATTCGGCCATTGAACTTGAGTTTGAAATCGAAATTGAAAGACACGTCATCTGGCAACTCCTTTTTAGTAAAATAACAAGATTTGTAACGAAACAATTCTTTTTTTTCGGATGTTTGAACGGTGCCATTTAATTCAAGGAAAGACTTAAAGCATGTACATGATTTTAGTTTAACAAAGACAAGCATTTACAAACTGTTAAGTCATTCGGCACAGCACGGTCTTTTTTTTATTATTTCTCTTCTTATTGTTTACTTTTTCTTTCACTTCTTCTCATATCACATTCGAGATGAATCTCTAAATGATTTCTCATGAATGTCTTATGAGATGTGCAATCAAAACTTCAAAAATGTAAAGTTCCTCTTTATGAGAGATCTCAAGCTAATCTCGATCACTTATGCTTTGTTTGTGAGAACTTCACTCAAGTTCAAAATCATTTTCCATAATTCTTTTAATGTTGTATATGTTAATTTTGTAAATAATTCAAATTCTGCAGAAATTGCATTCGTGACGATTGTTTATTATTTTAATTTCATGATCTTTGATATTTTTATGTTGGAGCGAAACGGCCAGCTTCAAATAAATTTGATTAATTATCGTCGATCATTCCAATTATAGTTATAGTGAAACGTAATATGAGCTTTGAGTAGATTCATAGAAGTGCTTGATATTTCAGCCTTACTAAATGATTTTGTTGTTCATTCACTTCATATATTAACAAAGTCACATCTCAAGCAAGCGAAATATAAGACAAATGAGAAAACAGATCTCTCGTCACGATTCAATAGGTTTTTGTTTCCATAATTAAAAAGCAACTGTTTTCTTTATCGACTTGGAGTCTTATTTCGTATTTAGATACACATTCATAGAAATGACATGAAGCATCAAAAGCAAAACATTTATTTATATTTACCTCTGATTTTTATTTATGGAAACACAAATACGAGCTTTTGTCGTTTCACTGAGACCCTCAAAAAATGGAATCTTTTCTTTCTTTTATCAAATATCTGTCTACAAAGAAATGAATTATCTAAAAATAAATACCAAAAATATGTTTTTGTTTGCTCTCTTATCGGTTGAAAACTTCCATTAATCTTTGAGTGTCTCAAGTCTTGTCTCATGTTTTATGGGAAGAAAATGAAATTTATCGACTTTTATTTTGTTGTAAGCTTTCATTTGTATACCTAAATAAATAAATCATTCGTCAATTGAAGATGATAATAAATTCTTATTGCACTTGTTGTGCGATTAATTCACCTAATTGGAAACATTTTTATTGCTTTTTATTTTTATTAAATGAACATAAAATTGGTTTGAAATTGTTTCTTAAATTAAGCTTCTTAATTTTATTATTAACCATGCAACTATTGATTGATGTCATAGTTTGATTTGTACATTTCATCAATCAAATAAGAAATTATCATTTGAATTGTTTATTAATATAATTTTGTATTTTTCTATCTTATTCTTCATTATCGTTTCCCTCGTTTCGTGTATGATTTTTAACATCATTTTAACACCGTCCAACACATCGATCAACACACCATTTGAATGCCATCACAAAAAAACCCCAAAACTTTGAAATATTAACTAACAGATGCAATCTAAACGCGAAATGTTTTTCAAGGGAGAAGCTCAGAGTCCATCAGGTCCACCTCCACAACCACCATCTTTGAATAATATAAACTCATCATCAGTGGTAAAATGACAAAACTTCTTTCATCTTTCTTATCGAAATCATTAATCTTTTGACATTAATTTACTTAACAGAACAATAACAACACCAATAACAACGAAAAATCACATATTACAACAAACGGAACACACAATAGCGTTCAGAATAGCATAAATAAATTGATAATGAAGGAGAAGGAAGCAAATGATATGAATCATCATCTGGACTCTAATAAGTTGGCGAATGAACGTCAAGAGAAAGAGAAACAGCAAGCGATTGTGCGACCCAAAGTGAAAGAACTTGACGGTTACGTTGGCTTTGCTAATCTACCAAATCAAGTTTATCGAAAAGCAGTAAAGAAAGGATTCGAGTTTACTTTGATGGTTGTCGGTGAATCGGGATTGGGAAAGTCAACACTCATCAATTCTATGTTCCTATCGGATATTTATAATCAGGAACAACATCCGGGACCATCATTTCGTGCGAAGAAAACGGTGAATGTTGAAACAACGAAAGTTATGTTGCGTGAAAATGGAGTCAATTTAACATTAACTGTCGTCGATACGCCAGGCTTTGGTGATGCCGTTGATAATAGTAATTGGTGAGTTGCTTTGATGAATGATCGTCATCAATGACATAAATAAAATTTAACTATTTTTTTGTGCTTTCAGTTGGGTTCCGGTCATCGATTTCGTTGAATCAAAATACGAAGAATATTTAACAGCTGAATCGCGTGTTCATCGTAAAGCAATGTCCGATAGTCGCGTTCACGTTTGCTTGTATTTTATCGCACCATCTGGACATGGACTGAAGCCACTTGACATTGAATTTATGCAACGATTACATGATAAAGTCAACATCATTCCGGTTATTGCCAAAGCTGACACATTGACACCGGAAGAGATTCAACATTTTAAGAAGCAAATTCTTAATGAAATTGCACAACATAAGATAAAGATCTACGATTTTCCAGAACCACTCGAAGATGAAGAAGAAGCAAAAGCATTACGACAATTACGCACTCGTGTTCCATTCGCTGTTGTTGGCGCTAATGCTATCATTGAAATTGATGGACGAAAGATTCGTGGAAGGAAATATCCGTGGGGAATTGCTGAAGGTGAACTCATGCAGAATTGAATTGAAATTTCCAAACTGATTTCTTTTTCTTCATAAATTTCCAGTTGAGAATTTGGAGCATTGTGATTTCATAGCTCTTCGCAATATGGTCGTTCGTACACATTTGCAAGACTTAAAAGATGTCACCAATAACGTTCATTACGAGAATTATCGTTGTCGAAAACTCGCCGGTCTTGGAAATGATGGAAAAGCGAGATTATCGAATAAGTAAGTTTCCATGACTTCAGTCATCATTTTATTTATGTATGTTTTCTATCTGTCTGTCTCTAATCCCTCCGTTCCTTTTGTGCTCGCTTTTATAAGTAAACAACAATTTATGTTTTTATTGAAACTTATAATTTATTTTGATGACATGAAATCAAAAGAAAAAAAAGAAATTTCTGTATTCACTTCTACTTATCGTTTTGTTTTATTTATTAAATATTTCATTTATCGTTGATTCTTACAATCATCGATTGAATTCATTTTCACAACATGAACCTTTAAAAAACAAAATCGAAAAAGAATCCAAACAAAATCTTCTCTTCCATGTTTTCTTAATTCAGTTTATGCAATCCTGGAAATGTCATGAATTCATTTGTGACAGTTTGGTAAGTTCATCGATCGAATTTGATTTTCTTCATTCTCTCATTTGTTTGTTTTTCTTTATTGTTGATTTTATGAAAATATTTATTCTGCAACAAATATCGAAACGATAGAATTTCATTTCACATCACATTAATTAGTCGCATAAATAGCTTTGTGAATTAAAATGCAAAATAATTGAAGTCAATTTGATGTCATGTTGATAACATTTTTCATTTGCCACCAACTGCTTTTCTCTGATCACGAATTAATTTTAAATTTAATTTGAATGTTTTGAAAATTTAATTTTCGTTTTCTTAAATTTATTTTCATAACAAATTTCGTTTTCTCTTGAAGGAATCCACTCGCTCAAATGGAAGAAGAGAAACGTGAACATGATTCAAAGATGAAGAAGATGGAAGCTGAGATGGAGCAAGTCTTCGAAATGAAAGTCAAAGAGAAGAAGCAAAAGTTGAAGGATTCCGAGCTTGAATTGACGCGACGTCATGAGGAGAGAAAGAAAGTGAGATTATTTGATAAATTAACTTTCACTTCTGAATTCACACAAGAAATTAAATCTTTTCAGGCTCTTGAGCTTCAGATTCGTGAGTTGGAAGAACGTCGTAAAGCATTTGAACAAGAAAAAGGCGAATGGGAGCAACACAGTGGAGTCACACTTGATGAGTTGAGAAGGAGAAGTCTTGAAGCCAACAGCAAAGAGTGAGTGTTTCATCTTAACTTATTTAACTTTTCTTTAACCTTCTCACTGCATAACTCCAACCCACTTATGGTTCCATAATTGGCAATTTAATATCACTAGGAATTATCACTAAATTATGTCACAGAAGATTAGTTTTGTTTGTGACATGATTTTTTGAATTTTTTTTTTCAATTTTTAATCAACACTAACTTTTTATAAGAAAACTTTTGTTTTTTATTATGATTTTGTTTTAACATAATCCAAGCAAAACTGGGATATAATAATCAATAAACTCCATTAATAATCCTACAAGCCATCATGATCCATTAACCATTTATTACATTTTATTTATTGTGTGCATTTTTGAAAGTTTACACAACATTTTTGTTTTATTTACTTTGGGTGATGGAATGAGATTTTATTATTGTGTCCTTTCGAGTTTTTAGACAGTTTGGTGATCGAACTTTTCTTCTTTCTTTCGCTTCTTATCCCACTTCTCTGAAACTTGAAACTTTCACATGTTAAAGTTGACGAGTTTTTATTTTTGTTTGGTTTTATTGAGTGCCTTGACAATCTTTTTTTATTAAATAAAAAAGATTGAGTATCTAATTTTAAGCTTCAATCCTTCCTAGAAAAGTTTTCTCTTTAAACCAAAAACAAACAGAAAAAAAGAAAATCTTTTCACAAGTAAATCGCCCATTTCCACAGGACTGGTTCAATGGCATCAAGAAATTCAGATGAGACGAAGAAAAGTCGTGTCTTTGGATCGTTATTGCGTCGACATACGTCATTTGGCGCACCAGAAGCTTCAAAACTCTCAACACCACCAACAATTTCAGCGCCGATCATTCAGTCCAATACGAATCGTGATTAAGTTCGTCGACTTTTATTTTTATTATTACTATTACTTTTTGATTTCTCAAGATTTTTAATCTATGTGAAGATGAAGGAAGAATTAGTTAGAAGTAGTTTGAGGAAGCTTTTCCTTCTCGCCATTTTGCTTTCTTTTTTCTTTAATTTCTAAAAGCTTAAGTTTTTCTTTTTTTTTGGGAAGAAGTATTTAATGATTTATTAAGATCACAGGATTATGGACATGACATTTATCATTTGATTTCTTTTACTTTTTTTATCATTTTTGTTCATCCTCATTCATCCTTAATCATCTGCTTATTTTGCAATAATATGCTGTAAATAATAAAGTAATGAATTATGAAACATGACAGTGATTCCTAAAAACATCATTTACATAAATCTAATTTATTTAAACATTTAAATACATAAATATCCCAGTATTGTAACGATATCCTCTCATTTTTCATTTAACTTCATATTTTTATGCTGTACATAAGTTTTCCCCTTCGCTCTAATGTAAAAAAACATAACTGAAATACTTATTTTACCCGCTTAACCTTTAGAATAGCTTACATTGATATTCAGCCTCTAGTTCAAACCCAAACATTATTATTTTTCTTTTACAGAACGATGGATGGTAAAGACAAAAAAGAGAAAAAGAAAAAGGGATTATTTTAAGATCGATAATCGTTATCAATGCGCATTGCAAATTGCAACGAGTCTCTAACTCAGTTGCTCATGTGAATGCTCCATAAGTTAAGATACACGAAAAAAGAATGTTTAGAGATGAATGTTTGTCTTCATTTTCTTCTCTCTTCCCACGTAAAATTTAAATAACACGTCGTGAGTGGATGTTTTATAAAATATACCGCAAAAAGGGACTTTTTATCTTATAAATATTTATTAGAAAACTTTCTTTATCTCTCTGAAAAAAAAATGGAAAAATTGAATTAGAAGTTAAGTTGAATTAATAATCTTAACAGTTAATCAAATCGTAGCAGAAAAGTGTTCCATTGTAGCAATTTTTTTTTTTCAATTCGTTGGAGAACAAAATATCCGAAAGTAGTTGCATTGGTAAAACAAGCGAATTCTGATTACCTTGAAATCAAATTAATTGAACCAAAAAGAAGAACGAATCGAGTTTAAGTTGAATTTTTCCTTTTCTTAAATATCCTGAATCATTTTAGATTGTCACTTGTAGTTTTATTTTTACATGAATATACATATTTGTGCCATTCTCCTGTCACATTTCTAAGCAAACATGTTCAGTACTTCTTTCTTCAGTATCAGCTAACAGAGTATTTTTGAAAGACAAGTTTACGATGGCATTTCAACAACATGTAGATATTTTATATTTTATTTTATATTCTGAAGAATATTCTAAGGACAAAAAAGTTACAGAAACAAACCAATTTTTGCAGCTGGTTAAACTGATGTTAAGTGATGAGAAATCATTAATTAAAAATTGATATTGAAAATAATCATAACTGACGAGCAAAATTAAATTTATCATGAGAATATTTTAGGATCGAACGTATGCCTATGTTGTACTCTTTATTAATTTTGACATCCTCATGTATCATGTTTTTGTATGAAACTTCAATATGTAATTCATTTTAAAATCATCCTGAAATTAAACTATGCTTAAATTTAGGAACTATACTTAAGTTAAATATAATAATTTTAAAGGAGTGTATAAGAAGATCTGGCATGAAATGGTCATTGCCATTTGACGTCAACTTTTCAGCTTCCATAGATGAAACAAATCAAGCAACAAAAAATTAATTCAACACCGATTTATAAACTCAAGGTTCGAAATAATTAAAGTTTGAAGTATATTTTAATTTAAGTTTTTCATTAAGCTGTATTTAAAAAGTATGAGATAATAAAAGGATTGCTACAATTATATTTGAAAAAAAATTGTGATTTCTTTGAATAAGTCGATTTATTTTCAGAACAAAGAGATATCAAGTGCAGGCAAACGTTTTTCCTTAATACCTAACTCCTATAAATATCTAGAAGCACTTTTTATATTAATGTTGAATTAGTGTTGAATATCAAAGCCTCAACTTAGACAGGTAACATTCTAGCAGAGTGAGTGAAGTGTAAACATTATAAAAATATTTTCCAGTTTATTTTTTATTAATTCATAGTACAATTAATGAAAATTAATCTCAGATAATTATAGAAATAAATTTAAAGTTTTTAAGGATATAATGCCTACGATTATAGCTTTAGATGTAAGTATAAATAGACGAACCACAATTATTCTTTAAGAATGGAATTTAATTTTTATTTGTTATTTCTGGAAGGTCTCACTTTCAATGACAAGAATCGCTTACACCAACAGAGATAATCAAGAAATCACATATAGTCAACTGGCAATAAATGGAATCAATGAGTTATTAGACTATTTGGTTAAACAGCGTTCAATGGAATTCGTTTCATTAGTGAGTAAATTTTCAACAAAATTCATTTCTATATAAATATCGTACAGCAAGTTTCCAAATATTTAAATGAAAGAAAACGAAAATATCTTTAAATTGTATGCATTTTAAGTGATAATACCTCGGAAAACATTGAATGAAAAGTAATTAGATTAATGTTCAATTTGCACCGGTTAAATTTAAAAAGGTGAATTAAGCAGAGTGCGAGGGGAAATCCTACGCGACATCTTTTAAAGAAGTTTTTCAATAAAAGTGAATTTTCTCGATTTATTCTCGGAATCGTAACTCTCGTTCTTAATTTATACAATTACTCATCAGTTAAAGCGTGAGCTTAACAAATAGTATAAAGTTCTCGCCATAAAGTATTCGAAAGTGGAGAATTTAATCTTTTATCAATTCACACGTTTTTGCTACCTTGAGTATAAATTTTCAGAGAGTGTAATTTAAATTTGAAAGAAATGGCATTAGTCCTCTACACAGAACTCAAATATAAACGGATAGAATGTTACGGTTTATCATTCTTATCGTATACTGGTGAAATAAATGAAGAAAATCTTCCGAGAGTTCTTCCATACCCGAAAGACGAAGAAGCCTCAACAGAACAAATTAAATCAGATGAAAACTTAGAAGATGAAGAGTTGGAAGTAAAGTTTGAATTAGATGTGGAATATTTAAAAGCACTCGATCCGAAACTTTGGAAAGATCAAGATCATTATGCTGTATTGGGATTACAAAGCGCAAGGTAATTTATTTAATATTTTCATTTCCTTAAACGTATAATTAACTAACTTGATTACATCATTACAGATATTACGCTTCAGATGATGATATTCGTCGTGCTTATCGCAAAATTGTATTAAAACATCACCCCGACAAACGAAAAGGACAAGGCGAAGCAATTAATCCTGATGACGATTATTTCACTTGCATCACACGAGCTTATGAATTCCTTGGAACTCCTCAGAAGCGTCGATCATACGATTCAATCGATCCACATTTCAATGATGACTTGCCAACTCAATCAGAAGTTGAGAAAGAATTCTTCAATATTTTAGGTCCGTGCTTTAAGCTTAACTCACGGTGGAGCGAGAAGAAGAATGTGCCATTGTTAGGAAATGATGAAAGCGAACGATCGCATGTTGAAAGGTTTTATGATTTCTGGTATGATTTCCAATCGTGGCGAGAGTACAGCTATCTTGACGAAGAAGACAAAGAAAAAGGACAAGATCGAGATGAACGACGGTGGATTGACAAGCAAAATAAAGTCATGAGAACGAAAAGGAAAAAGGAGGAAATGGCACGAATTAGACAACTTGTTGATCTCGCTTACAACAATGATCCGAGAATAGCGAGGTTTAAGAAGGAAGAACGCGACAAGAAAATGGAAGCAAAGAAAGCAAAACGAACAGCAGCTGAAGCTCAAAAAGCTGAAGAAGATCGACAAGCGAAAGAAGCGGCTGCTGTGAAACTTAAAGCAGAGCAAGAGGAACAAAAACGACTTGAACAGCTTCAGAAAGATAAAGAAGCTCAAAAGCGTGCCTTAAGAAAAGAGCGGAAAGCACTCCGCGACTTTGCCAAGACGAATGATTACTTTGTGACTGATGAGAGTGACAAAATTAAGCACATTGAGAATGTTGAGAAGCTTTGTGAGACTTTAAAATTACTCGAACTTCAAGATTTAAATAAAAAGATTCAAGAAAATCCTTCGAATGGTCGAGAATTCTTCACAGATGCAGTGAATGTCATGGAGAAGCAGTTGGAGGAAGAGCGACGGAAAAATCTTCAATCAAGTTCATATGTAAACTCAATTGGGAAGAACACATCGACACCTCTTGCCGGTGTTGTGAATAAGAAGAATTTATGGAATAATGAGAACATTCAATTGCTGATAAAAGCTGTAAATCTCTTTCCTGCTGGCACAAATCAACGTTGGGATGTTGTAGCGAATTTCATCAATCTTCATGCAACAAACCTACCTGAAAATGTCAAATTCAACTCCAAAGAGGTGCTCAATAAAGCTAAAGATATTCAATCAAGTGACTTCTCAAAGAATGACTTGAAATCTCAAGTAAATCAGAAAGCTTTTGAATCGTTTGAGAAGAATAAGAAAGATTTGAAAGTAGTTGATAATTCTGAGATAAGCACGAAAGATACTGGAGATGTAAAGCCAGCAGTTAATGGCGACACGACACAATCGAAAGTAAATGGACATTTGAAAAAAGTTGAACCGAAAACAAATGGAGGATCGTCGATTGAAATGAAAATTTGGACGAAGGAAGAGCAGTCATTGTTGGAACAAGCAATCAAAACTTATCCAGTGTCAACACCAGATCGATGGGATCGCATTGCTGAATGTATACCGAACCGTACGAAGAAGGAATGCTTAAGACGTGTCAAGGAGCTCGTTGATCTCGTGAATGCTAAAAACAAAGCTCAACAAATCAAATAAAAACTAAAACAAATCTCTCGTGTTTCTGTAAATTTATTTAATTTTCTTTCTCTTCTGTGTGATTTTTTGAAATATTTAAAAACAAAAGAATAGATTTGTGTTAAGAAATTCGAAGGAAATTTTCTCATGCAAAGCATTGACAACGATTGAAACAATAAATTGAACATCAGAATAAAAGAAAACTTAAAATTCAGGAAAGAGAAACAAGATATTTTCTGCAACATTTAACTTAAATTGATAAACTCGTAATTAATTATTCAAAAGAAGGAACGAAGAAAGTTGTATGAATGTTTGATATTTGGAATGAATAAACTTATCTAATGTGACATTAACAGCGAAAATTTCCTTTTAACAATAACTTTCAGGTCGTTTACAGTGCACTTTATGAAGTTCTCGTTGATTTCACGAAGGATTATTCTCTTATTCGTGCTGCCCTTACAAAAATCGAGCATTATGACAAAACATGTTTGCACAATGTGTTGATGGCATGCAACAACATTTTGACATCAAATTGGGGAAGTCAAAGCTATGGACAAATTTTAATGGTGACAGATTTAGGCATTGGATTGGGACAAAAGTCGCTTAAGAATCTTATCAACACTTTGCCTGGTGAAAATCAACCATTGCCACTTCCTTATCAGAGTAAACTTTCGATTATGTGCTTGGGAAATCCCGATGATGATGTTGGATTTAAATATGGTGAGAAAATTTGAAAAATATTCTTAAAACATTAATTAAAGTTATTTTCAACAGGAATGAATTTATACCAACAATTACTTGACATTTCCAAACAAAATGGACAACTCTTCGTGCCACGATCATCTGATAATCAATCAACGATGGAACGATCGATAATGAAGATGTTTAAAGCAATGTGCGAGACAAATTACAAACCATTCGAAGCTTTTCTTAATGTTGGTTCTTACTTCAAACTCGACTCAGTTCCAATTTCAATATTTCCTGAGCCTCTTCCTTATACAAGTAAAGACATCTTTGGCAATGAAACAACGAGAATGATCTCAAAACGTTTAGAAGTTTGTGGATATATAAAAATAGCTGATCTTGTCGGTTCGGGTGGTTCACCTGCAAATATAAGTCGAAACTTGATCTTTCCCCGTGTTGATTCATCTCAGAAGAAATCGGGATCAGAATTGGAGAAATTAGAATCAGAAATGAAACATTTCTTTATGAAGAATTCATCAGCTGAAGATGAAGAGAGTTCAAGTTCAATACCAAATGCTGATGTGACGACAAAAGAATCGGCAATTGTTTTATTGCATGGTGCTTTGAAAGTGGAAAATATGGCAGCTTTGATCTTATTAGCTGATGATTGGTACGGTCTTGCTTATTCTTATTCTGATAAGAAGAAATCTAATTTGATGATTTCAATTCTTGCTCCTGGTGCGAATGTCATTCCTTGGATTGGCGACATTCGATATTTGGGTTTGCTGCAAGATGCATTGTTAGGTGAAAGTTATGGATTTCCAATAAAGACCGAGAAGAAAAGTTATTCAGCCGGAAACATGTCTTGGTTGCGAGAAGGAGCTTTGCAATCAGATATTCAGAAAGTTCTTCGACATGCCAAGAAAATTCCTGAAAAAACGACACATTTCTATAAAGAACTCAACAGAATTAGAAGAAATGCACAATCGTTAGGATTCGACTCATTAATTGAGATTCTTGCAGAAATATTCGACAAAGAAGCGCAACTTTTGATGCTGCCAACTGCAAAAGCTCATCCAGAATGTTCAGTCCAATTATCACATGCTGCAAGAGAATTGAGACGAGGCGATCGAGATTTAATAAAGAAATTAGAGCAAGCTTGAATATTTTTAAGTAAAATGTAAACAGAGAATGATTTGATGATAGAAATAAATTTTTTATTATTTACGGAGGCTCCACTCTGTGATTAGCCTCCGCCTTCAATTAATGCAAAAGTTTTGTACAGTTTGGGTTTTTCTGTCTTCGTTAAGCACTACCAATTCATATTTCCTGAACGATTTTGGAAATTTCCGTCCGCAGTATAAAACTGCGGTTATCAAATTCCTATCGAAGAATTTTTAGAAGTAGTAGAATTGAAACTCCAATAAAAGGCCACTTTATGATATTTTAACTAACATTGAATAGATAACAAATCGTGAACCAATAAAAATACGAACGATAAGATAAGCTCGATTGAAGGTGAAATTTTGTAAATGTTGAAATGTGGCAGTGAAATCGTGTCTCATGTAGCGATATTTCACAGATCATAATTTATGCTAAAAATGTTTTAATGACTTTTCTTCAACAATAGAACTAGATACATATCTAAATATTTCTGAAATTTATTTAAATTATCTTCTAGTTCTAAGACTTTTTTATAATTCAAAGAAAAATTTATTTTATTTATCTCATATTTTCATTTTTTTTAAACTACAACAACTTTGGAATGAATTTAATGAGGTTGAAGAAGAAAGGAAGCAATAAATGATTCATATAAAGACGAAAAAGAAAATTTAATTCTTGGTTTTTAACACGCTTGATTTTCGAGCTTCAACAATTATCATTAAATTCTCTACTTTGACTGCTGCGAGAGTGGAAAATTTCCAACATAGATATTTGAAACTTCTTCTTTTTCGAAATATCTGACAATTTTATGTGCCTTGATTTCCTCAGTGTCAGTAACAATCGTAAAGTTCGATGAACGACCAGCCATCCAAAGTTCCTTGAAAGCTTCAATTTTTATATCCTCCAATTTTGCGTGTAAAGCACACTCACAAAATTGAAGGATTTAAAGACTGAGGGATTCTAGGAACATCTGTTCATCCTTCTTGCCGAATCTGATATTAATACGTCAGTTCATCTTTCCTCATTGGTTTATCACATTTCGCATAATTTATGCGGCATAAATTAAGTGATTTTGTTGTTCTGACACCATAGCATCCTAATATTTTCAAGTCCAACCAAAAGAGATATGTTGGACTTGAAAATATTGAGGTGCTATGGTGCTATTGACTTCAATCCACTCTCATGATCGTTGTTTTATAAAAATAAATCGCTTCGACATCTTTTTCATTTAAATGTTTTCCATTAATGATGTCAGGCTTTTTAATTTAAGGCGAAATAATAAAAACTTTTATGTATTTAACCTAAAGATTACCACATCGAAATCATAACTGATAACCAGTCGACTTTAGACTTTACTAAATTAATTCCATGTTAGTTGAATTTCTGAAGCTTTTCGGAGACAAACCACTGAAATTAAAGAAAGAAAATGTTTCCATTAATAAAATCAAATATAATACTTAAATCTGTTTAATAAATAATAAAAATCTCATTCTAAACAGTTTTTGTCATTTCCGAAAAGGAACAACACTCGCTCAAGACTGTGTCTTTAAACTGGCTCAACTTCCCGGTAAAACCTTTTACATTATAATCATTGATCAAATAAGTTCTACTAAATTGTTCATAAAGTTTTATTACTTTTGATTTTATCACATTTAAAATGAATTTATTATATTTTAAAGAAATCGCTTGCAATGCATTGTAGTCATTGCAACGACTAATTTATGACTGTGGCCGCGTAGGAAGGTAATTTTAGTAACCTAAAATCGAATTCCCTCCAGTTTAAGTTACGAAGGTTTCTCTTCAACAGATTGTGGTGAGTTTAAATGTAAACAAACCGGCACAAAATAACGAGGGAAAAGTTGAAAATAATTTGTGAAATATAAAGCGGATATTAATTCTATTATGTTCAGGTGAGTTTAAATTAAATATCCATTCATCAAAATCTTATTTCTTTGTTATAAGTTTCAGGAGAATCAAAGTAAATTCAGCTTTACTTGGTTTTAGATACAAATCATTCAAACTAACACAAATTGAATCAACAAAAATATCGAAAGCAGATAAAGTGAAGAAGTTACATTATGAAAATAAATATTTATATGGTTCAAAGATCAAGACTGCTAAAGGATCAAATAAAGAGGTGAAACAGACAAATGAACCAGTTGATCAAAACGATATTTCATCTGAAATTTATTGGCAATGTATTCACGTTCCAAAGATACCAGATTTAAGTTCAGTGAAGAAAAAAGTAAAGACAAAATCAAATGCAGCTGATGACACTCTTTCAAAACCTAAGAATAGAAACAATAAGAACAAAACCGAAAAAAATCTTTCAGACAAATGGACTGAAGAAGATTCCAAATCATTGCAAAACACGAAATCACCAAAACAACCGAAATCGAATTCTCTGAGTGCGACAAAGCAGCCAAAACTTCCTGACAGTTTAAGCAAACTTCAAACAAATCTTCAAGAAGTCAAAGTTTATATAAAGAAAACATTGGATGAAGATTTAAAAGTTCCGCCAACTGCACAAGACGATGAAGAGATTGAAGAACGTGACATCCCTTTTGAGAATAATCAATTAAGAGCAATTCCTAATTTCCCACTTTTCTTAGATGGCAAAAATATCATTGAACCCTTTTATGAGAATTTAAATTCAGATAAAAGTTATTTTATTCCCAGTGTGAGTAAAATTCTCCAAGCAACGATGCCAGAAAGTCAACGACTTGCTTTAATTCAATGGAAGAATTTAAAGATATCGGAATTAGGATTTGAAGGGTTTCAATTGATGCAACAATGTGAGATAATTAAATTATTTTATTCGATTAGTTTAGTAAATATTTCGTTTTATAGCACATTTAAATCGTGGTAAGATGTTCCATGAATATCTTCACAAACATTTCAGTGGTGAAACTGTCGTAAAGTCTGAAATATCATCAGAAGTTCTCGAGATTTGGAACAGTGTTGAACCGTACTTAGAAATGTTTCAAACTCCTGGAGTCATAACTGAAGAACATGTAAAACATCCGCAACTTCATTACAAAGGAATTGTTGATTGTGTAAGTTTTCATAATTCTACATTATCTGTGATTGAATGGAAGAAATCTGATCGACAAAAAAAGACAATCAACTTCACTTATGACGCTCCTGTTCAACTTTGTTCATATCTTGGTGCACTTAACGCTTCTCGAGGTGAATTCCTAGAGAATCCAATCAAACATGGAGTCATTGTTGTTGCTTACAACGACGGACAAAAAGCAAATCTCTTCGAATTGAAAGAAGCCGATCTGAAGAAATATTGGAAAATTTGGTTGACAAGATTACAAGAATATTGGGTTCGTTATAAAGACAACACGCTGCCTGATCCTGTTTAAGAATTTTTAAATTTTAAGAGACGAAAAGAAGATTTGTAACAAAGTTGTTAATATGAAATTTAAAAATAAAATAAAAAATTTCTATAAAAGTCAAAAGCTAATTTTATTTCGCAAGCCTTATTCGGTGTCAATACTTAATACAGCTTCGACCTGATGATGACGGTAATAAAAAGATTATTTTCATGTTTTTCTATTCACAAAAATATTTAATCTAGCTATTCAAAGTTTTAATTTAATAAAGAAAATGTTCAAATGTCATAAACGTTCTTAACACTAAAGTTTCATTAAACACTCATCGAATAATGTAAACAAGCATATTAAAATTTTGATAACTTAAACAGATTCATCTTAAGGTTGCGCAAGATTTGGAGTTGAGTAAGAAAAGAAGAAGAAAAAAATTCTTGAAATACTTTTCAATGGCGCCAAATTTTTTTTGTTTGTATCTTTTTGTTTTCATTAATTTAAATTAGATTTAAATCACTTTTGATTGATGGCTCTGTTTTGTGTTTTGTGAAACTTTCGAGGAATAAAAAAATAAAGGAAATAAATTATTGTTCAATTAGACATGTCTCAGATAAATATTTGTTGGTGTTAATGACCTTTGCGAAAGTTCAGGAGATTCCAGAACACTCCTTAAAATTTTATTCGATGTTATCATTGAAATGGAATTTCCACTGATGATTCTCTTCTTCTCTAATAGAATGAAAATATTTAATTAACATTCTATGATGGTTCCATTCATGATGAAGAGCGTCTGGATAAATCCACTTGTGCGAATCGAATCGAGTCTACTTGACTTGATAATGACAATATGGGTCATGAAAATAACCAGGAATCAGATAACAAAACACCCCCGCCAGCATTTCACGTAATGTGATACTCAATTATCACTTAAATAGTCGTTTTATTATGAATAATTTATGTAGATATCAAAAATAAATCATTTTAATTCTCGCACAATCCGAAAGCAGATGTAAAGAGCCAATTATAGAAAATCTCAAAAGTTATTTTAATCTAATCCGCTTCGCTCAAACATCGTAAAAGCAGGAACAGATCAAAGAGTAACTTTGTCTTCTCTGAGTGGCATTGAAGTGCCTGCTCGCCTGCATCAATGGTCAACTTAATGTCATTCAAGCAATTTTCTCCCGCGATCTTTCTTTTTTAAGATTTTCATTCATGACGCCAGTTTATAATTTATTGTTTCTTCTTTTCATCGAAGATGTCGTCATGCATCGTCAAACGAAAATATAGAGAAAATCTTCGGAAAATTTCATTAATTAATTTTCTTCTTCTTTCTTTCCGCTCACTCAGTTATTTTTAAACATTTTTTCTTAATAAGTTATATGGAAGTGTGGAGAGAACTTTGACAAGGTCATTGCGAATGGATGGGTGCAGATACACTTGTAAACTATCATCGTCTCGATTGATATGATTTAATGAAAATTGTCAAGAAACAAGCGTCGTGTGAATGTTTGTCGTTAAAACTTGTTTTTCTCTTCATCATTCTTTTAATTTAAAAAGGAAATAACTTGAATGATTGTGTCAGGTGAATCATCCAAATGTGGTTGATTGAAATGACGTCATGTTGGAAAAAATTATAAAATATGAATTTCAATTGATGAACCCTAAGGACAGAAGTTTAAACAAAAGAAACTGCAAAATAATTTATGTTTCTCTCTCTGCCGTGTGATTTTTGTTTTATATTTTCTCGATAGTTTTGTCCCCACAGAGTTGTCCATTAGCTCTACACATGACGTTGTTTCTCGTCTCATGCGAGAGAATCAGCAGTCCGAGAAAGAAAGAAGAAAAAAAAGAGACACAGAAGTAACAGACTTGAAATAAACAACAGCGGCGAACGTAGGAAAATAAATCGAGAAAAAAAGTTTTCAGTTTACTTTTGATCGTTCAACATTTAAGATCGCAAGTTGCGAATTTTCTGTCGTGCCGGCAAAAATTTCATTTCTTTTTGGGATTACTTTGAAAATTCTTTGATCTCGCGCGGATCGTTTGATCTTGTTCTCACTTCGAAAACAAATTTTTATTTTGCAATTCTTAATTGTGTAAAATTGCGATGCAGTCAACGATATATTGAGTGAAGCAATTTGTAAAATCACTTGACGATGTTTTAGTTGCTGTTCTGACTGAATAATAAAACAGTGAAGAATTTTGTTTTGTCTAAATATTTTTCCTTCTTTTGACAAGCGAGAGATTAAAAAGTGCAGAAAAATGACTGTGGAAACGACATCATTTTTGTCGGGTACAAAAATCACCAACAATGGAAGTGAAAAGTCAGCCAAATTACTAAAAAATAATAAAAATTTGATCATAATTTTGCTGGCTGTTATTCTCGTTTTGTTTTGCATTGGGGCATCTGTCTTACAGGTACCATCATTTAGTGATTAGCTTTCCTTTTTCTCATCTATGTAAACATCTACAAAAAGTCGTGCACAGCAATTAAAACAAAATTGAAGCAAACGTTCTAAAAACTTTTACAAAGGAATTTTATTGGCGTGAAAATTGAGTTCCGTTGTGTTCGTTAAATTGCGAAATATTTCGCACTTGATTAATTTTTAATTGAATAATTTTTTAATTTAATACACATCGTGGGATAAAATAAAGTTTTTAATTTCTCATATCACAGATTTGGGTTTGTAAACGCATGAATGGAATGCAACAGGAAATCGATCAACTGAAACTTCAATTCGATGAATTTCAAAAATCTGACATTTTTGAAGATGAAATGTTCGATGATCTTCACGATTTCAGCAAAAAGGTAAGAAACGTCTTTAAAATCTCTTGACATTTGCGATCATTCCCTGTCCACTGTCAATTCACATCACATTGTTGAATATAAAAAAATTTCTTTAATCGCGCGCGAATACGAAAATGTTTCTAAGAAGAACATTGCAATGAACCGGCGCCTGAGTCTCTATTTTGAGTGTTTAAGCGGCGTCAAATGATTGTGTTCAAGCAAAGATGACTTGAATGAAAAGTAAACATGTTGAGCTGCTGGCCATAAATCTTTCACACAAGGGTAGGAATTGAAATCAATTTTGGCGTGTGATTTTATTATTCCTGTGAAATTTGTCACCTTTGAAATTGTGTGGTAAATAATCTACTCGAGAATTTTCCGAATCACTTGTTAAACGAAAAAGAAAAACGGTTTGTTTACAGTATGCATTTAAAGACGCAATACGTGTGGGCGTAATTAAAAAGCGATACAATTTTTATTTTTGTGATCTAAATGTCTGGTTTACGAAACAAACTTGTCGAGTGATGAATTTCTAATTCATTTTGTTTGTATCTACAATTGCAACATGTTGCATTTAGCATCTCTATGTCGAGATTAATTGAGCTGATTCTCAGTTGGTTATTGCATTAAATTTAATTAATTTCTCGTTGCTCCATTCATTCTGCCGACATTGTGAGTTTCAATTTGATTGAAATGGAAACAAACTGACAGAACCAACCGTTGACATCATACAAAAGAAGTTGAACATTCAATTCTGTGATGCTGATTATGGAATTGTGAGCGACTTTTTTTCCTTTTCTCTATTTCCATATTTGCAATGGCAACTCGTTTATTTCGCACCAAAAACAGTGTTTCAAACAAGTTGAAACAAAGCGTTATAAAAGGTAAAGAGAACAAACAGAACAGATTCAATTATCATCTTAAACGTTACTTCAACTTTGTATACTCATATTGCAATTTTATGATTGAAGTGATAATAATTTAAATAAACATCTTCATTTGTCTTCTGGAACATTGGCAATTTAGATGAAAATGAAATATTTCACGCAAACGACAATACCGAAAGTAGATTGAACAATTTCCAATTGTAATTTCATTAAGATTTATTGACGCAGTCAAATGAAATTTAATTTAAATTTGTTAACTCAATTTTAATGTTAGGAAAAAGAAAAATATGTGGCAGTGACAACAACCATCAGAGTATGAGATGATAGGAAAGGAAATTTGTTATTTTTAGTGTTGTCAGTGACTTGTTTTGATGCTCGACAAATCACAAAATTTTCTTCTTTCGATTAAAAGGGTCATCGAGCCGCGCCATTCACTTAAAGAAGTCAACTTATTCAACATCAATTTACATTAGTGGGATGGTTGTAAAGTTGTGGCAGTTTGAATCACTTTGAAACTTTGACTGATGTCGTTAATGATTAGCTTGTAAAATGCGTTGATATAAATGCAATTGAGATGTAATAAATTATAATTAAATCTTTGTTAAATGCTTAAGGGCATTACGCTCGTCTCCACAAGTTTCTGATGATCCCATTTCACTTAATTGATGACTTTTAAAGCACTCACGACAAACCGAGATCTTGCTTTATTTTGTATCGTCGCAATATCCATGAATTATTCATAAAACTCGATGAAGTGTAAACAAAAACAGTTTATGAATGTTTATCAAGCGAGAAAATTCAGTCGTAAGGATGTTAAGACTGCTTGAAAGCACTCTTTCCCATGAACATAAAAGAAAAGCCTTTTTCATGTTGTTTGCTTGGCCTCCATCAACATTTTACGACTTATGGAAGAATGATATCTTGATTTTATTTATAACGAATAGAAATTTCAATCTACGTACAAATTGAAGAAGAAGAAATCAAATAGAATCTAACTAAGTTAGTTTTATTTACTCATCATCACATGAGACTTTCATTCGCCAAAATAAATCGAGAAAGAAAAAAAACTTTTCTGATTTTATCGCTAAAAATAAATAGTAAAAAAAATCCAAGGAAATTTACGATCAATAAAAAATTGTTTTCGACTTCCCTTTTTCTCCATGGAGTTGGATCTATGTAGATGCTCCTGCTGATTTGATTTGAAATGAAAAACATGTTTGACTGGAGTTTTTAAATTCAAGAATTGTTTATTGATTTGCTTTAGAAAGATTTACGAAAATCAAACTGGACATGAAATTCTAATTTATTATCTAAAAGTGGTTGGAAAATGTTTCGGTAATGAAATTTTTTTTTTGCTATAATCTGTTAGTGCCACTCGTCACCCACACATTTCATAAGAGAAGGAAATAAATTTGATTTAGATGACAAGTCAAGTTCATCATTTCGTGCTCTAATCAATTTCCATTAACGACCTTTCTTCGTTTTATTCTTCCCCACGAACCTTCCCCATTGAGCACGTGAACAAAACGTAACACGGCATCAAAGACGATTTTTAATTGCTTTTGAACCTTTTCACATGCCATTTTAAACAATAAATGGAGAGTGTTAATTAAATTTGTGTTCTAACATTTTCTAGAAGTTCTTTTTTTGCTTGCTGATATTTCTTCCTACCTTTCACTTTGTCTTATTTCACCTTTATATGAATTCAAAAACGATAAGTTGTTCGTTCATCGCGATCGTTTGCATAATCAGATTCTCTCTCATGTGTGCTATTTAAGGCAACATGAATAGAACAGAACGGCTGATGGAGAAGTTGAGCTCCTTTTTTCGTGCTAATCGATACCAAATAAACGAGTCTTAAAAGACCATAAATGGAATCTTCTTTTCGTTGACAAACAATTCGCTGCCCACACTAATCACATTCCTTCGGATGTTCATTTGTTTTCATCTATTTACGAGTCTCATTCAATTTTATCGCGATTTGTTATCATCTTAATAACAGGTTCAAAGACTCGAAAGTCTCTTCAGTTTTTTCTGGAGGAGTCAGATAATTTAACAAAAGAAAAACAAAAATATTTCGGCGGATAAGCCACTTGAGATGATTTGAGAGTTTTGTCTGAAAAGGCAAATTCTTTTTTCATCCGAATATTTAACGCAAATATTGGACTCTGAATTGAAAAGTAAGCAAAATCCCGGATAGATTTAAATTCTGATTTTACTTGTCTCTCTCTATTTTTATTTTCGAATATCTAAGAACTTGCGACATTTATGTAAATCATTGAACCAACTGCTGTCGAGAGACCTTTGCCGACCTTGACTCAATTTAAGATTCCAAAGTGTCTATGTAGGTAATAAACCCTGAATCAATCAAATATCTCAGCGCATTCAATTCGAAAGAAAGAAATATAAAAAATCTTTTGATCACGATCCAATTAATGCCAAAAAGAAAAAAAATTAATTTGCGAGAAGACAAATTGAACCTCAAATTAGTGGATTACAATAAGAAAAGATTCATGATTTAGCAGAAAATTTATATCGCACTAATTAACTTTCAATCTTAAAAAGAAGAAAAAATTAATTCGGTGTTGTGAAGTTTAAGAAATGAACAAAGTCACCAAATCAATTGAAAGATGTAGAGCTACACGAGAAACCGCTAAATACTTATAAATAAAATTGCGTCTATTCGTCTTTTCTTATTAAATCAAGCGACAAATGAAAAAGAAAACATTTAGGGAAAGCCAGGAGGAAAGCGTTTTATTAATGGTGACATTGAAAAAGCATTTTCAAAACACTGTCAAGATGTAAGACTTGCTTCTTAAGATGTTTATCTATTTGTTGGTTTGCGTTGTTGCGTCGACGAGCACCAAATATAAATAGCGCGTTCATATTTATATTTATCATTTGTTTTATGCGGAAAAAAAGTGCAAATTTATTGACGCGTCTAAATTCAGAATTTTATAAATATAATCGTCGTGTGATGTTCGAATGAAAGCGTGAGACGTAAACAGTAACCACAAGTTGCCACAATTATCATCTCACAGGCAATCTAAACACAACATAAATTTAATTTGAGAATAAAGATAAATGTGACAGTGCATGTGACGGCATAGAAAAAGTTCGCCGAACTCATTTGCAGTTAAATTTAAATTTAAATCTCGTACTTTGAATAAAATTAATGTCTTTAATATTAGACACAAAGTTGATCGAGATACTTTTAATTTACGTCACACTTAATTTGAGGAAACCAAATTACTTAAATTGACGATTTAATCAATGAATGTTTTCATGTCGTTAAGGGCCATTTTGAGATATATTGGAAGAAGTTAACAACACGCTTTAATCGCACCCCAGCAGAGCTTCTCATCATTAACAATGTAAAAAATGATACTTGATGGCATTTGAAATCGCCATTTCAACCCAAAACAAGCGTGCTTAAATATCATTAAGAACTGACTGAAATATTTACGATATTCGGCATCTTGCTAGACCTTAAACAGCAGTTGAGCGAGAGAACAAATTTTAAATGTAAAATCTTGTAAGATAGAAACGACTTGACTTATATGTTTGCGTATTTTTAATTTTAGTCTCACCTCGATCACAAATGTTATGCTAATAAGTGTTTGATTAATCTTCTGGCATATATTCATGAGATGTTCTAAGATTTACGACTTCTTGTTCAAGGATATGCTCTCATCCTTTAAGTTGCTGTCGTAATGTTTGTTGAGATTTTGTCTTCTTCTCTTAATATTCGGGGGAGATTTTAGAAACATTTAAACATGACGCCAGTGGAAACAGATATTTATTATTAACATAACAAATGTTTCACTATGATATCTGAACAAAAAAAAAAGAATTTCAAGTTTAAGATGAAATAAAGAAAATAAAACAATCAACTGACACATTGAATTAACTTGAAAAGCACGAGGTTTAATATCTTTCAAACATGCTTGTTTATTTATTATTAGTACAATCAAAACGATGTTAGAGATGAAATGGATTTAGATGACAACCTCTCCATAAGTGCTGACAAAACAAAGTTTGACGATGTTGGAGATGAAGACAGTTCTGAATTATCAGAAGAAAGTGACGACAACTACGAAAATATTCACAGGTGGACAATTTTTTTCTCTTTTTCATTTTCATTAAATCTTAATTTATCTTTAAAACTTTTCTTAGTGGATATGGTGACAGTTATGAAGATGATGAGTTGTATGATGATTTAGAAGACGATATGGAAGAGAAGCCATTGGACGTACATAAAGAAAATGATGATGATGACGATAATAATATCTACAAGGACATGACAAGAACTCGGTAAAAAGTGGCAATGGAATTCAATGAATTTAAAATAAAAGAAAATTCTTTCTTATCTTAGTAAAACACGTTCCATTGTGGAAATTACCAACCAAGGTGTCCCTGTTCTTGAAGAACCATACACAACACATCGCAATCCAACAAAATCGTCATTAGTTGCTGCCAACGCTCTTGAAAATCAAGATGAAAAGAATCCAAGACTGAAATTGACGTGGCATAACAATCAGAGAATTTTCAATGGGCCGAGAAGGTAAACATTTCATGTATCGTTTAGTAATGGCTGTCAATGTTTATTAAATTTCGCTGTGAAAATGCTTCACACTTCCACCCACATATTTTTCTTGTTTTAAACTCTCATATTTTGTGAAATTTCTTTATTAATTTTCATTTTTCATAGACAATATCATCGTGGACAGTACAACAGAGTTCATCACAACGTTCGTCATCATCATAACTTGGAAGATTCAAAACGTCGATTTGCTTTCGCTGCTGCTCCTCTTCAACATACTTTTGCGAACTTTGGAAAGGTGAGTTGATAGTTTAAGAGATTTTCTCATAGAGAAGAATATTTTGAAGTTTTAGCACTTCCAAACCGACGGAAGTAAAATTATTGTAAAGACTTCGTGCGAAAATTTCCAAACATTTCGGTTCATTTGGAAGAAATTCGCGGAAAAGATCTGGCAAAAGAAATTAGTTCAATTAAATTTTTACGTTTCAAATTTTTTACTCACCTATTAGTGGGGGTTTATGAGAATGAATTGAACTCGGATGGCTGAATATAAATTTTTCATCTTTTATTTCTTGATAATTATTTTGACTATTTACATGGCAAGTTACGAAAATTTGTTCAAAAGGTTTTTTATTTCCTTCAATATTATTAAACAGTTCACCATTTCTATCAATTTTCACCCATTGCCATCTCGATAAAAGCTTTAGATTCCATTTATTGAGAATTCTTTCTTGTAATGCTGTAATGTGACTCGGTGAGTTGGTGCACCAAACAATTACAATAGAAGAATTCTTAATGTAATTTTCTAATGGAATTTCCATTATTTCATCGTCAGACATTGTAAAATATCCTTGCTTACTACCAGTTTTCTTCTTGACACGCTTAATGTAACGATTCTTCCAAGGCGGATCAATAACAATGAAGTCAAATTTATTAGCTTCATCTGATGGAAGAAACGTCTCCATATCTTCAATTTTCTTATTGAAAAACTTACAACATGAAGGAATGAGATAAATATTTTCCTTAATTGTCAGAAGTTTTCCGTACTGCAGATTATTTTCTCCGTGGAAATATCCGACATCGGTAGAAGATTCGTCGTCATAAAACTTGTTTACGAGTTTTATATTCTCATCTTTCAGTTTTTCCTCTTCATCAATACTACTCGTTAAAAATAATTTCATCTTTTTGCAAGAGTTTAAAAAGTCTTTAATGATGGTTTCAGTATCATTGCTTTCAACTGTATCTGATGTCGCTTTTTGCTTTCGTTTAAAATTGTTGAATAAAGTTTCACAAAGTTGATAGACAGCATACTCCTCATTTTTACTGTTACTTTTATATTTATTTCTTTGTCGATTATGTGTGATTAGTTTGCAATTATTTTCCTCGAAAATCACCGACATTTACTAAGAAAACAACAATATATTCGTTGAAAAGTAAAAAAGCCGGATTGATGTTTTTAAATATATCTATTTAAAACAAAGAGCTTTTATATTGAACGTACTCAAGTGAATGTGATTTGTAATAACCGATTAATCTCTTCGACTTTTCATATGATCTTAACGGATTTGAACAAAACACTGTGAAATATGAAGTACTAGATTTAAAAAAGTCGCAATTAACCGAGGCAGCAAGATATAGAGTTTAAATTAATTTATTTTAGTGAAATTTCACCAATATCCATTACATTTTTGATTTAATCTGCGTTCATAAGACAAGAATGATTGAATATTTCTCAAAGAAGCGGATGGTATTTGGAATATTAGGTTTAATCTCGTAAGTAAAATTTTCAACACGATCGCGATGATATTTATGACGAAATAATTTCTTTTACAGGCTGACCATCTTGGTATTGTTCATTGAATCAGAGTGGGATCTCATATCACAAAAACCAAAATCATTTATAGTAGAAAACAATTCAACTTGTTATTTAAAGGAACAATTTGAAACACTCAGTCATTGTTCACCGTGTACCGAGTTTGAAATTAAGCTAGCAAAGAGTCAACGAGAAGGCGTTTGCTTTCACACCCACAACAAAGAAATTCTAAGGTGTCAATCAGGAGAAATTGTTATTAAATCTTGTGATAAAATCGCTTGGCTTGAGGAGAGAAATTTTTATATCTTCACCGTTTTTTCCTTCATCATTTGTGCCTTCGCCACAACAATTGTTTACACTCGTCAAAAGTTTTTAGATCGCAATTCCTTCAGATCAACATACGGATAGACCATCATGAATCATTTATACATAGCTGGAGAAGAAATAAATGAGACTGACAAGGTTTTTCATCTCACAATCGACTCTTACATTTCTGTGTTCGTTTGGAAGCTTTTAAAAGCTCACGACGAAGTTCAAATCAAACTTGTAGCGATACACGACAATAAATCAACAGTGGAAATTAATTTAAAAGACGTTAAATATGACAATGTTGTTGACGACAATGTTACTTCAAAGTTGCCAATGTTACAACTCGGTGAACATCATAAAGTTATCGGATTATGTAGCATTTTACGTGGAATGTGCAATATAATGAAGACAACACGTTTAAAAGGAGATTTTGCAAAACAACTTTTGGGATTTAAAGAGAATTGTCTAATGTCGCCTTCGGAAGTTTCACTGTGGACGAACTTTTGTGAACGTGAAATGATTTCATGTACAGAACGTCTTCGAGATATTTCACATGATGATGGAATTGAATTTCCAATTGAAATGATAAAATTTGAACGTGATTTAACAAATCCATTACGAATTCATAATGTTTATAAAGTCGCTCGGGATATGAAGCAAGATCGATCGATAAAAAGTGGATCTGAACTTGACCTCGAACATAAATATTGTCATGGAAATGAAATCAATTTGTCCGATGTAATCTTATATTCGATTTATAAATTAATTTTCTCTTCTGCCGTCAGTGTTAGTGACGTCAATGCCATAATTCCTCGCACTGTTCAATGGTTTAGAAACATGGAAGAGGAAAAACTAAATGAAAGTTTTGAAGCTTTAACAGACGGAACAACGCGGTTTTTTAAACGAAGGAAATTTGTTGGTGAAATTCCAGAAGTGAATGAAGATGGAAAATATTTCAGTTTATTTAAACGACAACTGACTGGTTACAAGCACAAGAATCGCAAGGTGTTTACTGATCAAACTGAAATTGAAATAATCTTTGAAAAGTTGAAAACATTAGACGTCAATATCACCAGCATTCCAGGTGATGCTAATCATGATGCTGTCAATGACGATTACGTTCATGAGATTTTAAAATGCGGTCAATTGCCAGCTCATCGATTCGATAACAAGAAATCGCAATTGAAAAGCATTGCAAATGAAGTTTTAAAAGTCGCACAACCTAACGACGTCATTGTTGACTTTTGTAGTGGAACTGGTCATTTGGGATTTCTCGTAGCGAAATTGTTGCCATCATGTCGCGTTTTTATTCTCGAAAATAAAGAAGAATCAATAAATCGAGCGAAATTGAAAGCCAAGATGCTAATGCTAGACAACGTGACTTTCTTCCAATGTAATCTCGAATATTTTAATGACGACTTTACAATTGGTTTATCACTTCATGCTTGTGGTGTTGCAACAGATTTAGTTCTACGAAAATGTTGGATGAAAAATGCGAAATTCATTTGTTCGCCATGTTGTTACGGAAAGATTCAAGATCTTGGTAACCTGCCACAAAGTGAAATTTATCGCAATGTTTTGTCAACAAGAGATCTCATTAATATTGCACATTGCTCAGATCAAACTCACGATGCGAAAAACGTGAAGCATATTAACGTTGAAAAAGCACAACAAGGATATTTCTGTATGGATGTTATTGATACTGACAGATTGTTACGAGCCAATGAGCTTGGATATTCCACCACTTTAACTCGGTTACATCCCGAGAATTGTTCCTTGAAGAATCGACTTTTAATAGGAGTTTTGTGATGACTAAGATTATTAATTAAAAAGAATTTAAAGTAATAAAAATAAAATTTAAATAATTTAAACTGAAAATTTATTTCTTGATTTCTTTTAATATTTGTTGAGTTACCGAGAAAGCTTAATTATATTTATTTGTAAACATTTCTCATCATTTAAACAGAAATTCAACGAAACTTCTTCACCAAACGTTGCTTCAGCACCAATTCAATCGCGAAGTTCTCGTGTGATGCATGTTGAAGATAAATCAAAAGCATTCAGACAGGTTGTGAGAAAAGATCAATTACATAAATTGCAGGAAGCGAGACGTGCGCCAGAACAATGGAATTCACAAAACTTCAATACAAGACGACGAATCATGAATCCAATGAGAAGAAATCTTGAACTCAAAAGTAATTGAAATTATTATTTCACTTAAAAAATTTAAAAACATATCCAACACTCTGTCATTGAAACATTCAGCAAATATTTAATCATATCTAATTATAAAATAACATGACTAACAACAGTTCATGAACACTCAAAATTTCCCGTTGATAATAAAACAGCAAAAAAGTTTTAAGAGCTAAAAGAACTTCATAAGAATTCCCGATTAAACATTTTTATATTTGCGAACACTCACAGATGGCAAACGAATGAAAATAACTGCAGCACATTTTGAAGGCGACTCATCAAGTCTGGCTTTAGGAAGACATCACGAATATCAAGGTGAGGAAGGTACATGATAAATGATAAGAGAAATAAATTCTCAACGAATGAATTCATCTTACTACGCATAAAATTTCTAGGCAACAACAAAGTGAAGTTGAATAAAAACGAATATATTCACTGGCAACCAGCAGATTGGATAAATGAACATGGAATGGATCGTTTCTTCAGCATGGACCCATTGGGTGTTCTGACAGTGAAAGATCATGGCTTGTTCCTTATATACGCTCAGGTATTTAACTTTCATAAAGAAAGAAAAACATTCAAAACAGGGAATTGAACTTTCAATAATTCTTCTCATGTCGAACTTTCAACTACCTAATTCAGTTCCAAACCCCTGACCAAAACAAACTTGTTTGTTATTTTTAAGTATTTTAGATATTTCTTTATTTACATTCTCTCATAATAACAAACAGGTATTCTATTCAGACGATCATGATGTGAATGGATACGTGATCGAAGTAAACAATCGTGTTCGATATCAATGCACAACAATGACACACACGACATCGCGTGTCACGAAAATCAATTCGTGCTATACGAGTGGACTGATTCACTTAAGGCATGGTGATAAGATTCAATTGAGGGATATTGGAAATCATCGATCTGTGCTTTTGGAACCTTCGAAAAGTTTCTTTGGACTAATTAAAATTAACCTTGTAGCTCCGTCAGTTGAAAGCAGTGAAGTTGAAACATTTACAGGCGTGAAAAAGTAAAAAGAAACTTTCTCATTTTATCTAAATGAACTTTATTTGCTAAGATGCGGAGCAACTTTTATTCTACGACATAAATAAATATTTTTTACTCCTTAATGTGATTATCTGATAATAAAGAAATCTTCTCTTGATTCTTCATAACGATGCTGTCTTGTCTTGATCTCTCCATCAGAGTCAAGTCAAATCAACTTTCTGTTTTTAACTTTTCGAGAACTTTGAATTATTTTTAAAGCCTGTAATTAAATAATTATTTATGCGGCCATAATGAATGTTTATCACTGCTTGTGAATCATTAACAACAGTAATTATTAAGGTTGAGAATGTTTAATTATTTAATCTGAAACTAAAAGTGTTTTAACACTGAAATATCAAACATACAAAAAAGCTAATCAATTCGAAGATAAGAAAAACTTTTCTGTTCTGTTGTAAATAATGAAATGATTTTTATTTTCAAGCTGAGTAATAAATAAAAATGGTTTTGGATCAAGTCAAACATATACAAAATGATATCGAGTGCATTCATCGGATTTCAAAATTTTCCATGTCACACATAAGTGGGAAGCGTTGGATGTTATGTAACGTAATCGATTCGTCAGCTTAAGGCTAACGAACTCTTTGCTGTTTAAAATATTTATGCAGTAAAGTGGAACTCTTCATGAATAATTTTTCCAGCTTAACTTTGTAAATTCTCTGACATTATTCATAAATGATAATTGGCTTTATGTCAGCGAAAAAAATTGTTTCTTTTTTTGTGATGATTCCAGGTGAATTAAAATAAATTTTCTTCACACCACGACACTAACTGAGTGGAAAATTGGATTTTGCTTTATTATCTACTTCATGTGTTGTGAAAAAATAAACAACGGTTGAATTATCGATTAGGCATTTTAAAATCCACACACATTATGGAATCGACAAATTGTTTTCATTCATTTGTTTACCTGTTCGCCTTTTAAAAGTGAGTTGACTGCTTGTCATGAGTTGTAAACTGCAAGCGAAAATATTATGAGTCAGCGGATTTCACGATAAAAACTTATAAACAACAATCGATGACGCGGAACCTTTTCTTGTGTTTTCTTTTCAATCGAATAACGTCTCGTCATCACATTGAATAAATATGCAAATCTACAAGCATTGCTGTTAAAAAAGTCTTGAATGGTTGTTTTAGGTAGGAAAAGAAAGAGAAGCTCGTTAATGTTGGCGTAACTCTATGTATGGACCTCCAATGTGATTCATTCAACCTTCCTGGAACTGAGGTAATAATAATCGGATATAAATAAGGATCAATAAAGAAAGATTAACATCATGTCAAGTCAATAACTATTTCCTTTCCCACTTGTTTCCTAAATCAACTTTCCGACAAGTACTTATTGACGCCTTCATCTTTATTCAATAATGTCTTCAATATTTATGAAGTGAGAACTCTTTCGACCAAACATTCTTCAACGAAAGATCAACGAAACATGTAATTAGATTTTTTTTCTAACATGGGTTCATGTCCGTTCATATAAAAATCGAATAGAAAGAAAAAGAATTCGTTAGCCCCACTTCCCGCTTTCAAGGGCAACACCGAAATGAATCATTGAACCGCCTTAGGTATTATACATTTTGTTTTATATTCAACGCGTGAATCTTTTACATTATGTATTAAAGATCGTTGGAATAGACGAGTTTAATATTGTTAGAAAAGGCGAAGAAGTATTCAAATATTTATCTGCGTCTCGAAGCTGAGTGCTTAATGGAAACAAGCTTCAAGCTAGACGAGATTGGAAATTTTTTTTTCAACTTTATACATAAGATTTTTATTCAGGAATAAATAAAACGTAATTAACTATGTTTAGAGCTTTTAACGCACAAAATATATTCGATGTTTTAACACCTGTTAGTGTCGTTCTCTTTCCCTACTCGAAAATTTTGGGAATCATACGACAGCGGACAAATTTGTACGTGATAAGACGAACGTTGTCAATGGGTGTGTTCATAAATACTGCTCAATTCTTGATATTGTATCTTTTCGAAGTAATTTATGCTTCATAAATAAATTAAAGGGAGAAAAATTTCATTGAAGTTTCAACAAATCGACACGTCGACGAGAGAAAAATTTGTAAACAATAAAAAATAAACATTTTTACTCCATGAAACTCAATTTTTTTCTTGTTTCTTCTTTTTAAGCACATTGTCGGTTGTGTAATTGCGCGATGTGAGTTCAAGGACAAGTGATTATTAGTTTTCTTTTTTTTTCGCTTTTTTGCTGACGAAGATTGTCATAAAAGTATATTAAATAATTTCATGGTTCCCGCGCATTCATTTAATAAATTATTGCTTAAAAAAAATTGTTAGAGTCAAATAATTTACAACTCCTGATAAGCCTCAAGCGCCTCTTAAGTAACAACTCTCTATGAATCTATGAGATTAATTTTATATCTACGCGACGACGTGACATTTTAAATGTGTCGCAATTTTTACAATCAACCATGAGTAGGCCAACATGTAGACAGACATTGATCTATCTCGTTAATATCTCGACCAAATATAAAATGTAACGAAACTTCATATCTACTACGTCTTTTGTTATACATTGAATGAATTAAGCGTAATTTACTAATGGACTATGTTAGTTTGTTTACAGTTATCATTTTCTTCTGAGTAAACATTTTCAATCAAACGCATATCTTTCAACAAATAGTCAGGAAATATTTATTTTTCAAGCGAACGACGTTATCAAGAAAAAGAAGGGATTAGATATCTTTCTATCTATAAAAAAATCATTGAAAATTCTCAGACGAGGTTTCAGCGAACAAAAAAAAAATAAGAAACCTTTTCTATAAAATTTTGTATGAGATAACCGCGTTAGTTCGTTTACATACAAACACCAGCTTCTTCGCAAATGTCATTCATTTCATTATTATATATCTTCATCGTTTCTTGGTTATGCCACGAAACGCGCAAATTGCATTTTCAAGACTTCATCGTTGTTGACGATGACTTGTCAGTGTTAATGAGAGCGAGGGAAGGAAAAATGAAAACAAAAATAAAAATAATGAAAGTTGGCAATGCTGCAAAATGTGATTCGGATTGCATGTTGTTGTTTCGGCATGTCGATGAAAAAGAGAAAAAAAGAAAATTGTGTTTTCATGTTTACCTTACACAGTCTCCTTTCCCACATAAATAAATAAAAATCGAGATAGAAAATAAAAAGTTCTTTGCGTCAGTTTCAACAAAGACAGAAAAATGGTTTTCTACATTTCATCTTACGTCCGTTCTTTTTTTCATGCGAACTGTGCCAACCTTGAGACGCGCGAGACTTCTAAATACTGGGAATTGAATTAAATCAACTTTTAAAAAAGGAAATTGCGAAATAATCTTTTGCTTTTTTCCATGTTTGCAGTTAATTGGATCATTCCATTGAATATGGTTTAAGTACTGCCCCCGAGATCAATTCCCCACACCTCAAACCTTGCATTCAACATTCAATTGAGTGCAGAGTAAACGACGAGTAAAATGTTACCAATTGAAAAACTGTTAATAATAATTTCGATCAAATAATTATTATATCAAATAAATTGAAGGTTCAAATTTTGTAATATGACGAAGACTTTTTTACGCTCTCGAATTTTTGCGCAAAGCAATAATTCCGCGCATTTGTTCTTTTCTTCTTCTTTTATTATTGTTTTGGGCTGAGTAACGTCTTTTGGTGAGCTACAAGACTGAAGAGAGAAGAAGAAGAAATAAATAAAAACATTTTAACGCGACGAAACGGAAATTTGTAAGATTGTATATAATAATAGTTTCTGTAAATAAAAGTTATACCGGCCAAAAGCGTAATGTAAATAGTAAAATGAGTGAAATACACTCATACACCTCCCACATACGAGTATTGTGCAAAGCACTTTCAAGATTCTGATATTTCACAACGGCCGTCACTTTTTACAACCTAAGAAAATATTTCCGATTAAAAACAAACATGAAACGATGAGAACAAAGAAGTTAATAAGAAAATTCTTGTCTTCTTTTACTTCATTTCATACATGTTGAAAACCTATTCGAACTATCTACAGAAATTAAATATCTACGAGACATCTAAATCTGTCTACAAACACATTGAGAAGGAGAATGTTGAGAACATTGTTGCCAGTTTAAGCTGGCATGAATGAAAACGAAGTCGCGCCATAGTTTAACAGAAATATTATAAACACAAACATTATATCTGCGCAATCAACGTAATATTATATTGTCGCACACATAGATGTAAAGTATTGCTACAGAGCGCAAGATTATTGATTACGAGTGAACATTTTATCATCGCTGGCACGCCAAAACACTAACACATTTCAATCTACAGCTCTTAACCGCTCTAACGTTTCCCATCCAGAAACACCACGTTCAGTCGATGAGAAGAATTTGTACAATCGAGACCTAAACGTTTTTGGCTCTCCGCTTACACATACTTTCAAAGCACCACACAAGTGTAAAGTTATATAAAAACAAATATCGTGTGCGCCCTCCGAAGTCAACACACAACAAAAATATAAATTGAATCTTTATCGTGTGAATACAGAAGTATTTTCATTTTCAATTCAAGAAAAATCAAAACAAAAACATTGCATATGATAATTTAATAGGACAATTGAAATTGTATTTAAAAGTTTTCATGAAATTCGATTGTGTTGTGAACGAAGCCAGTTTGAAAGCCAAGCTCTAAAAAAGTGTTTTATTTAGGAAAGGAAGAAGAAGAATAGAAAAAAAGAAAGAAAAAAGCATCAAACACGAAAAAGGGAAACGAAAGAAGAGAAAAAATAAAAATAAAAATTATTGAGAACGTCGACATCTTATAATCTGTGTCTGTGTTGGTGAAGCCATAGTGAAAAAGAATAATAAATAAAGAAAAAAAATATTTTCTTCTTGAGTTATACGGTCGAGAACCACATAAGGAAAGCACATATTGCAGAAAAGTGTTTGAAAACAAAACAAACGCCTGGATAAATAGCGTTCGCTAAATAACAACAGAAGAAATTTCAAAAAGTTATTATTGTTATTATTATTATTTATTCTTGAGCAAGAATTCCAAGTGGGGGAAGAAAATATTGAAAGAATAAGCGAAAAAGTCCAAGAATAATGCCAAGTAAACAAACTCACAATGATGTTATTGCGATTGAAGAGTTGGTTAATGAAATAAAACAGAATTTGCGGTTGAAGGCAGCTCCACCGTCAACCACTGGAGCAACTCAAGCCCTTCACTATCCGCTTCTTCAACCAACCGTCAACGAACAGTTCCTACAACAACCGAAAAATATAAATCACCCGCCACAGCAACAGTTAGTAATCAAGAAACAACGATCTCGTCCATCACCATATCACATACCATGCAGGTCGTGGAGTGAGACTTCAACGGTGCAGAAGCAGAGAAGTCATCTACAGAAGACATCTTGCAAGAATGATGAGAACAACATTGAAGATCCATACGAACTTCTTCAATCACTCTTGAAAAACAACAGTCTTGTTAAAGAAGCGGTAAGGCGTCTTCAACTCAATAATGCCACCGCCAGTGCATATTCCCGCAAACAAAATTACTTTTATGATAGCGATGAAGACAACAGATCACCGATCGTTATGATGTGTCAATTAGAATCTTAAGTTAAACATACATGATAGCTTTTATTTCGTATCTTCACTTCTTATTTTTATTTATCTCGTTTTTTTTCTTTCTTTTTATTCATTGAAGTTCCGTTAACTTTCTTTCAATAATAATGCTGACGTTAAATAACATTGATTGAAATGCGAGAATGAAAGGCAGTCAAACGATGTCTTAAAAAGATTAAATGAATTGAAATTTGAAGAAATAAAGAAAAAAAGAAGCAGAAGATGAAGAAGAGAAATACAATGTAGAAACGATCTGAATTTATTAAACATTAAGGCAAAAAGGCGTAAATTTAATTTCCTGAATTAGGTGAATTTCATGTATTTTTTTTCTTGAGTTTCTTTTAAATTTTACGCGCCGTTCGTAAACAAAACGACAAATATAAAAGCCATCGCCCTTTAAACTGATAAACAACAAGCATTTGTACGTTGATGTTGTTGATGATGACGATGATGATGATGAAACGACCACCACTGACATATGAAATTGTTTTTCGAATTTCTGTTTTGTTTTCCTTGTTTTCTTCTGAACAACAAACAAATTTGTGAGAGTTCACATAATTTCATGAACTTACTTACATATTTGCAAACATGTTGAACGATATAAGGAGAAGATTGTGTAAAACAGAGCCGCGATACGTGGCTTCGTGAATGAAAAAATCAAACAACAATACAACGTACAAGCTTTAGCAATGAATCATTTTTTGAGAGTTTAGTCAGAAAAGAAAAAAAAATAGACATTAAAAACGAGACAAGGCTTTGAGCTAGTTTGAAAAAAAATATCTAAAATCTAGTTTAATCTGAATTCTTTTGAAAGAAATGAAATTTTCTCGACCAGATCAAATGCCATTTCAACCAGATTAAAGCAGATAATGGAATAATTACTCATGCTGCAAATACGAAAAAGAAAAAAATTATTGCCGCGAAACGTTGTTTTGTAAATAAAGACACTCTAGAGTAGACTTTAATCGAGCCTACCTACGAGTGCGCAATAAGAGAATGAAAACAATAACATTACGCTTTAAGAGCGCAAACAGACATGATGTGAGTAATTTGGGTTCGGTGACTAGTTAGCGTCGTAACTTAATCACCGCATTGCAGTATAATTTATCATTCTTCTGTTAATAATGTTTTGATAGCCTGGTGGCCCGCTACGTGTTATTTTTTCTTCAACTTTTATTATTATTCACCTTAAGTTGAGTCTCTGAATCATTCTTGTTCTTGATATCACACACAATTATGATGCAGACATTCCACTTATACATATAAACGCAGCAGTTACTTAGAACGAACGAATAAACCACCACGACGACGAAAAACGACGTGAACGAAGACGTGAAGTGTAAATCAAAGAAAGAGAACGTTTGTTATGAATGACTCTACCGATAGCGGGTTTGTAAATACAAGTAGATGTAAGAAATGAAAATAATGATGAAATTCAAAATGGCTGCGCACTTTTCACCGATTTTCTGGGAGTTTTCCTTCAACGGTCGAAAGAGAAGAAAAAGAGAGAAAAAATTTCTTTGCATCTTGCGACGGTTGTTTGTTATTTATATGTCTGAAGTGGTTACAAAAATAAACGGTAGCTCACTGATAATTCAACTCATTCACTCGTTTGTGCTGATTCCGTCGTTCAAATCATTTCCTAGACATGTGACTTTTTTCTTTTACATTTTTTTAAGTTATGCAATCGACAATTGACTCGACTCTGTTCTCCCTCGTGACAAACTAATGGACGAAACCATTCGTCATATTAGATTTCATTTCTTTCAACTTTATTACGTGATTCATTTGCTGAAGGTTAAGATATTTGGTTTTAATTGCATTTTTTTTGGGTGGGTGTGTTAATGTAAATATTGTATATTCGTTTAATTTTAGTTTAGTTCGATCGCACTTATCTCAAAAAAAATCCCATAAGTAAGTCAGCAGACTTATTGAAACTGTCGATAACGATAAACTAATTATCTATTCATCTCTCACTTTTTCTGGAGAGCATTTGATGTCGTGGAATTTGTGGGTGGTGTTAAAAAAATAAATAGCTGAAATAATAAATATTAAAAATTATCACAAGGAATTATGTTTGACATTTTGAAGATGATGATGCTGATTAGAAAATTATTATTAATAAATATTTTGTGTGTGGGAGGACTTTAGAAGCTAGTAACTAGTTTACTAAAGTCTTTGAGAGTAATAGAAAAAATCTTTTGAAGTCTGGAACTAAATTTTTAAAAACAGAATGATACAAGACTTTTGACCAGCCTGTGTCATAAATCAAAAGAACTACATAACTATCTAAACATCCCAGTTAATAAATTACAAGATAATATCTGTTACTGACCATTAGACTTTTTCTCCAAGTGTTCAGAAGTTTTCCACAAAAAGAATTTCTTTGTTAAGCTCAACCAGAAGATAAAGAAAAAAAGTAAATAAAAGAAAAAAAGTAGAAAAAAGAAGTTGAATTAAATTTATTTCATATTTATGTTATCAACTATGATTTGATGGTGCAGAGTGCGAAAAGATAAGCATTGACTGTTTAATTTCTTAGTGTAAATGAAACAAAGCTTAGTTAATAGATAGACTTTGATAACGAAAAAAAGAAAACTTTAAGAAAATAAAAGTAAAAAAAACTGGAATGAATTTCACTTGAATCCGTTTTTAGGATTTCCTGAAGTAATTAATTTCAATAAGTTTATCTCTTCGGCTCACGAGATGATGATGCCGGAGAAGTCTTTATTTTTCTTCTTTTTTCATTTTTGGAAAGTAGACTGTGCTGTTAATATTAGTAAAGCAAATAATGAATATAAATGTTTAACTATCTGAATTTAGAAATAAAGATAATTAATAAATGATAATGAAGCATCTAATGAATTTAGTGCTGAATAACATTTTTGTGTAAAGTTTCTTTCAAAGTAGATTGTATATATTTATCACTAGTAGCTAGTAGACGAATATGGAAATTTTTGGCATAAAAATGTAACTTTGATTGATTTTCAACATCAACAAAAAATTTTTCGTCTTGTAAACCAAAAAACAAAAACATACAAAAAAAATAAAAAATTGAAATTTTATTAAAAGTTTTACTTGTCTGGGGAGAGTTTTGACGACAATAGATGTCCGACCTCGATTTTTGCATGAAACAATTTCGAAGTTTGATTTTCTTTGTTAGCGATAATCCTTAGAAAGACAGATGATAAATATTTCTAACTTTACTGAAAAATAAAAGCTTTAAAATGAGGCGAAAAATAAAAGAAAAAAAAATAATAAACTCGATCATTCTTTCACAAGATTTTTTAAGTGTGACAATTTCTTCGTAAATAAATCTACTTAAATAATCAAGCAAACAGAAAACAATTGTGAATGTTTACAGAAGGAACTTTTACTTACTTAATCTACTTCAATCATTTCTAAATGCATGAATGATGATCGTAATTTATTCAGATGAAAAAACAAGATTAAATGAAAATAATAAACCTTACGCTTACACTTCAAAAAATATTAAATGTAATTAATAGAATAAATAAGACAACTTAAAAGAGTTATCAATAAAATGTTTTAAATTATGAACATAAAAAAAAACAAACTAAAACAAAATGAAAAACGTTTTTTATTTCTTGTTTGGTAATAATTTCTTTGAAGCTTGACATTTAAATTTCAGGATTAAAAATAAACATCGTGGTAAGTAATTTGCTAAACAACGTCACGAAGAGTTTTCAAAATAGCTTCATTGGGTTGGGTCATTAAGGTAATTTATCCACGATAACCTTTCATAGTCAATAATAGATTTCAATGGTATTAGTGAAAAGAAAAATATTTCAAATTTCATCAAAACATTAAAAATGTATGTCTTTAAGATGGCAATTGAATATTCATGCGGAAGGGAAAAAGTTTTATTAATAAAAGAATTCTTCTCTTCCCATAAGACATGAATACGTGAAGAAATGATGAAATACGTTTGCCATTGTCATCCCACATTCAGCAAATTCCAAATATAAATGAAGCTTCTCGTCACTAAATTGGATCAAAAGTTCTTCAAGTAAGAGAAGGAAAATCTTTTTCTTCTGCTTACACAAAGCTAAATGAAAAGCTTTTTTTCTATCGCTCGGCGCGCGCATATCGATTGAAATGTTCGGAAAAAATTCTCACCAGCACGAAGGACTTTTAGCAGTCGTCGTGATATGACTTTTCCTTTAAAAATTCTCACAGTTAACACCGACGAATAGATTCGCTTTGGAATTTCCTTCGAACCACAATTGGAGAGCAAAAAAGCTTCGATTATCATCAGTTGGTGATTCTTATTTAACAGATTCAGTCGGGAACGAAGGAGAGTGAATCAAATATTTAGAATGTATTTTTTTGTAATATTTTAAATTCCTTTGATTTCATTTGAAATCCTTTTATGCATCAGAAGAGTCAACATTATTCGTCCTAAATTAGAAATTACTTAATTCCATTAATGAGTTAAATGTGTCAAAAGACAGATTTTTAAAAGGAAGGAAAAAGAAAACTTTAGTGACATCGATAAAAATAAAAATTTCTCAGTGTTAAATTGGAAAAAAAAACTGAAAACGAAAGCAGTCGCGACTCGCGACACTAATTAAAAGTTTTTTCCCCAGAACTTGGCTCTATGACAAAATCATCGAGTGAATAAACTAAGTTGAATTATGGCATTTAAGTCTTTAATTGTCTTCACAATAGGATTTTGCTTGTGCAATCTTTCTGATCAGTCTCAGTCATTCTACTCGCTACAGGTAAAAGTTCTTTATTTATCTCGAGTAAAACATTTTCCAACTTGTTGCAATCAAACAACGAAAGGAAAATTTATTTCACCGCTTTTAAAGGTGCAGCTTGATTTATGATTCATGTCAGCGCAATTAAATATTAAACAAAACGAAATTACAAAACAAGCATTTCTGTTGTGCGTATTATTAATACGCAATGACATTTTATTTATTTATTTATTTAATCAAAACATTGAAAGATATTTTCTGTTCTGTATTTGCGTAAAAGTAAGAAATTGCAAACTTTATGTTGTTAAAAGTTAGAATGGGAATACAATTCTATTCATAGAATCATTGTCACTTGTGACATCGTTGGAGCAATAAATTGCTAAATTACGCAAACTAACAAATAGGAAAATGGGAAATAAATCAGATTTTAGTTGTTGGAAAGATGGAAATTCGTTCTACCATCATAATTTTTTGTATTTCAATTTATCGCTTCAAAGAATGTCACAAGCAAATGTTTGATAAAGTTTGAAATTTATGAACATATAAGGAGATATGCAGCAATACGCCCCGCAATATGACGAATCTTTCATCTGATTTATCTTTCATTTAGCCCGCTGTTGAAGCTTTGAGTGAACGAGAAGCTCAACTAGCATTGAGAAATGAAATCGAAAACGGAAATATCGATGACTTTGTTGACAGTGACGATTTTGAATGGAACAATAATGGTGAGATTTCAACCTTCTGTTTAATTTCCAAGCTGTAAAGTTTAAATGGATGTTTCTACTCAAGTTTTTAATCCAAAATGAGATATTTCATTAGACTTTTCAACTAATATTAATCCCTAATTGATGTTCAAATTAATTTCTTTTTATTCTATCATGCAACCGCTTCTGATATTAATTTTCATCACATAAATCATTCACGATGATAATTCAGATTATGACAGTCTAGATAGAGAACGTGATCATCATCTTCAAGTACCGAATAGAGCTTTCAGCCGATACTTGGCACGTCCCAATGCCGACTATGACGATTTTTATCCGTCAGATTATAAAAAGCGCTCAATGTTCCGCAAACGAGGTAAGTTGAAATTATTCTGATTCCTTTTGTCATCTGTTGCTTGGATACTTATTGCCGATAAGAAAGAATTCCATTTTATAAATCTGTATCTACACAAAAAGTAACTTTTCCTTGTTCATTTTTATCCATTCTGTAAAAGATAAAACTTGATTTATAAGAAAAGTAAATTCAATTTATTCAACACTCAAGCTTCTATTTAGTCCATCAATGTCGGCTTTTAACACATCCCTAATGCGCACTGAATTAATCAGACATCAAGTGTTTTGAATTAAATAACCAATGGCACTTAGACGAACAAATAAATCTCAAATGGTCGTTCCACAACTTTACTTTTCTCTCATTCATGCTTTTCTTCCTACTTCGATCCTTCCTTTTGTTCGTGACTAAAGCTGGAAGCACACATCAACTTGAGGTTGAAGTTAATTGAATGGAAAAGATTTTTTATTCTCTTTTCACTTAAGTAAAGGAAAAAAGAGAAAGAAAAGCCATGAAAGCTCAAAGTCCCGAAGCATAGCGATTTCCTTTATCTCATCAAAGAAGCGAAATTTCTTTCTCAAAATTTATTTTTATTTTCCCCCACCTTGTCACATTGAATAACAAAAAATAAATGTTTAAACGTTTAGATGCTTCAGTGTTCCGTGAACGATCTCGAGTTCCTTACCTTCAACATCAGCAGCAACAAGCATTAGCTGAAAAGTTTTTAAGGGCCATCGAGGACGAACGTGAGAGGGAAGAACAAGAAGAATATCATAAACAGCTTCGCAATTTATGGAATCGTTATCAGGTTGATGAAAGTGACATAGAACGAGACCTCTTCGATAATGACATAGAACCAGAGTATTTCGATGCGAATAATGATGACATTGATAGAAAGAAGAAGAAGCGTCAGGTGTGTTAATAAAATCATTTTTGAATTCAATTTGAATGTCACGTGAAAGAATTCAATTTATCTTAGAATTCTGGTAATGCCGAAGTCGCGCCAGCATATTGGAATGATAAAAGGTCGATGCCATTACTTCCATGGCTACCAGTACAACGCAAAAAAAGATTCCCTGTAACCAAGCGATCGTCTAATATAAACAATGATTTGACATCATTAAACAAAAATGATAAGGTCTCTCAAGACTTGAAAGGTATCTTTGGTGCTGCTGAAAGTGAGAAGATAGGCGACATTGAAAGTAAGAAGAAAAAACGGTCTAGCGAAGATTCTACAATTACACATGCTGAAACAACAACAATGAAAAGCGAAAAGCTTCCAACATCAAGTGCTGTGGTTGGTGAAACAAAAAAGGAGCATAAACGAAGCACTTGTTATTCAGATGAAGACGAAGAAGCTGATAACGAGAATGGTATGACACCTGACCGCGGCATTATTCTACTTTCATAATGCTAATGCTTTCGTGATATTTTTTCCTTTCATTTTTAATATATTTCGTTATTATGGCCAACAGATAACGACGATGAAGAAGGTAAAATATTAATGAAAAAATGTATTATTTCTCGATTTTATTATCTTTCGTCTTGACATGAAAAACTTTATATTTATTAAAGAACATCTAAATTCTTTCTTAAAGTGCTCGAAGCGTTTAAGAAGAAAATAATTTTCCATGCTTGTTTTGGAAATTAAATCAATTTTCTCTTTTGTCGTCGCTGATATTTTTATATATGTAAGAATCGAAATATTCAGAAAATTTGCTTAGGGAATTGCTTATTGGAAAATCATGTATTTCAATAAACAATTCTTCCTTTTTTGGCGCTTTCTATTTATGAAAATTTATTAGAAAATTAAATGTCAAAAGCAAATTTTTGTGCCTGTTTACATGGTAAATTGATTCTGGGAAAGTTAAATTAATTATCATCTCTTTCTTGATAATGTTCTTTGATGTTAAAAGACAAAATCCAAAACAATTCTCTTGCAAGGATGTTTTGACTTTTCTTGATGAACGGCATTACTAAGGTGATATGTTTAATTATATACACCGTGATCAAACATATTGAAAATTGAAATGAGGACTTTCCTAATTAATTTTTAATTACTACGACTTCACAGCAGCATAACTTCTTATGAAGATAATGAAACAAATAAATCCGATAACTTTCCACGAAGTATTTGGTAATCAACAGATTCAGGACAGAAAAAAGTGTACGACTCAAAATATTCATTTAAGCAGCTTAAATAACGAGATAATCTACTTTATCCACAAATATTTACTTACTTGGCAACCTTGTTCTTATTAATTATATTCAATTTTGTTGATATGAACTTGAGATACTTGTGGGTGTGAAAAATATTTAATTGTTAATTTTTCCTTATTAAATTATTCTCAAATCTTCAGATAAGTACTGAAAATATTTCAAGATGTCTTAAATTATGGAAGAAATTATGAATGCTATCAAAATTCTAAAAACTTTTCTTTAACATTCATTATAAAAGGTGATGAAGATGATATCGACACCGGTGATGATTCAAGTGAGAGCGATTCCGATAGAAAGAAGAAAAAGCGCGATACATCAAAAAGCTTTGAAGTTGTTCGAGCTGAAAACATTCCCAAGAAAAAGCTCGACATGAAAAAGAAATCGCTTCAATGGTCAAATATCTTTGGTATTGACAGAAAAAAGAAGTCAATGGGTCTCATATTTCATCCGCTAGAAGATGTCAACAAACGAAAGAAAAAATGTGTTGCGGGGGAATGTTTTGATGGTGAAGAGCTTGGTAAGTTGTCATGATGTATCAAGTGTGTATGGTTATTATGTAAACTTTGAACCTGATATAGACGAAGTTGATTATGGAGATGATGATGACAATCTTCGAAAGAGAAAAAGGTCACGAGAAGAAAAGTTTGACGCAATGGATAAGAAGTTAAAAACAATCGAGAATCTCATTATTGATGATAGTACAAAATACTTTGAAAATCATGACGGTGAGTAATTCGATGATAAAATTAATGAGAAAATTGAAATGTTATCAAGAACATCTTCAGGAAGTTTAAGTCCCTCCGAGGCACGTGTCATGAGGAATCGTGTTGCTGATCGTCTGGCAACAGCTTACAGCTTAGAAAAAATGAGAAAAGCAATTGCACGTCTAAAGCAATCAATCGCTATGGAAAGAGATTTGATTAAGGGACCTCACAATGAACTAGATGATGTTGACGATGCCATTGAAGAGGCAAAAAAGAAGAAGGCAAAGCGTGTTGCAGTGAAGAAGGAAAAAGCGGAATTTGATAATAATGAGTAAGTAATTAAAACTTAATTTAATAATTATTCATGCTTTCAACCATCAACAGTCATGACATCGAATCTTCAAAGAAGACTTCACCTGATCAAATAAGAAATGACTTGAAGGAGGATGAAGAAGAGAAGAAAAAGAAGAAGAAACGCTCTCAAAAGAAAAGTGAATTTACAAATTTAATTAATGACGATATGCCGATGTCAGAAAGCTACATGGGAGGTAGAATGGCTGAGTGTCCATTACTTGATAGAATCGAGAAGAAATGTCGTGGCATCGATATCATGAGTGGAGATTCAAATCAAAATTTGCTCGAGGCTTGTGGTGCGCATCAATTGTGTTATCTTTGCGTGAGTTTATCAATCTGGGTCAGATGTGTAGTTCTTGATTTTAAATTAATAATTTCTTGATTGGATTGCAGAGTGACTCACAATCTCAATGCGATTACGGTTACATGAATGAGGCTGAAGATTTGTGCGGTCGTGACATTAAATGCAAGATGTCGGCACGTAAAGCGCTTGCCGTTCTAAGAGACTTGGGAGGAAGTCGAGTTCCGCCAAGAGAATGCATACGCAACCCATGTTTGAGTATGGCTTTACGTACGATTGCTTTTTAAATTCACTATTTTTACATTCATAAGATTTTATTGGAAGAAGAAAGAATAAGAAATAAGTGAAGAAACAAACTGATTGGAAACTTGACAGTGACTTCAAAGACGTGACATATTTTATTAATAAATATTAAATCATCATGCAGCTAACTAAATGCAAATGTTATCTAAGAAATTTACCACAAAATCAAGGAATATTAAGATTGATATCTACATATAAATATGAAATTAAGCGTTTATTTTTTAAAATATTTCCATCTTTACATTCATCTTATGATGAGAATGTTGCAGACACATAAATATTTATGACTAACTAATGATGACCTTAACTAAATATTAAAATTATAAGCAGTTGTTTTTTTTTCTCTTCCCTTTTTTTATTCTTCAATGTGGCAAGATAACTTTGGTGTTGAAATGCATCTTATACATGTACTCTGACACTAATTTGGTTAATGAGAGTTGTCTTTGAATTGAGTTGATAACTGTTTTGATCTTTCCTACCTAGTTTCTGAAGACAACAAAACCCAACAAAAATTCTTAATGACAATAACATGAACTAACAAAGAGGAAAATTATTTCATTATATTTGAATTCTTTATGAATATCCCAAAGATATTTCACTTGTGTAAACATCAATTGGCAACTAATGAAAATATTTATTAAAAATTATATAACACTAATTCAAAATTTATTTAAGTGGAAAAAAAACTCCTTCCATTTGTCTGACAACTTTTTTGCTCTTTTGATGAAGCTTTAAAAACTTCACTTACAAGAAATAACAAAAAAAAAAAAGATTAAATGTGAATCTAATGTGCGATATGAAATAACAAATTCAAATCAATATATTTGTGTTGTCTCTATTTGTTGAACTAACAATACTTAGTCTAATAAAACTGATTAAATAAATCACAAACAAGTTCTTTAATTAAAAATTAATAAAATTGAAAAGGTAAGGAGGTCATTGTTACTAATTCGCTGAACACGCAGAAATATTTATAGAAAAATAGTTCGTCGTCTATTTATATTTCATTTCCAGATAAAAGCTTTAAATCCAAATATAATTTATTTAGAGGGGAAGATATGTAATCTAATAAAAATAAACAATAAGGTAATAAAACGAGTAATCCTCTAATAGGGTAATTAATATCACATTTCTGGAATGGTCGATGAGAAGGAAAACGCGAATAATTTTGATACTTAGCTCCTCCAGATGCCATTAATTATTAAGAAAGTAATAATTAAATTAACTCAAATTAAATAGATTAAGTGTATAAACGGAATTCCTGTCATCATCATCGCTACTAAGCTATGTAGGTGATAAAGTTATGAAGCAGTTTTCTGACAGTTAAGGGAAATGAATTGATTTTGTTTTAAATTTATTTTCATTAGATGGCGTTGTTCTCGTTTAGAAGAAATTTGTGATTTCAGTCTGAAATTCATCCGCTATTTAGAATGACTTTTCATGTTAATAACATTAGCAAATATTATCTCATTGAGTATATAGATTCCATCACTATCTCACTTCATTTCCTTAAAGTAATTTTAATTGGAAATACCTACATTTTAAGAGAATATCGTATCGAAAATCATGATTTCGCCATAAATAGTCTTCTCAGATGACAGTCGGACATTCCGAATTTTGACAAGTAATTTATCTTCATTTCTCGTTAAAAAAAAGATCAGTGACGGAATTCTATGTAGTGATTTTAAAATCATTTCTTAAAGAGTTAATAAGTCAATTAATTTAGTGTAAACTATTAAAAACTTTAAATTATCGATCACTTTATGTTTTTAAGTAGTTAGAATTTTCAAATCTATCGAAATGATTCAATAAAAGTCATTGAATACATTTTGGCTTTTGTTGTCTGAAAAAATCCGTTTGAATAGAAAAATTAGCAACACAGAATTGAGCTTAAGAAATGAATTTCATGAATTAAAAAAGACATTCCAATATTAATAATTGATACAAGATTAGAGAAATACATTCAAGTGATAAATTAACAGATAAGAAATTGCGGGAAAAAGGTAAATATTGGCTACAGCTTGGATAGGTTAAAATTGAATTTGCTTTCGTTAAACTTTGCTCGTGGCTGAAATAAATATATTGAAAATAACTTTGCAAATATTTCATAGCTTTCAAGTCATACAATGAATGATTTCCCTCAAAAAATAAACAATAGTTACGAGTCAGGATCTTCGTCAACCTCGGTAAATTTAATTTAATAAAACAATTGTCAATGGCGTTAGCTTGGAGTAATCAAATGTATGTTCTTTTAACAGACAAGCAGTTTAAACGACCAGGTTTTAGAAAAATCTATTCAATTCATTGATACTGAAGGATTAAAACTTGCTAATCTAATGCTGCCACAATCTGAACCCGAATTGTGCAACACATCGGCGGAAGAAGGGATTTTCCCAAATGTAAACTTCCAACCAATTGAAGTGCCGAGTTACCAACCAGAATATGACTACCTCGATAACTACAATAGTACACCCCCTATCGTTTATTCGTGGCTACCAATCGTACCGGGATTTTCCCGAAATGGCTTTGAAAATCTCCACAAATTCGATCACTTAAGCAACGTTTTAAGTTCTTCCGAAAAATCACCAGTGTCAGATGAAATATCAAATCAAAATGAAAAGTTTCGTGATTATTTAGTTAAAAATAAAACAGAAACAATTGAATTACCAGTCACTAACAACACAAGATATCATAATCTTGATAACAGCTGTAATGCGATGGATCTCAACATATCAACATCATTTAAGCAAGAACATCCAACATCTGATCCTGATTTATCATTCGATGGGAAAATTGCTGAATTAAAAGCAAAGGAAATAAATGAAAACTGTGACGAAGCAATAAATAAGACTGAAGAGCAAAATGAGTTTGAGAAGCCAAACGATTCTGGGAATGTTTCTTATGAAAAAGAAGAACAAACTGAGGAAGAACGTTTGCAAAATGAAAGTTTTGAATTATTAAAGAAAGAAGACAGCAGTAGAATGATTCTAATTAACGAGCGATCGCCAGATCTCTTCGATTCAGATGTCAACCAACCAAGTGACAATGAACAACAACGAGAGGATGTTCAAGAAGACAACACACCAAGTGACAATGATGAATTTCAAGAGAAAATAAAATCGAATGACGATTTGATTCTGAAGAAACTTCGTCAATCATTTAAAGGAATTTGTCCACCACCATCGCAAACACAAGTCCAGCTTTCTGTCAATGAATTACTTACACGTTACCACAATAATGTCAAAGACACAAATGTTAATAATTTCGTAGAAAATTGCAAGTTCTTCGCGCCAACTCATTCGTGTCAAGAAGTCACTACCATGGAGTGGCCAAAAGTGAAGACGATTTCATGTCTCGATGTCATGTACAATAACAGCGCAGCTTCTGAAGATATTGAACAACTCTGTGCCAATTACTCGAAACGATACGTTGGTGCTGAAACGATGTCATCATTTAATCTTAGATTCGGTCCATCAAGTGCCAAGAAAAGAATTGAGAAATTAAAGTAAGTTTAAAATTGTTTAAAATGTTCACTTTAATTAAAATTTTAATCTTTCTTTAATTAAGACTTTTAACACAATCGCCTGGAAGTCGATTAAGTCATTTGGCAAAGCGTCGTCAAATTTTTTCATCAGCAAATTTAAAATCATCATTGAACGCTAGTCATTCAGCATCGTCAAGTGGGAGATCATTTATGGTTGATAAAAAGTTAGTTAAATTAAAAGTTTTAATTGATTTCAATTCTTAATTATTCCTTTTATTCGTTTGTAATAGAAAACTTTATGCAAAAATGAAGTCACCAAAGAAACGTACTTCGGCTAGAAAGAAGACGCCGGGAAAACGTAAAACTCCACGATCAGCAAAACGTCAAATTATAACAAAAGTCGACTCATCGCGAGCATCTTCGAAACGTGCACTTTTCACAAGTCCAATAGAAGTTAAAAGTTCTGTGCAATTGTCTGTTGTTGAGCCTCCTCTAACACGAGCAAGAATGCCGATTAGAAGAACTTTATTCTCACCACCTTCAGAAGATGCTCGCAAGAAACGGCGATGTTCAACGTCACCTGATCATGATGTTGAGAATCGAGCTGGAAAATTACGTCGAATTGATACACCAACAAGAATGCATAAAAGTCAAAGTTTCTCTTATGCTTCAACATCATCAAACATTTCTTTAAATCCCGCCGAATGCAAGAAAAATCTTTTTTATCGAACTCAATCTGAAGTCGTCGTAAATCAGTCAACGTCAATGTCAAGTCAACTTGGCTACAAGCAACCATTGAAAGAAGACGTCAACAAAGTAAGTTTTAATGAATTACAAAGTGACTTCATCAGATATTTAATTTATGTTTTTATTTTTTAATTAGAAAATCCTTTGGTCAGTGTCACATGCATTGAGAGGAAAGCAAATTACGAGCAGTCATGAAAAATATAAAGAATTTGCTTCAAAACTAGCAAAGCTAGTGAAGGCAATTTTTATTGAATTTTATGAGTCGGGAAAGAGTGTTAGTGGGCAATTATCGAAGTTTGCTGTAACAATGGTGGATCATGTAATTTTTGGACGATCAAGTGAAGAAATTCTTAAAACGACGAAAATTCGTCTCCATTCAAAGTTATGCAATGGGCAAATGAAACAAAATTTATTACGAAGAAATGATTCAATTCTTAATAATTTACAGTCCAACAGTTCAATGAATCTTTCACAATCTGAGAGTTTCTTTGGACAAAGCTCACTAAGCTCTTCCAGACTTAACATAAGCAACTCATCATTAAATAGAAGCACATCGAGTAATGAGAATTTTTTTATGAGAGACAACTGTAATAGTAGAAGTAATGAAAATTCTGGTAGAAAATTCAACGGCAATGCTTCAACATTAAATAAACTAACATCAACCAGCTCAACAAGTCTTGCAAAGGCAAAGCGGCAAATTTCATTTTAATCACATCATTTTCCTTTTCTTTTATCTTTCGTGTTGTTTGAATATCCGAGTGAATATCTATTAAATTTTTTCCTGTTTGCATATGAAGCAATTTCTAGATATAAATTATTAAATGAATGCAAAAATTGGACAATAAAACATTGAATTTTACTGAATTAAAACTTCTCGTCTGTTTTTTATTAATTAACTTCTTAATTACTTATTAATTATAAATAAATTATTAATTAAATAAGTATTAGAGTTAAGATTTTGGAAGTTTTTTATTTTTACTAAAAAGTGAATTTAGGATTTAACGGACAAATAATATTCAAAATTGAATTTGTTTACCTTTGTAACTTAAAATGACCTCTTATTAGTTCAAACTAAGTTTAATGGTTTATAGTAAAAAAAATACAAATTTCAAAATAAAATTATAATATTCATACAGAATGCAAGGACAGACAAAAATCCAAGAAAGATTGAGAGGAATTCAATCACTCATTCATGATATTGAAGAAGTGAGGAGTGCAGGAGAAGTGACAATTGGTAAATTATCGCATTCACCAAATCAAACGGACATAATAAAACAAGCGATGCAAGAAGCCGAAAAAGAAGAACGTTTGATAAGACAAGCGCTTGCTAAGATCCATGAAATTCACAGCATTCGTAATGAAAGTAGAATTCAAGCAAGGAATTCAGGTCAAAAGGAAATGCTGAGAAAAGGGCAATTAATGAAAATTCTTCAAATCTCAGCATCGACACTTCCTTTATTTATTTCAAAGCCTGGTGAAAAGATTCCACCTTTAGTTGGCTGTATACCTGCGAGCCCAGATTACACAGCGAAACCAGGGGATATGGTTGCAGCTTTAACGAAAGTGTCAGCTATGGATAAAGGCGGAAGTGATGAGGAAAACTGGATAATGGCTGAAGTTATCAGTTATGCTCATCACACTCAAAAATACGAAGTTCACGATATCGATGAGGAACAAAAACCACGGCATATTTTGAGTAAACGAAGAATTATTCCACTGCCATTATTTCGTGCAAATCCAGAGACAGACGCCCACGCTCTCTTCCCTAAAGGAACCGTAGTCATGGCACTTTACCCACAAACCACTTGCTTCTACAAAGCAATCATCAATGAACTTCCAGCTACAGCTAAACAAGATTACGAAGTTCTCTTCGAAGATTCAACTTACTCGAATGGATATTCCGATCCAATGTACGTCGCTCAACGTTATGTCATCTCAATTAAACAGAAGAAATCGTCTTGACAAGGTGCCACTGATGATCCTCCATCGTACTCATTCACAGCAGGCAAAACAACAAGAAACACTTTAGATATCGTTGACTAAGAAAAAAGAAAGCTATAATTAAATAAAACAATATTTTTCTTTATTACAAAACATTTTTATTTCTTTCTTTTTCAATTTTTCCTTGGCTTATTTAAATTCATTCTTTGATTTTATTATTTTTGTTTTTCTTCTTCATCTTTTTCTCTTGTTTCATCTTTTCCATCATCTTTTTGCTGTATTTATTTATTTTTTTGCCTTTTTTCATTCTTTGTTGATTGTGAGCGATTTTTTTAAGGATTTTCATTTTTCTCAAAAAACATTATTTGTGATGTTGGAAAACTTTTTCCATTTTCATTATTTTTCTTTTTTTCTGCTTGGCTCTTTTTCTTTTTTCTCTCTTTTTTCTTTTCTTGTGGTGACAGCGAAATAATGTTTTTTGACGAAATCTTTTTTTTCTAATTTTTTTTTATCTGCAAAAATATATTATACGTTCTTAGGAGATCAAATAAAGATAAAAATGTAAGTGTTGCATTTAATGACAACATAATGGAGGTGGAAAGGGAATTTAATGCTAGGTGGGCAGATGATGAAAGGGATTGTGCGATAATTACAAAGCAAATGATTTGTTGTCATGCATTAATCGAAAGAGGAATGGAAAGATTAATGAGATTTGTAATGCAATTAGTGCTCATTTCTGTTATTTCTAATTGTAATCTTCAAACAACGTTTTCTACTTAAGAAAGAAAATCTTTCACTACATAAAATAATTTTGAATTCTTAACAAAATTAAATCGAAAGCCGACTAAATGAACAAAATTTAAATCAATTTCTACTGAAGTGATTAAAGTAATTAAATAATATGGAAATGAACACTACATTTGTACGAATTTGTTATTATTCACAGATTAAATTATTAATTTTTAATCGGCGAACAAAGGAAGAATAAAAAGTAATATAATTAATACTCACATTAATCAAGAAATTGATGAATGAATTCTTTTAGAAAGTGCTTTTCTTTACTGGTGAATAAATGAGATTTTTGTTGAATTTCTAATAAGGTGAATAGTAACTTCCACGACCGCGATATCCCCTAATGAAAAATAAATTAATAAAATATTTTTGACATGAAAAATTACGATAGAAACTCACAAAATCTTGCCACGTCCACCACGATGACCACCATGACAACAAGCAGCAGCTCGTCCTCTGGACGCTCCTCTTCCTCGGAAACCGCCTCTTGGAAATCTGTTGGTTGTGCACAAGCCTGGTCGATTTGTTCGCTTTGACATCACTTTAATTTGCCGTCCACGGAAGAGAGTCTCATTCATAGCCAGGGCAGTTTCAACAAAGTCTTTCGATCCAAATTCAATGTAGGCAAAGCCTTTGGGATGTCCGTCAACTTTATTACAGAGAATGGTCACTCGATTGATGCTTCCACATCCATGAAAATGTGCTTCGAGTTCCTCAGCTGTTGCTCCATAATCTACATTACCCACGTAAATTGATCGATTATCAATTTCCATCTTTTCCTCAGCAGATAATGTCGGTGGTGCGATTGAATTTGGACTTCCAATGGTCATTTGTTTATTCACTTCTGATTGCAGTTGTTTTAATTTTTCAGCCTCTTCTTCCATTTCTTTTACTCGAGCTTTTATAGCCTCAAGTTCTGGATCAATTTGCATTCCACTTTCCTCCTATTTTTAATAATGCTCTTTATAGTAATCATGAAAAAATAATTAATTCACATTTCTACTTACTTCATTTAATAAATCTCCATTAGCATCGTCAAGATTATCAAGCAATTGATCTTCGTTCAGTGTAATATCTTCATCAGCCATTTTTACCTGTAAATAAAATGTTATGAAATTCACTTTTTTCGCTTTTTAAAGTTAAGTAGAAAGAAGAAAAAAATTGATGCCACTTGTTTTATGAAATAAGTTTTCCGATTTCACGCTTCAATTTCACAGTTTTCTTCGTGTATTTATGAGAAAAACAATATAAAAGTAACAAATAGCAGTTTTTAATTATTTTAAACCTTCTTACCTGGTTATCTGTTCGCTTATAAAATTGAAATTAAAATGAATTGATTTTCTTGAAAGTCGTGCCTATTTTAACTTGTTCACACTCTCCACACGAAACTCGCCTCCCCTAAGTTAGTTTCAGGTGGAGAGTGTACAATTTTCTCACCCCTCAACTTTTTCTCAGAAAAAAATTGTACTTTGTATGGAAGGTCAAATCCACGCAAGTCGGGATCACTCGGATTAACCGGCGGAAGGTAGATTCTTTTGAACAGGTTGAACTTTCAGAAGTTTCTCTTTAGCAGTGTCCACGTTCACAACATTGTTTTGTAGACATTAAAGTTTAAAGAACCGGAAAAATGTGGAGAAGAACAATAACAAACTCTTCTTTTTTACGACAAATTCAATCATTTTCAAAGAGAACGTATCTTTCAGAAAACTACAATCTTAATCAAGCATGGGAAGCACGCTTGTCAACTCCAATTTTGAAACCAGTTAATGTGGAAAAGTTGTACATAGAAATCGATACCAAATTTCAACAACAGAAGAAGATAAGTCCTGTGGATGTTGATATTTATGCAAATAAAGTCACAGGTAATCGGCATATGGAGGATATTGCAGATCTTATGAAGAAACTTCGTTCAACAGAAGAAGCTTGTAATGTTTTTGATTCATCACAACATGCTCTGATCAGGAATTATTTAGATAATGACAACATAGATTTACTTATTTATGTTTTGAATCATCGCTCAGACTATGGAGTATTCTTAGACTTTTTTAGTGCCAACATGCTACTGGATAAATTAATAAAGGCAGAAAATTTTAAAGCTGGTGCACGAGTCGCAACGTTGCTTGCACTTCAAGAGGACTTCTCCAATCAAATAACACTCTACATGTCACTCTTTTGTTGCTACAAGTTCTTAAAAAATTTAGAGACTTTTACTGATTTGGTCGAAGCAACTCCGCAAACTGGTGAATCTGAAGGGACGGAAAAAAAGAAGAAAAAAGTTGAGGAGATAAAAGTTCGTGTAAGATATATAAGAAATCCTTATTTCGACGATCATTTTGATTTGGAAAACACAAATCATTTGTTGGGAAAAACTTTCCTTTATCTCGCTGATGAAGTTAAATCTATAGATGAAATTTTGTCGAATAGTTTGAATCTTCTTGGTCTTGGTCTTTATGAAAAGTTTGAAGCCGGAAATAAATTCCTAAGTGACATTAAAAAGGGAACTTTCTATAAAGAAGCTGTTGAAACTTTAAAACTTTTAAAGGAGAAAGTTGGGAATTTGGAGGAAAACGAACCTGCAAAGAATTTCTTTGATTCTCTCGAATCGCTCAATACAAAAGATGAAAATGTCACCGCATTTATTGAGAATCACTTAAAACAAGCCGTGCAAGAACAGGAAGCGAAAGACATTGCCGAACAAGAGAAAATTTATTCTGCTTGGAACATTGAACGACAAGAGAAACTCGACGATGAAATTCATCGTCTCAATCGTATCCAACGTCTTTTGAACATTGAAAAAGTCCAAAAGAGCCTCGAAGCTGAAGAAAAGAAGTTGTGGTTCTTTGAAAACGAAGACAAAATTGAACTGGAAATTGACAACAAGAAAATTTTCTATCCTAAACGATGGTTTGGTAAAAAGAAAACGCCTCGCGTTGTTGACGAGAATTACATCCCTCCAGATGTCGATCAACGAAGGAATGTTTAAAGAATTTTTTGCATACTTAGCATTAAAATAGTTTTATTAAATAAAAATTTAAAACTTATTCATGTTTCTCTTAATTTTTATTTGAAATTTTCCTGTTCCAATTCTCACCACTTGGAGTCGCTAGTTGAATCAAAATAAAAACACAAAAATTTCTAGAAAATTTTTTGTTCTCTTAAAAATAAATAATGGATAAATTAAAATTAGCAAATCGTTCATTAAGTCTGTTGTTGGGTCAATGCCTTCCAAGTTTAAAAACTAACGCATCGAAAATTCAAGTTAGACGAATGAAATTGGACACAAACCTAAACATGGTATAAAAATTTAAATGCACATTTTTTAACTTTGTTTATTCTAATCACATTGAATTTCTACAGTATTTCAGAGAAGATCAAATATATTGGGTGCACGATCCTGATAAGAAATGTAAATCTGGCGATATTGTGCTAATCAAAGAAATGCCGCATAAAATGACGAGATTGATAACCCATTCGCTTGAGGAAATTGTTCATCCACTTGGTGATGTTACATGCCCTATAACAAACAAGAAAGTTGTCGTTGGAAAATATCGTGAACAAATTGAGACAGTTAATGAAATTATTGGTAAAAACAAGAACGCCTTCGATTACTCTAAAGCTCCACCAAGAGGTCGACAGGAAGGAATCAAAGACTTCTCGCATGGTCCGACGTTCATCAAATGGGTTGAAGATGACAAAGTTGACCAAACATTCGCAACTTAATTTGTGTTCTGCTAGTTTTTAATAGAATGATAATAAAAACTTTAAATTTGTCTAGTTCAGAAAAAAATTCATTTTTTATTCATCTTCTTAACTAATTACAATCTTTGAATGATTTTAATCTTCATAACCGAGGAACTCTCGTTCTAAAGCAGCTCCCATCATGTTCCATTCTCCATCGTCCTCTTCATCACCTGGCTGTTCAACACTTTCGACGCTATCATTTGAATCGAGTTCAAACTCTGATGAAATTTCTTCTCCTGTTAAAAGATTTTTAATTATTTTAAGAAATTTTTATAAGTGCACAAAATTTACCTCTTCGAAATTTAGCGCTTGGACTCTCTTCTTCATCATCGTCATCTTCCTTTGACGAACTTCTTCCAGATCCTCCCGATTCACGTTCAGAACCGCTCTCGCTACTTTCATCGCCTTTTCCACTCAAGTCTATAGTTGGACGGAACTTTTTAACTTCTTCTTCATTCTCATCTGGTGACGATCGTCGCTTTCGTGCAACTCTTTCTGCTTCCGGTGGACTTTCTCCTTTCTCATCATCGTCTGATTCACTACTTTCATCATCTTCCACTTCAGCTTCCATTGATGCGATGTCATTGTCAGACATTTGCAAGTAAGGATTATTGAACTTTACATCGTCAGGTTCTGGAAGTCGATCAGGTGAACAATGTGCTGGTATTTGTCGCATTTTATGATTACGATTTGAACTTAATGGGAAAAGTTTCTCGTCGACATGCTCCCACCGTTCTGCACATGTCCACAACCAATCAGGTGTCACAACTTGAATTTTCTTATTCTTTAATGCTTGAAATACTTTTTGCGTACCCGTCGATGCAGCAATGAGATGTGTCGTAGCATCTGTGATTCCTTCAGTTACATCAGCACCAAGATTCTTTGCTATTAGATAAGGCCGACTGTTTTCAAGCTTAACAATATTGGGGACAAGACCCGAGAACACAATTGAAACACCGACAAGAACTTCGGATTTTAGCTTAGGAATTAGAAGTTTGAGGTCAGGAATATTTTTCGTTTTGTCGTAAACATCATAAAATCGTTCATGAATGAGTTTAAGAATTGATTCAAGATACAAAAGATAATCGTCGGGATCTTGAATCTCCACTAAATTTTCTTCATAATCTTCATTTGATAACTTTTTCTCTTCAGTTTGTTGATCACTGGTTTCATCATTTTTTGGTGGTTTCTGATCAGAATCATTAAAGCTACTACTACTTTCGCCAACATCTTCTTCTTTCCTATCTTCAGTCTCAATTTTCTCTTCAACATTTTCTTCTTTCGTCTTCTTTTTCCCCTTAACTTTTTGAAGCTTCACAATTTTGTTAAAGTCAACTCCTTTACCATCAAGTTCACGTTTTGCAAGCGCTGGGGGTGCATTAATGTCGCCAGTATGTTGAAAAAAATGATAAGGTTTGACTTGAATCAGATTTGTTGCATGATTCCAAACATCTTCACGATCGTCGATAATGCAAACCATGGAATCGCCACAATCATCAGGAAAAAGTGCTTTTAAATTGTCTTTTTTACTCGTAGCATTCAAACATTCATCACGTGAAAGAATTCGATGAGAAAAAAGACGTCCATTCTCATCAAGAAACGCACAAATCATGTGAGCATAATTTCGAGCGCCAAATGTGCAAATGTGAAGTTCATAAAGTGGATCAATGTTTTGGAGAAAGGTAAGAGTTCCTGGTCTTAAGCGTGTATGATACCAAGGTGAATTTATGCCATACAATTGAAAGTGATAAACATCCTAAAATATAAAAAAAAAGTTTTGTTAACAAAAAGCATCAAAAAAATTTCTTTTTTCTTTACCTTGAGATTGTTAGGAACATTATCATTAGTTGTGTGAATTAATGTTTGATCCAAATCAACAAGCAGTACAAGTTTTTTGTCATTTAATAAGCGATCTGTGTCAGCTCTTCCAAGTTTCTTTGCCAGTTCTTCAGAAACTTTTAAGTCGGGAACTGAATGAATCATCGGTACTGAAGCTTTCGACGATGAAGCTATATCAATTTGTTCTAAGTCCGCTCCACAATCAGCACACAAATCTAGAAAATAGATTAGATTATTCTCAGGATAAACACAGATGTTGGTGTTAATATTTACCTCGAATGATTGTTGTATGAAGACATTCGATATAAGTTAGAAGCGGCGACCTTTAAAAATCAAATTTGGTTAGATTTATTATTAAAATCTTTTATTAATTTATTGCTTACAATTTATTCACAGTTTCTCCTTCTTTGTGGAGTAGTTTCTTCACTGTGCCATAATGTGTGTTCTTTAAACGTTGAATCTTCTCGTCACCATCCAACTGATACAAACATAAAATGGAACCATTTGAAATTTGGGATCCTTCGTGAACAACCCATTTGAAAATTTTTATATCTTTATTGGGTGATAAAATGTCATTTGATTCACTCATTTTGGTGAAACAAGCGAAGTGAAATTTCGCAAAACAATTTACTTTATTCAATGTTTGTATTCAAATTAGAGAGGTTACAATTCGCGGGGCTCAACTGGCGTAGCAACCGTGGCGCCAAAATTTTAAGTTCAAAAATAAAACTTGTAAAGTTCAAAACTTTATTTAATTAAAGAAATTGAATATTATAGTAAATAGATGAAATTAAATGATACTTTTAGGATTTTAAGTAACCACTGTTGAATATTTTTCCACCATTAGAGTATAGTTAGGAAAATGTAAGTAGAATATAAAAATATCCTTTAAAGAAGTAAATTTCACTTGTTTACATTTACAGTTTGTAATGGAGGATGTTAAAATAATGAATAACATGAGGGAAGTTCTTAAGAAAACACGAAAATCTAAGAAAAGTAGACACCATAATCTAGTAGAATCAGCAAACGACGATTCAATAAGTGAAATTCTTAGTAAAAAATGGATGTTCTCAAGTCCTCCGGCTTCTGAAGAGAAGTCAGCTGACAAAGAACTTCCACCAAAAATCAATGCTTTTAAACGCCTTATGAGTGCAAAGAAAGTCGAGCCAGATTTAGAAACCATCAGTGCCAAAAAAAAGCGGAAATACATGAAAAAGCCAAAATATAATAAATTGGAAATAGAAATTGAAGACAAATCTAATAGTGATGAGGATTTGAATGAAACTACCATTTTTGAGTCACAGAACCAAGAGGCATTTAATTGTTTAGCAACAATGAAAGATGAAATTGATGAATTTCCTGTTAATGAAATTTCCCATAAAAAACGAACTCGATCTAAGCTCGAAGCATCTGAACCTTCAGAGACGTTCGTAGAAGCAACTCCAGATGATGTCGTCAGTAAACGAAAGAAAAGAAAAAAATCAAAGCTATTAGATTCTAATGAGAATTCAATTCCACATGATGATGACTGCAATGAAGCAACACCTAAAAGCAAGTCAGGACGACCAAGAAGATCATGTGCAGCACATGTAGATTATAAATTACTCGAAAGCCCCGAGAAAGCTCTTAACAACTCATTAGCTTTGGCACTTGTTGAATCGAAACGTACGAGGAAACAAAATTCATTAAAGGAAAGTCATGAAGATGATTTCGATAAGTCTTTTCTCATGATTGATGATGATGATGATGCTGAAGTTAAAAAGAAGACTTCATCGAAGCCATCAAAACTTGCGCCAGTTTTCATGAAGAAAGTTCTAAAGCCAGCAATCGATCCCGAAGTGAAAGAAGCTCGAAGAAATTTCTTACTTTCAGAACTTCCCGACGATCTTCGATATTCAAATGACAAACGAAGACAACAATTCGAGGAAGCAGCTGTTGACGATAATTTAATTACATTTCCTCGAATTTCTCATGTCACACAATTATCTGATGAAGAAGACTTCAAGACTGAAAATTTATTGACATCCGGTGTAGAATTTTTGTATGAAAATGACGAGGAAAACTTTAAATCGAAGCATTTGAGTAAAATTCTTCAACTTGGAACGTTCACCGAATGCAATGCAAATGCAACTTCACTGCCATTAGTGACATGTGATGAAATTAAATCTAAGAAATGTGAAGCTATGAAGCACAATGTTAAATCAGAAGTGAGAAAGCTTAAAAAAAATCAAGAAAACTTTCCTGTAAATCGTTGCTTCAAGAAACTTCTTTCAAAAGCAACAGAATTAGTTAATTCCAGTACAAACGAAAACAATTTGTTGTTTGTTGACATCTTTAAGCCAGCGAGTCTCAACGAATTCTTTGTGAATTTTAAGCCGATTAAACAGCTTCAAAAGTTTCTTCTAACATGGAATGAAAGAGACAAGTCAACTGATTACGACTCAGACAAAAGCAGCTCACGTCAATCATTCAAATGTCTCAACAATTTCGTGGTTGTTTCGGGTAAAAATGGATGTGGAAAGACTTCAAGCATTTATGCTTTAGCTAACGATCTAAACTATCAAGTATTAGAAATCAACGCTGGAACAAAACGAAATGGAAGAAAAATGTTACAAGATTTATTAGAAGCAACACAATCGCATCGTGTGAAAAATATATCGGGAAAACTCTACGCAACAACAGCAGCAGAAGTTCATGATGAAAATGAATCGTCCCAGGAGTCCAATTGCGAGTTGTCGTGCAGTGCAAAATCAATTATTTTGATCGAAGATGCTGAGCTTGTGTTCGAAGCGGATGATGGATTTGTGGCATCATTGTCATCAATTTGTAATATCAGTAAACGTCCAGTCATCTTAACAACAAACAATCGACAAATTCAACATCTTCAAAAGTTTATTCAACACAATGAAATTTTATACGATAATCCGAAACTTACTGAACAAATGGGAATTTATTTATTTTTATTGTCTTTATCGGTCAATTATGAAATTGAAAGAGATGAAATTCAAATGTTATTCACATCAAATGGGCATGATTTACGTAAAACAATCAATGAAATTGAGTTTTTCATTCGAAGTTCAAATACGAGAACAAGCAACAGCAATTTGATGAGATTTTATCAGCGACCGCGATGTGAGCGGTTGAAAAATGGTCAACTTGACATCGAAAATCAAAAAAGCTTGTCAACTTTATGCTTCGATTCATCAATCGTTTCAAGTCTTGCAACGATGTGTGGAGAACGCTCGTATAACGCAATAACTTCATATCAACAGCGTGACTTAATGGATGAAATGGTTGAGTTCATCACTGAACGATGTAACGTGGTTGAAGCTCAACATGATTCATCTTACAGCAACCAGAAAATCATGGAAAGGTATTTTTTTATTCAATCTTAGATTTATATCCCTTTCCTTCCACATTCATCCATATCCATCCATTCATGCATATAACAACAAAAATAAACATATAAGTATCACGTGGAAATGGGAAAGAAAAAAGGGCGAAAATGGGGGAAAAACCTGGCAACGATGAAAAATTGATTTCAACATTTTTCCAATTCGATGCTTCGTTGATTTGCAAAATTAAAAATGTTTTGCTATTTTTTTTCCATTTAAATTTATTTTGATTGAGTTGTTGATTTGATATCGTCATGACAAGGTGTAAAATTACGTTCAAAATATTTCTTAATCTTCCTTTTTTTGTGTTATTTACAAGATCTAAGAAAAATATTCGTAGATTCGAATTGGAAAAACAAATTTAATTAGTTACACCACTTTTTCCATCTTAACTTAGAAGAAAACACTTGAAAAAATGAAGTAATTTAATAAGATTTATTTATCGACAAGCAAAACTCAACCTTAATTACTTGGCATTTAAAGTTAATTTCAACAAGTCTTTCTAATCTTTTAAATTCTTTACCATCACGTGCTGTACATTCATCCTTTTAGCATAAACATAAATATCGTGTTTACTTCCCCTATAAACATTTAAATATTGTGTTCTCAAGTAGTTTGTTTACTTTCAGCTCCATTTCAGGCAATTTAATTTCGCAATCAACAAATTTTACTGCGACTTGTTTGGACTATTCGCCAATGTTACGCGATATTTGTCGTTCTGAAAAAGCTCGTTGTGAGAATGGTCGACGAATAGCAGCAAATAATCGAGGACATTATTTGAGATTTTTGATAACGAAAAACTCACTCGGAAATGATTACTTTAACGATCAATGTGAAATGTTTCAACAATAAAGTGAATTGAATCGGATGCCGACTCTATTTTTATGAGTTTTCCTTTTTTCTTGTTTTTTTGGGTTTTTTTTTTGGGTTCTCTTAGAGCTCGTTGAGTTTTTATTACTTTGATTTTGTGTTGACATAAAAACACCAGAAGGAAAATGTTAATAAATGGAAATGAAAGCTTTGAAAAGCTTATGATGCTAATGAAATTGAAATCAATTGTTTTATTACAATAATTCATTTATGAAGTTTGTTTTTCGTTTGTAATGGAGCTTCTTGGTTTTGTTTTCTTGCTTTTTTTCTTTTCTTCTTTTCCCTCTTCTTTCTTTGTTTGAAAGCTTAAACTCATAAAAAATCTTTCAGTCAATAAACTTCACTCTCCCCTCATGCTTTTAACACGACAGAAGCTACCGCACTTAAGTAAGTTAAAGCCACCATGAAAAATTAATAACGTCACAAAAAGCTGTTCACTTAATTTCCCGTAAGAAATTTATTGATAATTTGAATGTTTATGTCTGTTCCGGCATCTTCTACTGATTATCATCACACGCACGGTCGGTGAAGGAATGAGAAGGGTTTAAGTTTGAATAACAACAATGCCTGAGGTACGAGCAAGGGTACAAAGTCATGACAAACATTCAGAGTCTACCCTCGAGTTTCAAATAATAATAATAATAATTATGTATGTGTGGGTGTGTGTGATGCTTTCTTAAGAAGATGAAGAACGAATAAATTCAGGGAAATATAAATTTGCTTCGCCTGTCAAGTTTAAATCTTCTCAATTTGTCGGTTGTTGCTGTAGCAAGAATGGGAGAAAGAGAAGAAGGAAGGAACGTCTCGAAGGCAGTAACAAAAAACAAAAAAGGGTCATGCTGTATAATTTGTAAACGAAACAACTTTTGCTCTAAAATGAGAAAATTATTTATGAGATTTTCAAGGAAAACGAAAACATTGAATGTTTATTTTTTATAGACTCTTAAAGAGTTTTCTTTTAGAAAGATCATTACGAGGGTTTACGATTCGCTGATATTGGAAATTGAATGATGGAGAAAGAAATTCCGTAACCGAAGAATTAAACAACTTTTCAATGGAAAAAAACTAGCAATTTTCAACTTTTCTTCCCCTTCCATTCTGTTTTCCTTCTCCCACTTGACTTTCGAACTCTCGACTAATGAAAGTTTTCTTATGTTTCTTACTTCCGTAGTTACTCTATTCAACTTCGCAATCTTGATATTTATTTCGATGCTAAAACTCAGCTTTGCAGATTATAAAGTTTGGCTGGTTAACGAAAAATTTTATTTCGCTCTTTTTTTTCTTTTCTTTTTTTTTTGAAGTTGAAAGAAAAGTTTTTATTTTAATTTTTGTTTTTGGACTGACACAGGGGGATGATTCATTAAAAGTGTCCAAATTTCTCCTTAACTTTTCATTTCCAGATGAGAAAAAATTCTTTTACATATAATGTCGTGTGCAAAAGCATATCAAGTAATATTTGAAGGTATATGAAATATTTAAGATTGGAATGTTCATGACAAAACCTGATAAATCTTCTGGGAGTATTTTCATGCTTAAAATTCAAAAAAGAAAAAGTTTTTCGAGCACTGAGCTGTCCATTTATGTAAACGGATTGTAAGTGAAACTTTCCGCAGTATTTTTGCTTATCAGCTTGACTGGCTTAAAAACTTTTAAACTTTTTTTTATTTCTGTCTTCATTGGCTTCTCCCATTGTTGACTTATCTTAGGTATTTGTATAACAATCGAGAAAATGCTGTTTTACATAAAATTTTCCTCGAAAACCAAACTGGATTAACCAATGGATGATTTGAAACGAACGAAAATAAGAATTGTAGAGTGATTTATTAGGTAACAAGAAAAACAGCTACGAAAAGGGGTTAATCTCTTGCATTTGCCGCCCGTTAACCTCGTAACACCATAAATCCACTTTCTCATGTCTCTCCTCTACGATGGAAAGCTCAGTGGTGCTGAATCAATAGGTGCAAACTCAATTTGAATTGTATAAGGCGTTCGATTCGTGTGGAAGACTTTCTGATATATCCAAACGTTAACCCGTCAATAAATATAAATCCTTGCGTGATGGATTGAGATGTGTTCAATATCGTGTTACGTTCTTACATCACGTGAAGAAGAAAATAAAAAGATTCTAGCGTGAACTTTTTCCTTGCTCGATAAATTATGCAATTTTCTTTCTTTAGCATGGCTTCCTTGTGGATTTTCCTTCTTATACACAACAACAACAATAACTGTTGAAAAATTGTTTCAACAATTGTTATGAAGTTTTATGAGATGTGAAGAATTCTGAGGCGTTTTTCAAAAATGCTGTAATATAAGATTGAAAGCTTTTCGAGAGAAAATTGTTTTGTGAGGTAATGGTAAACAAGAATTTCTTTCTTTTCTTGTTTCTCGATGTAATAAAAGTTCCAAGAATCTCTAAAATAATTTCATGAAATGTCAAAAGCATAAAAAAGTTTTTTAAGCATCATTGAGAAATATTTGAAGGAAAGAATTTTTTTTTCGTGGAAATTTCGACTATATTAAACACAGAAAAAGGATTAAACTGTTGATTAAATTTTAATTATTTCTTTTTCTCTTAGTTTACAACTTAAGTGTCAAGGCAGTATTTCATTTCACGCTCTTGAAATGTGTTAAATCGTTTTACTGTTAATAAGAAAAGGTGAAAATTTAATTGAGTTTTACATTAATTAAAATCATTTCATTGTATGTAAGAGTTAAGAAATTATTCATGATTGTTTGTCAGTTTTTCATCATTGTTTCCGCTCAACATGATTGTTTTTTGAATCTTTCATTATCGAATGCCTCAGGTGATATCGGCCATGGAAACTTTTCATCAAATTAAAATTTTCTGTTTATAAAACTACAAAAAAACTTTTTGCTGTAAAGCTTTTTCACTGGAATTTCAAGCAGAAGTTGTCGTTATGTGCAACTCACAGTCGAGTCGATTCAAGAGAAAATTAAATTGAAAAAGCTTTTGAAAAATTCAAATAAATAAAGTTACATTGAAAGATTTTGTTTTCTCGCCTTGAGTGTAAATTTGATGAATTTTTAATCATCTTCTGTCACATATTGTGAGTTTACTTATGATGAATGTCTTAATAATGTTTAACACGTCTTTTGTTGAAGCAAACGGAGACATCATCAGAAGGCGTTTGAACAGGCGTATAATTAAAGCAAATTTCTCGAAATATTCATGACTTTCATTTCCCGTTTCCACATACAACCGACATAAGAGCGAAGAAAAGTTTTCTGTTAGGAAAACAATAAAACGCGAAGCGAAATAGAAAATCAAGCTGCCTCGTATCTGGCAGACATAAATTATTCCAAAAACAAGAAATTCTCTGTTAATTTCTGCAAATTCATCTCTAGTAATGATAAAAAATTGATCAAGTTAAATTAGGGAAAGCTGAGGAGGGAAATAAAAGTTGAAGAGCACGCAATCATTACATTTCTCCTCCCTTTCATCTTAAATAGAATTCCCTTTGTGAACTTTCAACAAAAAAAAGCACCGCAATGAATAAAAAGCACACAGAACAGAACGTTAAAAAAATGTTCACTGTAAAATCTTTTTCTTTTAATTTAAAAAGAAAGCGGCAGCAAAGAGAAATGAAACGAGCTATAAAATTATTTACATTTGTGCACACACAAAAGAAGAAAAAAAAGCAATAAAGTTTTCATTCTATTCATTTTTTTCCCTTTTTTTTGCAGAATAGTGAGAATAAGAAATAGAGAAAACAAATTAGAAAAAAACACATTAAAGAGAAAAAGATATGTTTTTGATTCTGATTCCTGAAGTGCGGGTGGGCCGTACAAAAAAAAGAAGAAGAACTCTTCTTCGTGATCAGCCTCGAGACTCGCATTTCCCATGATACTAACATCAGCATCTGTAATGCTATCCACCCGATCCCTTTTGAGTTTAAATCGTTTTCTTTCGTTTCATCTTTCCATCTGCTACTTAAAACTATTCTTCATTCATTCATTCATTCATTCGTTTCGCCCTTTTGTCTTCTAATTGGATTCAACTTAAAAAATATTCTCGTCGTTTTTCTTTGTCTTCAAAAGCTTTTCTTTCATTTTTCTTTTTCTTTTCAATCTCTTCCTTCTTCATCTTCTAGCGTTACATAATTACACGTTCTTTGGTTCTTTTGTGAGTTTTTAATTAATTCTGTAAACACTGAAACGAGTCGAAATGGAGCCCTAGAGATCAATTTACTGTCGTTTCCCCATAATTGAGAAGTGCGTTAAGCAATCGCTCTTTTTCAATGCTTAAATTATTAATGACCGACAATTTACTTACCTTACGTTTTGTTGACATTTTTATTATCGTGAAGTTAGTGAAGAATTATGTGATTTCCATTTATTTATGACTTCAGTATTAAATATATCAAAAAGATATTTATTGAACGAAAGATTTCGAATGAAACTATGTAAATATAAATGGTCACTTTTACGGTTTCTCGTTCATGAAACTTTATGAATAAATTCATTAGATGAGTAAAAATCAGTTCTTTTCATAAGCGGAAAATTTATACAAACGATAACCATTAAGTTAATGGAAGACTTCCGAACTTGTCATCTTTTAATTATGAACTCTTGGCAAAAGTCGAAAGAAATTCTTCAGTCGTAAAACTTAAAATAACTTTTCAATTAAAGACAGAAGATACATTTTGCCATTAAATTTTCATACGTGCTAATGAGTGAAATTTCATTGCTTGGGATGATGTTGGAAATCAACCAGCCATGGATATAAGATACACGTTGGTTTCATTCCAGTCCGGTCAATGAATAATTAATGATTTGATTTTTAATGTTCTTCCATCTCTTCGTTCGTCTGATTTTCTTCTTCTTTTTTATATTTTTATATTTTTTTTTCTTCACTCGTTCATGTATTTTTCTTTGGCCTCAGGAAATTTTATGTACATAAAGATATTTCCTTTCGAGCTTTTCTTTATTATTCGTCGAGCTTCTGAAGAGCGACAGGGAAAAATGCCAACAACGCACATAAATTTTATCTTCGTCTTGCTCGTGTCCCCCCGGTACGCCATGAATCCATAATGTTTGGGTGTGTGAACACTGTTATGATTTCTCTTTACCATCATTTTCCAAGATGAAAAAGAAAAAATGAAAATGAGAAATAAAATCGAGAAAAAGAAAATCTGAAATCTTCAATTGAGCATGAAAATAACTTCTCGCTTCCCTTCGTCGCAGTTTAAAATAACATTGCGGCTTCGGTCAACCCAACCCATACGCAAGTCACATAAAATTTTCATGACATTCAGATAAGGCGAGTTTAAATCCATTTTAATATTACAAAGCTTTTTTGAGCATCTCTAAAGTATGAGTGCGGTTTAAAAGAATCAACGATGCATATCAAAGCGTTTACATGTTAATTCAAAATCTTTATCCGTTAGTTCATCTCCTTTATCGCTGTTTTAATATTTAATGTGAAAGATCTAAAGCTTCGGATTTTATTGGTGTTTGATTTTTCTCTTTACGTATTCAAAGAATGATGTAATGTGTGGGCTTTTATAAAGCTACTTGTGCGTTGATATGTAATTTATGTAAAATAAATCATATGAATTTTCAGATATTCTGATGCTTTTTCCAACCACACCGAAGTGTTTTATCTCGTTTACTATTCACATAGTTTAATATTTCCATGGAATATTCAGAATGAGAAATTTTCCTTCTCAGAGTTTTATACATTTATACATAGAAATATGTATTTGTAACATTGGTGGATAAGAAAGCAACATACATTTGAAATTGATGGCATTGCGGTTGAATGTGTCGACAAATTGATTTTTGTTCTTCTCAACCTTATCTTGTTCATTTCGCCATCTTTTCTTTCATTCCTTCTTTTTCAACTACATTGCCAGACGACGATTACCGATGGGGGTAGACAAACATAAAAATGCTTCCAATAAACTTTTGCACTTTTGCTTTGAAAAGAAAGTAGCACAGAAAAAGAAAGCCCTGCGACGACAAATTCTCGAGGATAATTCACTTGAAAGCAATTATGCCGATCATAAATTTTAAGTTTCAATATGTTTATGTGCTTTCTTTCATGATGTTTTCTTTCTTTTCTTTTTATGTTTCTTTCTTTGAGTATCGTTGCGTTTTTATTTTATCTGGCAAAATCTCAAAAATTGAGTAGCGTAGGGAAATAAAAAATTTCCATCACATTACAGTCCACCTTCAATGCAATATTACAAGAAAGAATTCGAACTTGCCAATGACGTTCACATTGCACAACATTAATATCTTACAAAACGTCATTAAAATTCATCACTAGAAATTGATTTTCATGCGCGAGAAAACATAAAAAGGAAATCCTTTCAAACTTGCAATCGAGAAAGAAACAAAAAAGTAAGCAAGAGTTTGATGTTCCTCGAGCCAATCTTGATCAATACTGATAGCTCAATAAAGCAAAGATGGCCATCTCCCTTTTCTTTTGATAGAGAACAAACCCATAAGAATCATTTTATAGGCATTTGTATTTGCTTCATCATCAAGAAATCATTGCGCAAAAAAAATCGAGGAAAATTCAATTTCCAAAAAAATGTGGAAGCATTTGAAGACATATTTTCAGTGTTTCTTTTCTTAAGGAAATGGAGTGAGTGGGAAATCGTAATAATTTACGATTTTGTTGTTGCTATTGTTTGTGTACGTTATCGAGAAAGCTTGCCAGCTATTCTTCCTCTCGATCACACCGTAAAAGCGAATTGAAGCAGAAAAAAGAGATTTTTCAATTGAGAAACGATAGACGGCGTATCTATGCAGAAGCCAAGAAAAAAAAACATATTTATGAAGTGCAAATGATTTTAAAGAGTGTCTGCGACGACAACTTTTCCTTCTTCTTCTTTTTTATATTTATTTTTCAAATTTGTGGTAATAAAGTTATAGAAGTTGTGTCGAGTAGACAGACACGGCAACGCAGTGAATTGGAAAATTCGGAAACCGGTAAGAATATTCAATGAACATTAATTTCTTTGAACAATGCGCAAACAAACAAGTTCATTTTAAACTAATTCAGTAATCGTCTAAACGCATATCAAAGTCACGAAGAGAAAACCATAAATCTCATTTGAACAGAAATCAAACATTCTTCTTTCCATACACGATGAAAGGAGAAATAAAAAAGCATCTCAATAAAAATGTTTCATGCTTTATTTGCATAGATTTATGTATTCTCTCTGTGGGCTTGCGAATTGTGCTAAGAAAGAAAAAGTTGTGAAATGTTTTTATGAATGAGAAGAATTCAAAAGAAGGAAGATGTTGAAAAAGAAGAATGGAGAAAATTGTCAAAGCCAAAATATTTGCTCTTATAATTTGTTTAATCAAATCAAATGTCTTTAAGCGTAATTTTATGTACCCATACTCAATTGAACTTGTCATGTTGTCTCCCTAATCTCTTCAATCGTCATTGTCGCAGCTCACGAATAGATAAAGAAAAGCAAAAATAAATACTGAAAGAAACGAACAATTAGATTATAAATATATACATGAAACGAAACTTGGTGGCACACAACAATGTAACAATCAAGAAAAGGCGACCCCGAATGTTTGATGAGAGAAAGAAGAAAAATTCATAAACAAAATCAGACGAAGTTCTTCGATATGGAAAGGGAAGGAAAAAGTTTTAAATTTCTTTCTCAACTTCTCTCAATTTATTTCACTCTCTCGTGTTCTTCTTCAAACAAATGTGCGCAATTGTTTTTTGTGTGTGTTTGTAAAATTGTGGGAAAAATCTCAAAGAAAACTGTTTTCTTTAGAGAAAACTTTTCTCACGCTTTCACCAAATATCTAAACTAAAGACGAATCTGTGGTGCGAGAATGAAGTTTCCCAACCTTCGTGTCAAATCCGAATGCTGAAGATCATAATTAGATCAGAGAAATTGAAGAAACTTTCGTGTTAAAGGGACAAAAGTCTTTGCAACTTTTCACTATATATTTTATTGTACATATCGTCGTACCATGTCGTATGAATGGCCGGTGAAGTTTGACAAACTTCTTTCTTGCCTAGTTTTCTTTTCATATTTTTCTATCAAATCAACGTTTTTTCTTGGTCGGGTTGTGGAGAGGTTTGAGAAAGGTTATTTCTCTGTTATATTTACAAAGCATTGTATTTTGAATATTTAATGAGTTGAGCTACCAGAGGGAAGAGAGATATGTACGAGATCTAAAAGTTGCTGTTGTTGCGATAAACCCTTTCGTTGAAAATTGTGAAAAGCAACTCAAACTCACATCTAACAATATAAACCGAACCTTTCAATTCGAGGAAAGGGATATGAGCACAACATATAAATTACAGCTAAATTTGTTCTTCCACAAAACTCAATCATACAAAAGTTTATTTCTCGCTTGCCTTCCTAGTTCGTACGAATTTGATGCTACGAGAAAAACGTTTGACTGTTCAAATACGTCGAACGAACATACATGACGTGGATAGAAAAAAAATCCACACAACAATTGCTAGTAACTGAACGAGAATTTCAATTTTCAATCAGCATAATTTTTAAAGGAAATATTTGTCTATGCCGTCATATCGTCATTAGTCAAGGATAGATTTCAAATAGTCTGAGAAATGATGGGCATGGCCACAAAATATTCAGACGAACCATTAAAAAAATTTTTTTGCTGACAAAGTTTATCTCACCCTCTCTTCCAGTTTTATTATTCAAATTTGCTGTTTTGTGGATTGTAAACATCATAGAAAAACAACCCCAGCACGACCCGAGACGACACAGATTATAGCAGATTTTCAAACCAATTTCTAATGCCTCAAAAGATGATTGCGCTTCATAATAGCAATCAATATTGTGTCTATTCTAATGGATGTGCATTAAAGTTAACTAGTTGGATATTGAACAGCGGATTATTTTCACAATTCTTTCAATGATTTTTCAAATGTTGAACTTTTCGCTGAACTGAATAATTTTTTTTTGTTATTCCAGAACCTGAAAATGAAGTCATAACTTTTTTTAATGTTACTTTCTTTTAATTGTAATCAAGCAATAATTTAAATAATTTCACGATGAAACATCAAACTTAATTAAAACGAACTTTAGGCAATAACACAAACAAAAACTTTTCACTCCAAACTTTTTCCTTATTTATTTATTCATGTTTATTGCAGTTATTTTTTAAAACATAACAGCCGTCGTTCAAAAAGAAATGCAAAATAATTTTTTACTTAAAATTACACCAGAATGAAAGAATAACACAGCATGACTTTTTTATAATTTAAACAATGCTTCTAGCAGATTTTTAACATAACATAATGTTTATAAATAAAGTGAAATAAATTTACGACTTGAGTTGTTTGTTCTTTATGTCTAACAAAGTTCGCCTTCATTAGATCATCACTGATATTTGAGTACTTCATATGTGTTGCCTTGGAGCGTGACATCTCCATTCTCAACGGTTCATTATTTTTCCTGTTAAGTTTGTTTTGTCTACAACTTTGAAATAACACATTGTGTCATACACCATACGCCCACTCAAAAATTCACAAAAGCGTCATAAAACAAACTTTTTCAATTTTCTTTTTTTTTCATTTTTTTGATCCAATATCATCCCAATCTGAGAAAATGAGAAACTTTTTTATGTTTTCACGAATAAAAATGAAACAAAAGTGGAGGAAAAAGTTACTGTTGTGAAAATGTTCATCGTACTTCTCCTTTCAATATGAGAAAAAAAATCCTGTAAATTGAATTAAAAAAAGTCTTACGGAAGCTCAACCATGTTTCGTTTGATTGCTGCTCGTTTCTACCTTACTTTTATTCTAAAACGTATGTGTAAAGTTTTATGATGTGCAATGAACATGGTTAGTCGACAAAAAAAAGCCAAAAAAAAATTGGTACACACAAAAACGACATGAATATTGGGAAAATGATAGCGAAACGTGGAAACCACCCACACATTGGTTCTTGTCTGATTGTTTTCTCTTAGCGTGAGCTTTTTGTGTTTTTAAGAAATTCATTTGTGAGATAATTTTTTGAGAGTAACGAGCTTTAACCTCTCAACTCTCGAAACTTTTCCTTCTCTCTCATTTTCCTTTTCACTCAATTTTCCACGATTTTCTCCAAAAGCATCCTTTTGGGAAAATTTTCTCTCATTTTTCTCTCATTGGGCTTTTTCCCTTCTTCTATTTTTGTATCAACAATGACTTTCAGTGCTTTCGTATTTTTTATTTAGGACGAGAAAATAAATGCTACACACAGAAAAAGTTTCCCAGGTCTCGGATGTCAGTAAGGAAAATGCTGCGGAACGTAAAACATTCTCAATTTAGGTGTTGTGCGAGGGTGACTGAATAAAAAGTTTAAAAAGATAAAATATTACAAAAATTGAAGAAAATGTTGAAGCAAATTACCTCGTATTAAATTTACGTCTAGGATCAGTGCAGGAATTAGTGTGGAAAGAAAAAGGCAAAGCGCTTTCATGTTGTGAATTCTAATTATCAGTGAAGAAAGGAAAAATTCATGATAATATTGCTTTACTGACATAAAAAACCGTTCTGACAGAGTAGAAATAAAATATATGACATTAGGAAAATAGAACGGAAAAAAATTACCTTATCATTGTTGTTTCATAAAAAATTGTTTAATCATTTCAAAAGCGACAGGAGTTCAAGTTTTTTTTTGTCTTGCTGCTCAAATATTTTTACTCCCCAAGATTGAAGCAAGGAAATAAATAAAAAAGAATTCATAAAATATAAAGGAAACAGTAAATAATATAAATTGAGGAACATAAAGTGGAGATTGTAACATTCATCGCACTTCGCCGTTAAAAGTGATAAAGGAAGGCTGAAAATCATAAAAAAAAAGAAAGGAAAGGAAAAATATTCGCCCTGTATTGCGTCACTGAAAATGTGAGATTTGTATTTCGTGTGAGGTTGAAGAAGAATATGAGAGAGTAAAAAAATATAAAAAAGTGAAGCAGAATCATAAAAAAACGAGCATCATCATATTTCTTCATCATCATTTTATGTTTTAATTAGTGTAGCACAGCAGAGTAATGATAATGTTATATGTGCTCACCATTGTGAATTTCTGTAGTGATATAAAAATCGTGTTCAGTTCCCTTCACTGAGCTTTGCTTTAACCTCGACACACATCCATCCCACTCTTGTGTAATTTTAATCAATTAAAGGTAAAGTAAGGTTCAACTCATTTGCACTACAACGTCAAAGCAGAGACCAGAACGGTTCATTAAATTCAGAACACTTTACAGAACAAGACGATTTAATAAACTAGAACCTTGCAAACGTATTTCACATTCATGAGATAAGCTAAAGGTGACTAGTGACGAAGTAAACTTAACAGTGTCATTTGGGAAAACATTATTCTAATCTCAAAAGTAATTTAAACTATCAATCCCAAAAAATCTTCAGAAATACAAAACACAAAGAGAGTACTCGATGTTCATGTGACGAACACATTTGGAGACAGAAAGAAAGAAAGGAAAAAAATAATCAATATAAAAAATTAATATAAACCCTACGAAGCTTTTCTCTTTACACTTCGTGTGACGAAATCGTATAGAAGAAGAAGTGTAAAGAAAAGCGATCAAGGTGAAGTAATTTTAGCGATAAGAACAAAGAAAGAATCATAAGAACCAATAAAATATAATAGAAGTGAAAAGATATTTTCCAAGAAAAAAGAAAGAAACTTTCTTCACTATATTTAGAGATTGCTTAACCTAGAAGGAAAAAATAATATTGCGAAAGATTTTTAGTAAAGAAAAACGAAAAGAAAAGCTTCAAGAAGAAAATTTCTGTCGAGACGAGAGAAAAGAGAAGCAAAAGAGATAAGAAAGATAAAAAAGAAAAACATATTGAGAGAAAGAGAGGAAAATTGAAGAGAGGGTGGAAAATCATCCTTTATTGAAGGTTGCAAATCTTTTCGCTTTCCATCAACTCTGTACTGAGTTCCGGCACTTTTCTCCATCACTTGCAAGGACAGGGAAGCTTCCAAACACGTTTATGAACTCTCTGCGAGTGATTGTGTGTGTTCGTGAATATAGTGCCAAGTATAAAGCACACGACTGAATCAACGGGAAGAGAAAAAACAAAAAAATTATCTCTTGTTATGTAAGTATACAATTTTTAAGACAACTTTTGTTTTCTCACATCCATTGCTCTGAACAGCCCCTTATTATTTTACTCCATAAAGCGCACATTTCCCATCCACCAATGTGAATCACCTCCCATCGTCCCCTTTTTTGGCAATGTAAAACTCTTGCAATCCCGCTTACGAACAATACGAATTGCTGTTATTTCTAAATGGGTTGATGGCTCCACTCCATTCAAGTTCGGGATTTTAAGTGTAAAGTTATTTTTCCGTCATCATCATAATACACATCTTGTCGTCGCGCTTGCTTTTGTTCGTGCAAAGTGAAATATTTCGTAAGTTTTTCTTTTTTCCTTTTTAGTCTTTTCTCCCTTTGCCTTTTTTTACATCCACACAGTTGCCATTTCGAACGTGCTTTATTTATTCTTCAGTTTCTAACGCGACTTGATGACTTTGTACATCACATCGCAATTTTCGCTTCTTCGCCTTTCTGAAGTATCATCAGCCATTCAATCTCTTATCATTGCAAACATGAAGTAACACATGACAGAATAAGAAGAATATTGAATAACGAAATTCCTTTTCGTATTGTTTCTCAAAGTTTTCACTTGAAAAGATTTTCTTGTGTCCCCCATCTAAGGGCCTGCCTGCCTTTACTACCGTCAAGACACAAAACTGTGCATAAATGTTTTAACAGCATAATTACTTGATAATTGCTGTAACCTCGTAATTTAACGAGAATGATGAGTGGAGAGAGTGTATAAGGGGAATAAAGAGAAGAGTGGAGGGGGAATGATGATGACACTGATGAAATGTGTAACTTTTTGCTTTTGTTTGACTGAACAAATATGTTGATGGAAGAAATTTTTCACATGGAAAAGAAAACAAGACAACAATCCAAAACACGCTCACAAATTGTTCTGCTAATATCCTTTTTCAAAGAATCAACAATTCAACGTCTACTCGACTCTTTCTGACTATTTGAACGTGTGTCATTGGGACAAGAATAGCGCATCAGTAAGAGAAACGATAAAAAATATGAAGAGCTCTTGTCTAAAATAATAAATGTCATATATGAGTACAATGGCATAAGCGTAAGAGAAACTAACGAAGTTTGTCAGAAAAAAGTTCTTTTCCAAGTGTCAGTGAAACGTAAAAAAATGAAATTAAACGAATATCGTGTGCTTGCTTGCTGCTATAACTGCAGTCATTTTTGGTAGCAGATGAAGAAAGAATGGAAAACTTAGACAGCTAAAACAAACGTATTTTGTCATGCTCTGTGCTCAAGGATTAATGCAATATTCATGCATGCTTAAAAGTCTCATTTCAAGTTCTTTTCTCATCGCTTTTCAAGAACGAAGTATCATCTGTCATGGTTACTTTAAATGAATTGGCTTATATGTGAGCTACCGCTGGATGTGAACGATATCGTTGTGCACATGACAAACTACTAAATAATTGTTGAACTTTAGCATTATGCTAGGAATTGCAACATAGCGCTAAAAGCGCTCAGTCTGCGCCTCGAGATAAGGCCGAACCCCAAATGACCTTTTCATTGATTTATTTCCCTGTTGTCTGATGCAATGCTCATGTGGATTTAGATCTCACCATATATTTACCTAGTTACATTATTCATATGAGTTGCGACTTTTAATTTCGTGTGTTTGGTCTTTCCAACAGGGATTGAAATTTTCTCCGCCTTGAGCTATCGTGCCGAGCTAATAAGCTTTGGCATAAAAGAAAAAAAAAACTTAGCTTTGTATCGTAACTTCTTGTTTACCTTATTTGGTTGTCAGAACTCTGTCAGGTTCAGAAGAAAAATTGAAATTTAGTACGCAATGCTTTAAAGATTGAAAAAAGATTTACATAGAATATTTCTCCTTAAATTTATCGACTTTATATTATTCAGAAATCGTTGGATGATGGAAGAAGCTAATGAAGGTTAATTGACATCAATGTTGGACCTTTTTCCTGACGACTTTAAAAGAAAAATATAACCCAAAGTTGAAGGGAAAAAAACGTAAGAATACGAAGGTTTTTATGTATCACACGATTTAAAAACCCATTTTAATTATCCATAATTGAAAAATAATAAATCGAAGCATATTTCAATTTTTATCGAATTTGAGATATGATGACTACATACACAAAGACACATCTCACTCTATTTAATAAAACATTCAATGTTGAATTCTCGATTAAATAAAAAGAAATAAATAAAAAAAAACCCAGAATTGATTTTTTATAGCGAAATTGAATGTGGATAAATTTGGAAATTTTTGTCAATGTTTCGGAAGAATAAAGAAATGAGAAAGGGAAAAACTAGGTAGTTCTGCATTACGTGAGAATTTATCTATGTTCAGAATAACAATAAAATAATCGCTGAAGGCAAGCTATATTTTATGTGAGGGACCGCGAGTATAAATTTTATTCGCCTTGAGTTTTATTTCTCGTCGTCATTAATTTCAACAGAGAAAATCTGTTCACTGATATCGAAATCAGACAAAGCTACTTTTTCTTTGACTTTAAGATGTTGAGTATGACTTGCAGGAACATAATTTAAGAAAACTGTTGAATTGTTATTTGCAAGATGCACAACGTGATAATATTTGAGATAATTAAACAACGAAGAAATGATGATTAAAAAGTATCTCAAAGAAGAGAAATTTCAATGAGTTAAATTGTCGATTCAGTGATTAAAGGAAAAGAATGTAAATGCTGAAAAGTCTTGGAAGAAAAGAAAAAAGGAAGAGAAACGTCAGCTTAATCTTTAACAATAAAATAAGGAAAATAACGAAGGGTTGCTTCTTAATTAGCTTGGGCATCAAGACTTTGATATCAAAGATTTCTTCCAAGGGTCCACCGACTGTCGTTTTTAAAATGATTATTTAATGTAAAAGCTATTAATTCAGTTCAAAGTATCCTAAGGTTATTTCCTGAACGTTCTTAAAATATGCAGCGAAATTTTTTCTTCTTCTTAATTCGTCAGGAAATTACATAAATCGTGAGCTGCTACTCTTTGCTATGCAAATGTTTAATTTTAAATTTTTCTTTTCTCTATCGTACGAATGAAAATCTTCAATTTCATTGTGATGAAAACTTTAATAATATTGCCAAATAGAATTTTCATCTTTTCGTTGCAAAATTTCATCTAAATACGAACACGACAATTTAGCTTTAATACACGGGACAATAACAGACCCAAAAGTACGAGAGTTTCCTGAATTTAAAAGATATGAATGCAAATGTTTCGCAGAATTGAAATTAAGTTCTGTTCATGTTGATGTTAGGTAATTTCGCATTGCGGATGAACAAAGATTTATTTTAAATAACTTTAAAAGTGAATTTATTTCAACAAACAAATATTCAAACATCTAAATTAAAGTTTAATCAAGATTCGATTTTGTTTTATATTTATGGATTCAAATAGAATTATCGCAGAATGAATGGAAATGCGAAACAAAGAAATTGAGGAAGAATTGTTTAATTCATTTTCATCATTATGATTTCCTTAAGATCTTTTGTGGACATAAAAAAGAATTTTCTTTTTACACATTGACGACATTGGCTTGTTTTTCACAGAAAATATATTTCCGAATTTAGTTTTCATCTCTCGTTGAGATGGAACTGAAGTTCATATGTTTTCAGATGAAATCTTTGTTTTTTATCTGACTGATAAAACTTTTTTTGTTCTTTTCTTTTCGCAATATTATTTCTCCATCATCGAAAAATAATTTTTTTTTTCCACTCAATGCGCACAACGAATTTTGATCAGTCAAACATGCTGCTGCCCTTTTTTTGTCGTTTCTCGGTGTGACCTTTCAAAGAAACAACATTTTTCATGTCTTACCAAATCGAGAACAAGCAAATAAAAAATCCATTTGACTGAAATATTAAATAGAAGCTTTTAAGTAAAGTTTGAAAGAGAAAAAAAATCTGAAAGTTGACTTGAAAGATATTAGCAACTGATGTTGATTCCAGATCAATTACCATGACGATGATTTATAAAAAAAGAACGAGAAACGCACCATACTGTAATTAATTAATTGTGGAAATATCTATATTTTACCGAAACATAATCTCTTACTTAGCTCAGCTCTTTTTAAAAATATTATTGAAAAATCTCTGCGAAGAATTTTTTTCACTTTAACTTTTCTCATTCACGAAAGCGACATGAAAATTGAGCGAAATGATGTAAAATGATTTCCCACAGAAGAATGAAGAAAAGAAATGGAAATAAAAAATGAACAAGGCATGGAATAATTTTTTATGCTTGAGGCATGCGAAATTGTAGGAAGTCGAAGGAAGTCGGTTCTTTCTATAGAAAGGAAATAAAAAAACATTGAAAATTCATATCATATCTGCTATGCTTATCTGGCTCAATGCTTTAAAAACAGCACAAGACCAAGAACAATGATTTCTTTTTCTTGTTTTCTTTCTACATTTGCGTCGTTTAAATGTCTGCTTAGATATATAGCAGGTTTTGGTTTATGAAATTTCAAGTGAATGCCAATTTAGTGAATGTTTTTTGCTATCGTCATCTCTTGCCTTTTGGCTTCTTTGTTTATTTACATTCCATGACATCGAAAGATTGATTTTTGTTATATTTTTTGTTATTTTGATTAACGATGAAAAGTGAGAGTGAAAATGTCCACCAATAAACATTTTGCCTTGAATTGACGTTTATGATTGTGTCGTATTGACATTGCTCTGATGAGAGCTTTTTTAAAGCTTTTTTTTTGTGTTCTTTCTCTTTCTCCAACTCTGTTCCACTCCCTGACATGAATATTTTATAAACAATGATGTAAAAAAGACAACACAGAACGAATATCCAGGAAGTTTTATTTGAAACTCATGTCACTTCCTCCACGCTTACCAGAATTTAATGTCTCAATTCAACCTTTTATAGCGAACAAGTAAAATTTGTTGGTAAAATGAAGGAAATGCGGGATTTTTCTAACATTTCATAAATGGTTTAATCTTAATTAATGTGGATTAAAAAAAGATTCGTGACATTTTCTTCCTTCGTTGAAGGAAAGAAAAAAAAATTACAAAAGAAAACGAAACAAAAGCGAGACGAACGCGGAGTTTCATTTATTTATTTTTTTTAGGAGGGTAAGGAAACGAAATCACATCCTGTGAAAGTTACAAAGCGCGCGTGATGGCAAAAATAAGACCTTTCTCTTTTGAAAAATGACATAAACAAGATTTACTATCTTAAATATAAAATGTTCGAAGCTAAACGAAGAAATTGAGTTCAGTGCGAAGTGAATCATACAGCATGATGGTTACGTTCAAGAACTGATGGCACAGTCTCAGTCTTAATTCAATCTCTAGACATTCACGGCATAAACAATATTCATGTTGATGATTCTTGTTCTCGAGATAAATCAATAAAATTATTTTTAATTGTCTGGCGCTATTCATTAATCATTTAAAAAAGTGGAAAACGCTCTACTTTTTCAATGATATTCTTCATCATCCGTTCCCCCTTCTTTCTCACTCAAATTTAATTTATTATTTAATCACCACCGGATTTCGGGATAAAAAGGCAAAAACCCTCAAAATTAATTTGTTAGGAAACTTTTTTTCTTTCCCTTCCCAGCCGTGCTCTGAAAACCAAATCATCAAATGAGCTTTAATTGGTTTTCGGTGGTGATGTAAGGAGAAACATTTCTTATGATTACATTCTTTGCTCTATTCACCCATCGCTCTTTTAATGAATCTTCATTCATTCAACTGAATGATGGACATAAAAGCACCATTGGACCATGATAAAAGCAATATTTGTACGATAAGCGAATCATTGTCTTCTTCGACAATAATGGTGAAAGGAGAAAAATAAAAACGTCGACAATTTTTGACGTCAAAGACTGAAGTTCCCGGCCCTGAAAGCTTTTTCTAATTAATATTCAGCAAAAGATTCTTTCAGTATTCTCTTCTCTGAAATCTAACTCAGCTGTGACACATGCTTGTGAATCCCAAGAGAAAAACGGCACGAGTAACATAAAAAGAGAAGAAAAAATAAATTTAAATCCCAACACTTTTTCCTAGCGAAGAAGCATTGGAAATGCTTTAAAAACTTCTCCAAGGAAATAATATAGATATGTTTATGTATTAGAGAAGCTGACTTACATTCTTCTGTTGTCTCAATTTGTATGAAACTAACGTAAGAAAAGAAAGCAAATTATCTAGCATAACCCAGGATATAAATATTTGTAAGTAAGGAAAAGCACTAAGTAAGAAATACGTCTATTGAGTTTTATGATATATTTATACAAGTGCGTACTACTAGGACCCGATATTGCTGTTTACAGCCGCAACAAATATTCCTGAAGATGGAAGAATGAAAATATTGCATTATCAAAAAACGTCAAAAAAGAGCTTAGAGCATAAACCATCGCCTTCGATATTTACTAAGATAGCATAGCTGAATCTTTCTCCATATATTTTTCTTTTCTCTTTATAAGTCATTGGGGGATTTCATATTGAACAATTTGAGATAATCTTTTGCAACACTTTTTACCCCATTCATTCTCCTTTGTCGATGCCTCCTTGTGTGTATAAATTTTGATATAATGTATTATGTTCGGGCTCGTTATTTTGTATATTTTTTTGCTTTCTTCCTCTGTTTTTCATGCTCGTGTATTGTAAACGTAGAACGCTTGAAAAAAGATTGGCATATTTTCTGCACGATATCTTCTTTACGCTAAACGACTTGCTCCGAGTACTATCTCTAGTCAAAGTTTCACCAATGAATGCTTTGGGAAAATATGTTTGTGTTTCTTTTGTGTCTCGAAAGACTGTAACGCCGACGAGATCTATCACTGTTCAAAGGCGCTATTTTTCAAAATGGAAGTTGGAGGAGCATTAAGAAAAAATGAAATCAATGTTATTGTTGAAAATAAATAAGAAAGAAAATATTACGTGAGAGTAAACAATGGTAAGATGGGTGAAAAAAGACAAGAAATCTCTGAACAATGAAATATTACTTACTGTTGGGATTTCGCTTCATCAAATGGCTATTCACAATTCACTTTAAGAATAAAGAAGAACAAGGGAGAGAAACAAACCTTAACAACATATTATTCTTCTACCTTTTTGATGATACTTTAATGTGATTCAATTCAATCGAAGATATCCGTACAAGAGCTAAAGAACTTCAACAAACTTCGTCGTGTCTTTTTTTTACTTTTGTTCTTGTCTAAAATTCGTATGTTGCTCATTTAGCAAAAAGCATGAAAAGTTTCATTTCTTTTCTTTTTGTTTCTCCCACGCATCAATCTAGCATTCGATGAGATATATTCATGAAATATGATACGAGCATTTGGTAGTGAAGTTGAACAAACACCCGATAGCCTGTTTATATATAAAATGACATTTATGGCAATCTTTAAGGACGAATTGACTTTTATCTTGTTTAAATATCAGACAGTTTCAAGAAAACTTTTCTTTAAAAATGAAAATGATGTGAGAAAAAAGAAAGTTTTGGAAACTGCTTAGTTTGCAAGCAACTTCCGCACAAACGATAAATCTTTCACTCTCAATATTTAGATTTAATCTTAGAGAAGCAAAGTTAGTGAATAGAAAGATCTTTACATTCTGATAGGGAAGTAAGAAAGTCTAGCAATATTTTATGTTGAAGGGAGAGAAATGCTTGGGGCGGCGACTCGTCAAATAAATAAGTTTCATTTATTTTTCGCTAATTAATGAATACGCTAATTATTCGAGAATCAAAAGAAATAAACTTGTTAATATCAAATTTCTTGTGAAAAAGTAGAACAAACGACAATAAATCAATATCAATGATTTATTCAAGCTTTTTGTCTTCGCTGGCTGAAGAAACCAAACTGAATAGGAAAAAAATTCTCTTGGATCCGTTGCCGAAGCGATCTGAATGAATTATTATAACAAAACGGCGAAAAACAAGATTGAATGATAGCCACGAGAAAAAAAGAATGCAATTAATCACACAGGGGAATTTGTCTTCTTACACGGTTGATTTGAGCGCCAGACGCTTCCTCTGTGCTGCTGATGTCGAAGCAGTACAATTATATTATTTTTAGAAAAGCAAGAACAGCAGAGACTTTTGGAAAAATGTGACATTCCTTACAAAATATTTTTTTTTTGTCTCCTTACTTATATTTTCTTTTCTTAGTTTTACTTTATGTCATAATTTGTAGCTACAAAGTTCATCCCTTGAAGAGTGGTAAAAGATTTATATCAGTTTCGTCTCTTTCTTCTTCTTGACTAAAAAATCTTCTTTTCCCACATGAAATCTAAAACTTTTAATGCTGTAAATTATACGTTCGCTTGATTTAATTAAAAAAAATAACAGCAGCATTACATAAAATGTTCTCAGAAAATGAGATTTCATTGTCATGGAATTTAATTCCTTGCGCCTCATCCGCCCTGTTCACTCGCACCACTTTTCTAACGTTCTCGAAGAAGAAAAAAGTCATTTGTGCCATTCAAAATATAAAACATGTTTTGCAAATTATGAGGAAACACCAAAGCACGCTCTTGGTAATTGGCTGGCCACCCAATAGAGTCACAAGAACCAAAAAAAAATTTCAGTCATTATCAAACATAATTGATGTTGTGCTTTTTGCGAAAAGTAATTATTTAATTTAGTAAAACATACATCACGACAGGCATCAGTGGAACAAAGAGAGCTTTCTTTTTTTCTGGTGTGGGCGTTGGTGGGAAAGAAAAAAATTAACAAAGTGGCTTTATTACTTGTTATATTATTTACTCACAGCAAGCTCAAAATTTATCAAAGCTTATAAATCTACGTGGATTAAAAAATATTGTACGATGTAATTATTGCTGATATGTATGCGTTGTGTAAATATTCACATTAATTAAAGTGTCAAAATCAATAACCGACGGGAAAGCTTTGATTTGTTTAGAAAAGTGACAAGCATTTTGGCTCATATTCATGTTTAGAAGATTGTTAAGGTTTTTATCATGAAAACAAACTAAATCTTGACAAATGTTAACATGTCAAAGTTTGACGATGATTGTTATTGCCAAGATTAATTCACTGCGATTCATTTTTGTATTTAATCATGAACATTTAACGAAATTCCTATCAATAGTTCACTTTAAAAAAGCTTCTTTAACTTCATTTAAAATATTTATTTCGATTTAAAGTTATAAGAATACGTTTAAGTGCAGCATTTAATTCATGCTTCGTTTTTTAAGTAAACTGTCTTATAACTTATTCATGGAATACAGTCTGATGCAGAATTTTAATTTTTGATGTGAAAAACTTGTAAAATTGCATCTGTAAAGAGAATTCACTGAGCTTTTAGTACGATCATAAAAAAGTCAAAATATGTAGAAATTTTTTCCCATGTTTTCCTGTTTTTCTATCAGAAGTGTTTCTGTTTTTTTTCGATGTTATTAACTTGAATTTTATGAAGAGATGCCTTTGGGCTTTTTGCTCTCTACATATGTGTATATACTTATAGGATAAAATAATATAAAGATATTTATATTTATTTATGATGTTATGCTCGAAAAGCGATTATAATTCTTAATGTATAACGAACATATGATGTAATATGTTAAACACACGAAAAGCTGCTTCAAAAAATAGGAGGGATTTGAAATCATGTTGATTATGTAAACAGTTTTCGAGTATGAAGCGTGAGAGAATAAGAAGCAATTTTATTAAATTTTCCACCACTTGAAATTTATACACATCGCATCGAAAAAATAAATAAATATCTATAATGTAAGCAATTAAATTTATGCAGCAGATATAAGCGTTGTAATCAGATATTTTATGTAAAGTTATGTATGCTTTACATGTATCGTATGATGAGTACGGTAGTGGGCGATTATATTGACTGCTTTTATTTATATTTTGATATGTTTAATAATGTTGTTGATCGTTTGGACTTTGAATATTTTTTTAAACGGAACGGTCACGCTATTCAAAATTATCACAAATTTATGTAAAAACAACATTTTTGTCCATTTGTCTATACAAGAAATATTTTTCTACGTAATAAACACGTAATTCCTTAATCTCTTTCACTAAATGCTTTAATCACGCAATACAAATTTATTATCAAAGTAATTATACTAGTCATCATCATCATTATTCAGAATAACTTATGATTTTATGCTTCGCCATGAATAACCGACGTTAGGAATGGAGAAAAGCGCTTTTTTGTGTAGTGAGTGTTATAATTAGTATTAAACGTGATACACAAAAATATCTGTCGACTAACAAAGTTATTATTAAGCAGCAGTTTGTAGTGAATCTCAGTAAATAGTTACAATAAAAAGTGAAATATGTTAATATCTAAAGATAAAATTTTAACGCAATCACAACTGAGAAAGTTGGCAGAGCATAAATACAGCGTAGAATCGTATTCACTATTTGAGCCTTACCTTCAGGTATGCAAAACAAAATACAAATTATATACAAAGAATCGTTTAATGAAAGAGTGACTTAACATTTTAATTAACCGTAGTTCAAGGTTAAAAATATTGTAAATTAACTGAAAAATTCCTTTTGATTTCAAGAATAACAAGAAATAAAAAACTTTTTTGTAGCCTTATTGGAATTGGCTCGTCTCAAAAGTGCCATTGTGGTTGGCTCCAAATCTAATAACAATAATAGGCCTTCTCGTGAATATTTTAACAGCTTTGATACTCATGTATTATGACCCCGACGCAAAAGGAACACATGAACCACCAAGGTGGACATATTTACTATGTGCTGTTGGAATATTTGTTTATCAATCACTTGACGCAATCGGTGAGACATCTTTTCAAAGTCGACAACATAATTAAATTATGACGAGGAAATTTCTTTCACTTTAGATGGAAAACAAGCGAGAAGAACGGGATCTGCGACGCCGATGGGTGAACTTTTCGATCATGGGTAAAGAAAACGAATTGACAATTTATTCTTTGCTCATGGCATAAAATCGTTTAACGTAATCTCGTTTATCTATGCTTTCACGTAGATGCGACAGCATATCAACTGTATTCGTCGCTATTTCAACTTGCGTTTCAGTACAATTTGGAAACCACCCGAAGCTTATGTTCATAGAAGTTTTTTGCGTGTTCGCATTATTTTATTGTGCACATTGGCAAGCTTATGTGAGTGGTACACTTCACTTTGGGAAGATTGATGTGACGGAAGCTCAGTATGCGGTAATAACTATTCACGTTGTGACATTCTTTGTGGGCCCTCAAGTGTGGTCGAAAAAGATATTTGGGAAGTTTGAGCCATGGGTGTTTATTATTGGAATGACGATTATCACCGGATTCCTAGTCGTCAATGACTTCCTCTCAACGATTCAACGAGGTGGAAGCGGCAAAAATGGTTCGACCGTTGCTGGCACAAGCATATTATCACCAATTTTGCCTTTCTTATTCATCATCATTCCATCCTATGTAATCGCCATCAAATCAAAATCGGGAATTTACGATTCACATCCGACACTATACATGATAACATTCGGTATTCTATTTGCGAAAATCACCAACAAGCTTGTCATTGCGCATTTGTCAAAGAGTCAAATGGATATGAAAGATTCGGGGATGTTCGGCCCGACAATCCTTTTCCTAAATCAGTATTTCAACGATTTCATTCCGGAGTATTATGCGCTTTGGCTTGCCCTAGCTTGGGTGACATTTGATTTGCTATATTACTGTTCACATGTATGCTTCGAGATGTGCGACTTTATGAATATTAAATTGTTCACAATTCCCTATCCACCACCACCATCATCGAAGTCGTCTACAAAAAGCAACGTCAACAGTGCGACAAAATGAAGCGAATCTCGGAATTGAATCAAACACGGAAATGATTCTCATTTCACTTAAAAATTAATTAAATCATTCAACTCGATTCTTGCCTATTTCTCAAAAAATGACGATTATTTTTATGACGTAACCAAATAATAGAAAAAGAAATTATCGGCTATTGAAAATCTATAATAATTTTTATTTATAACTTTTTTTTTGGCTTTTGCACATATCTGTGCAATATCTGTCTGTAACGTGTCAAATTTTAATGATAAAATTTTATTTATATCCTCGAAATAGTAAAATTAAAATTTATTGATATTTTACTGTCAACATTTTAACTTTTAACCGTATTGCAAAAAAAAAAGCAAACAAACAATTGCTATGAGATAAAATTGAAAATCAACCGCAGTACAAGTTACCTACCAGTGTATCGAAATTAAAATAAGTGATGTGAGAAAATGTACATTTTGTGCAGCTTGCCTTAAACATTTTAAGTTGAACACAATGAAGATTTAATGCTATTTAAATGTTATTGATGAAAAAACTGTTTCAAGTTGAATAATCTCGAAGGAAATTCAGCTTCAACTTAATAAATTATTGGCATGAATAATTTTCGAATATTTTAATCGACCAATGTTCACTTCTATGTATAATTAAAAAAAGGAATTTTATGCCTTTAATATGAAATTAAAAGAAAATATTTATTTTTGCTTTAGGGAAGAAAAGTTATCTTCAACTGACTCATTTAGGGAACTTTTGGCAACGAAACTTTGTGCTTTTTATTTTATAAAAAGAGAAAACTTTATTCAGAATCTGTTTTACTTTTTGATTCGTAATATTCAAATATTGATTGAAATTTCAATGAATTCCAATTGGCAACATGAAACTTAATACTTTAGTCGTGCATGCATACATAAATTTATATAAATATTAAATTATTAATTAATTAAAATGTGAAAAAATGGAATCTCAATTGATTCATGCTTAAACATATTATTTCGGCCAAAAATTATTAAAAAATAAACTTTACGGTATGAATTGGTACTGTAAACTGAATTTTATTTCATTTGTAGATAATTAACTTGATTTCCATGATGTGAACCTCAATATTATGTGTTAAAGAGTAGAAAAACAAAATGCTTCAATAAATAACAAGAACAAAAATGGAAAACAACATTTTTCATTGAGTTTAAAGTCCTTTCCTTAATGCAACATAATTGTTAATAAACACAATTAACTGAAACATTTTTTTGTTCATTTCTCCAGAAATCACGAAAGGAATTTCAAAGCTCAAAGCATGAAAATGTCCAAATATTCAACTGGATAAAATAAAGTTAAGGGAAAACATTTTTCCTGTTCTGCTTTCTCTGCTTTTCAATTACAATTTGTGAAAGCACAAAGTGTTGTGATCTTGAAAATAAATTTCATTGTCGTCATCGCAACGCGAACTCAAGCGGAGAAGAAACACTTATCGTTATTAAAATAAATGTTAAAGAGAAGAACAAGCGACAAAGTAAAAGGGTCGACAATGTTAGAATGTTCAGCAATTGCCAACAATCGTCTCGAATATTATTTCGTTCGTAACTGCTTGCAGCCAGTAATCCTGACTCATTATATCTTCGACTTGAAGTGCCTTTCTCTCGTTTCCTTTCTCTTTAATTTGCCTTTTGTATATTTATAATAACTTTAGTCCCTTCCACAAAATTATCTTTGCACATAGCTTGAGACGTTCTTTTTTTCGGGTTGTAGCTTATGAAGTAAAAAGCTTCGAAGATATTTCAAGATCTTTAGGTTTTAACCAAATTTTACTTAAACAACAGAAGTCTAATCTCAAGTTTCATTAAGTATTCAAGGCTTGCGCTTTTGTACATTCAGAAGTTTCATTTAATTAGTGACATGACCGTAGATGAAAAGAATTCCTTTTACTTCTGAATTTTCACAGTTGAATGTTGTAACAAATGAAAGGAAAAGAAATGAAAAAATCCCATAAAAGTGAAGGCAGCGAGAAAAAAACCGCCTCTTGGCGTAAAATTAATTATACTATTTACCCTGATATTTACAAATCTTGAGACGTTAGAGAAAAGTAAATCCTCGTCTGAAGTTGAAATCGATTTTCACCAAAAGGAAGAAATGAAATTGTTATCTTTCAATCTAACGACTTTCCTTATTTTCTTCTATTTTTTCCTTCTATTGTCGTAAGACGTAACATTATTTCTTAGTAACAATAATAATAAGAAAGAATAAGATTCAATTCATTCCTGGAGGGCGGTGAATCAACCTGACGTCAAGTCATATATTAATGTGAAAAATTGATTAATAAACTGTTTCAAAGTAGAGTTTGTGTTGGCAATTTAAACAAAAATAATTTGTCACTGGTTTCCATTTTCAATTTAAGATGATTAGACTCGCGTGACATCATTTATTCTCCATAAGACCGATGAGAATAAATTAAATTAAAATAACGTTATTAAATCCGCGTCTCCATCTTTCTCATCCATCTCAATCTTCATTTCTTATTATTTTCTTCGGAGTCGAGTTGAATATCATTTCACAATTTTCGAGCGGAAGTTTGAACTTTGTTGCATGGTCTCGTTTTGCGATTTGAAAGAAGATTCACAATCATTTCCTCATGGTTCGTTCCTTTCTTTAGTGACGTGAATCACCGACACAATAATGCAATGAAAAGCCCTCGGAAAATTTTCTCCATTGTTCAATTATTTAAATGATGATCTTTTGAAACGACCGTCGCGGAAAATTCTCTCTTCGCTTCACCAATGCTCGGACGGTGGGACGGGTGGTAAAGTAAATATAAATTTTTAAATATAACGAGTAAAGTTCTGGCAGTAAGAAGAAAATTTCATTACAGCATCCTTAGCTGTTTAAAAAGCTTCAACAACTTTACTGAAAGTTTTAAAACTGTGTCGAGATGAGAACAGAATTCTTTTATGAAAATTTTCCGACCACAGCCGTTATTTATGTCGATATTTTCTGTTTTTAATCGATTCATGAGAAAGCAGAATGAAGGAGGGTGAATAAATAAATATCGAAAACGTAGAGAAGCTTGAGACATTATTAAATTACCATTTTCGCACTGGTGACGGTGTCATGGCGTGAAAATGAAAAGTTTCTGCTTTTTTTTGTTAATTTTTTATACACAGAGTGTGTCTGGTATTAAAATTGGTTTTTTGGGGAAACAGAGAATTCTTGTTGGGATTATGTTTCTGTTTTTGGTCAGTGTTAGGTCATGTTGTACCAAAACCGCAGATTATATTATTCCCACCTCATCCATAACTCGAACAAGCACATTAATGATTACCTTTCTCTCTTTTTTCATTTCAAACACGATGTGAAGTGATGCTGCTTGATGAGCTCATTCACCGAGTGTTGCATGACGCTCTTATGTCTGCGAAGATATCAAAAAAGAAAACTTTTCATTTATTGCTTTTTCCATTATGGAATTTTCTATTTTTATGTAGAATATATCGAAGTGAGAGTTTTGCAGACGTTCAAAGTTTATTGTTGTGTATGACAATTCCAAGGTTTTGGCAAAGATAAATGGCAATAGCGAATGACTCTTCTTATATCTTTGAAGAAGCATTTGGGATTTGTAACAGACTCTGATTCAGTTTTTCTTCTCTTTTTCTGTTTGAGATCAATAAAAGTTACCACAGCGTTTTTATTCCCCATTTGTATATGTGACTGAGTCTTTACTTTTTATTATTATTCCTTTTGAAACTCCTTCAAATTCGATTTGCTGTTCTTTCCTTGGGGGGTTAAGCCAGTATACGCGATAGTTTATATCAACGACGACTTTTCCGCAATGATTCTTCGACAAAGGTGAAACTTTTCACTGTGTTTGACATTTGAAACGACGATATTTTCTTTTCCTTCTATTGACGTTCTTACTTAGTTATCCCGATGTTTTCTTTTATTTTTATTTTCAACTCTCAACTTTCAACTCGTATATATTCTACACACATAAACACAGCAAAGCAAATATTTCATGACAGCTGAAGAGTGAAATTGTGTACTTTACTCAGCATCTTGTCTTGGGTTTTCTTTTAACTTCTACAGCTCAATTTGTTTTACGGCAATCGTCTTGTTGATGTGAAGACATGCATGCGAATATGGTTCGCTTATCACTGCTCATTTATTCGTTGTTACTAAACTTGTTAAAGCATTTTATAGTATCAACTTAAAATTCAACAGAGCACTAAGCGTCACGCAAGCTGTTAAAAGTTTGAAGGTGTTCAGAATTTAATTAAGGATCATGGTTGTGAAAAAGTTTTCTCCCATTTTTTTCTCTCCACATACATCAAACGACATTGTTACGAGTAGTGAAGTCAAGTAACATAAATTTATGTGGTTAAATATCGTTTATTCAGGTGTTGGATATATGCATGTTCGTTAAAAAAGAAATGTTTTGTCTGTTCTCCGTTGCGGTTCTTGTAAAAAAGTTTTGTGCGGTATGAGATAAATATTTAAAAGAACATCCGAGAGTTTTGGGACTTTGTCAGTTTCTGAATGTTCACAAAGTATGGCCAAAGTTTCGCATGAAGATTTCCAGATCCAACTCTGTTTGTGACAATGGTGGAAGTTACATTAACTCGACAATATTCTGTTTATAACGACGACAGGAAGTAAATGAGACAGCTGAAGAAAATTTGAAATCTTTTCATCAATCGAGAGAAGAGGAAGGAAAAAATCAATTTTAAATTTGTTACCTGTGTCTGAAATAGCTTTTCTGGTTTATTAAATAATTTTATTGATTTTCTTCTTCCACTCTCGTGAATAAGAAATATAAAATAAAAATGAGACTTTAACTGAAGTCTGTCAAATTATTTTTCCCTAAATAGAAAATTAACATCGGAATGTTAAAGAGCTTTGAGATTTACTTGAGATGTAATTATAATGAATTACAAATTGACGTTTATGCTTTCATCATTAGAGTGAAATCTTTAGATGGTAGGAAATATTTCTCAACCCGTCAGCAATTTTCCAACAACATTAAATCAAAACTGAAAACTTTCAACAATATATCATTTCTTCCATCACTTGTTTTCGTTCCAGAAATGTCTTAGTCGAAATGAAGCGAGGGGAAGATGAAAACTTTTCCTCTGTAAAATTGCGTATAATAATAATTATTATGACTCAACTTCCACTGAACATTTTTTTATGTAATAAAAATACTTTGAGCACTTCGAAACTTAGATTCAGTCGCCTGAAACTGTTCGTTGAGCGTGAAAAACTTTTATAATTATTCAAGCATTACGAAACTTTCTCGCAGTGACTCATCATGTAGTGAAATGAAAAGAAATCCTTTCAGCTTAAAACCTGTTATGAATATTCCGGAAAAATTAGTTTCTTTTGTAAAAGAATAATAGGAACGATTTTTCCGAGTGAATAGCTTCACTTAAATATGAAACTAAATATTGTCAAGGTGAGAACGTAGCTAAGTATTTAACTTATTTCTCATGGAAAGAATGAAAAGAAAAAGTTAAGTAAAATTTATTGCAAGCAATCATTCAAATTACACTTGTGCATGCTTGAAGCTTGACGTTGAGACGACAGCCAAGTGATCGTAATTCCGAAAGTTTTGCTTTATTTTTTATTCTTTGAAAACCTGTTGTGCTTTATTTATTCTAAAAAAAGAAAAAATTTATTGATCACAATACAATTTTCAAAGCTTTATTTTCAACGAGAAAATTCAGATGGAATCAATCGATTTTTCTTTCGAGTATTCTCACTTGAGGCATTATTTCATGGCTGGTGACAGCTTGTTGTATATAAATTTCACTTCACTTTGTTATTGCTGACGTTCAACTACAATTGATTCTCATTGTTAATTTCATCTTATTCTTCGTTCTAACTACCATTGTCCTTTTCACTGCAGGATTCTATTTTTGCAGACTTCACAACAATTTTTAACAAGAAAATGTTTTTCCTTGTACTTGAATGATGTTTGTCAACAATATCACATTTCCACTCATCCTTTTACATCTAGAAAATACATTTGTGGACAGTTATGTTATATCCTTTTAAATCTTTACACAAACAACCGGAGGTCAATTGATGACAAATTTTTTATCTTATTTCGAATGTAAGCAAAAATATCCTTCGGGGAATTTTCTTGCTTGCATTTTTCAGTTGTCACAGACAACGAGATTAAATGAAAAATTTCTATAATGCAATTACAGATTTTCGGAGAAGTCTTTCTTCTTCCTTTTCTCTAACTTATTTCCAACCATCTTGATTAAGTTTCAAACACTCTGAAAAAGGTTTTTGTATTTGGTGTGTTGTTTAAAGCTAGGCAGAGACAGAAATATGAGATTTTATGTTTTATGTTTCCACAGAAAAAAGAAAACGAGACAGAATGATAAAAAATCCAATTAATATGGTTTCAGGCAATGAAAATTTATCTATTTTCTCTCATCTCTCTTTTTTCATTTAGTTATACATTCATTTGGCTTCCTTTAATTTACCACACACAAAAAAGAGCTCAAGAACACAATTTTCATACATTTTTCAAATCTTTTTTCTTGTTTGAATAAAAGATTAGGTGCAATAAAATAAAACCCTCGAATGCACACTCGCAAAAGATGAGAAAGAATAAAAGAAATGTTTGGGAAGAAAGGAAAATCCATATCCAATTACGATCATTAGACATGAGCGAATAAAACATATATGTATCGGAAGAAAATAACATAGGACTTGACTGTATGTATGAGAATTAGAGCAACAGAATGAAAATCCAAATTGAATGTTTCCGAAACTCGTCTTGGTATTCTTTCATCTGCAGATTTGTCTGAAATCGATCGAAGGAGAAAAACGAAGGAAGATTGTGAAGTTTTGGGTGATAATGTGTTTGATGAGGCTTCGTTAAAAATGCTTTAAAGCTTTTCAATATCATCTCGAAATAAAGCGAAAATTGCTTTTGCTTCCTTCTAAACTTGCGATTTAATGTAATGAAAAAGAAGATTAAATTTCTCTTTTTTTTCTCTTAAAATCCATTAAAAAGATTTCGAGAAATTTCAGGTTCATTCTACCTTCTTTTTTTTACTGGTAACGTCAACGTTGAAGCTTATTTTAAATTGGAGATTGTGTTTAAGACACTTTTATAAGTTCTTACTACAACTGATGCATCTCATTTTAAAAATAAACGTTTTTGGCTTTATAAAAGCGTGAAGAAAATTGTTTCATGCCTGAAAACCGCTTAAATTCAATTATAATTTTCCCACCTTCCCGTTTCAACTCAAAAGCACACAAACACACATAGAACATTTTATAATTTGCACTCTTGCATAAACATTTATGCATGAAATATGAGAAAAAATGTTTTCTCATGTACGATAATGTAAAGCTTTTAATTTAACAAAATTTTATTTCATTAATTCCAGGTTTTGACCAACTTTACAAATTGTCGCAGTGCAGATTTCGTTTTGTAACGAGGATTCATTCATTCTGTGAAGGAAAAAAGATGAACGAAAAGATAAAAATCATTTTTGGATAGATGAGAGATAATTTTTTGGGACAACAATTTGAAGACTATAACTCTGAGTAGATTTGTCTATGACTACATAAAATACATATTAATAAACATCCTCATTCAGAGTAAGTGGCAAGAATAAATATAAATATAAAGAAAGAGGATCTAGCAAGAGAGCAAAGATTTAAATTGGGAGTGAATAATATCAATATTATTATTCTCCTAAGCCTTGCACAAACAAACACTCAATATTAAATTTTGTGAGTGGTTTCAACTAAGAGACGGAGAGAGAAAGAGTGTGCTGTGCTGCCTTTTTTTCCCCTCCTTACAAACTCTTAACATCGTACATCGTTGTCATCGCCCCACTTCGATAAACAATAATAGAAACTAGGCGAAAAATATCTCCGTATGTCGAGGAATAAATTCTCGTCACCATCCGCTTTTATCTCGAGCAGTTCAGTGAGTGGAGATTTTTATGTAAATGCGGCATTAAATCTGATATAAACAAGCTTGAAGCTGATATGATGAATAGAGATTGAGTGATTATTACATCAGCATAGCTACTATCTACACATCCTTTTTGTCATATTTCACACAAACGAAAGTGTATTGAAGTGGAAGAACGAAATTCATAATGAAATAACTTTAAAGTAATGTAATTATGTATGTTTAAAGTTAGTCATTAGAATACTGTGACAACTGAAATTAATCACCCGATTACTATCGCCATTAACTTAGGAAAATTAAAAACGTCGAATGTAATTAAATCAATTATCTATGGAGTGTCATTTATGAATAATGAATGAGAAGAGATAAAAGTAGAAATGGTCATTTCAATTGATATTTAAATTAAAATTTGTGCACTTTTGTAATCTCATTCGAATTTTCTCATTAAATAAAATCGAACAGAATAATAAACAAAAAGGTATATTTACCGTAAACATCGAAAGCAAATCATCAAAAAATTATCATCAGAACAAATTTTAACAGCAGCAGCTCATCGTCATTTTTGGAAATCAATTTAAAGTTGAATCAAAATCAATAGTCGATGGTTGAGTGTTTTCGATTTACCTTTTCCTGGAGGACACAAAAGTTGGAAAATATTCATGCGTGGGTGAAGGAATTTCAGAATAACGGCAAATATTTAAAACAAAGGAGCTTAGCAGCATAAGATCATCTCATAAATTGCATATTGTTAGATATTTCGACACAGCAGAAAACAAATCCTAAAAACATGGTGAGATAATATTTTAAGCTTTTTTGAATGAACAAAATTTTCTGTTTTTGTTTGCTTGAGTTATTTATAAAGTATTTCAACTTCTCCATCATAATAATGAAAGTTAAACAATTTTCATCGTTATGCAAGAACTGACAAATCTGATCTCCAAGTTTCAAATGATTCATTGAAGTTGAAGATGTGCTTCATTATTTTTCGAACTTTCATTTCGCTTCCATTAATTAAAAGTTTACTCATCTCTATTAATATGCACATATGTTAATATGAGAAAAGAATTTACCATAAAAAAGTTTGTAGACGATGTATTTTCTGTGTAAAATTAACATAAATATTTATGCTCACTGAGTAGATATCTGCATAAATTGAAAGTGTTTATATTCACAACACTTTACAGATTGAAATCCTCTGTTCATTAAGTATCATTTTACAGCAAAAAAAAATCAAAAAAAGTTAGAGCAATTTACTTGTCATGAAGTGAGATGAAAAGTTGACTTTTGTTTTGTCGACCAATTCGGAACCTTCATGTTTCCTTGAAACATGTGAAAATTTCATAACAACTTTTGATTATTTTTCTTTTTTAATCTATACCGATGTTAACAGTAATCGTATGACAAAGAAAAACATGGATGAAAGCTACCGCATACACAAACACATACAATTGGTGACATTTTCTAGAGAATTTGTGAATGGCGAAGCAGAAGAATGTCATGTTCAACATCTTATTTCTCTCCTTCCATCTCCACTTTTTTTTGCCATCATTTCATTTCTTCACGATAGTCGAAATGAATCGAGAAGGAATTGTACGAATGAGTTCGACGTGATCTTTGCTTTTTATGTTACTTCAATAGAATAATGATGAAGTAAAATGGATCGTGAAACATCAAATTTGCTTAATAGAAGCAAATGACGACAATTTCCCTAAAGATCCTTGAAACTTAATAAATGGAGAGAGACGAAAATTTTACAAGAATCATCATCTTACTACATTAACAAACATCTTTGCAATTCTTTCAAAATTGTTCAACAACATGTCGTTGATGGCAGCAGGTAGCGTGTGTCTGTTTATGCAACAGCTTTTTTCTCCAAAAGAAAACATTTATAACATCAGATATTAAATATTCAAAGGCTCCTAAAAAGCGCTCATCATTCATTTGAAATTTGAACATGGCATTATCTATGAAATGAAACCTTCTACAACGACCCACCATTAAGATATAATGAACTCATGAATAGTGAATTAGAAAGCAATATTAAGCGATCAATTTTCCGACCAAATAAAATAAGAAAAACAAGCAAAGCTTTTCCTTCCTCTCTAACACACCTCTAACTTGATTTGATTAATGATCATATCATTTTCTTTTGATAAAATTATTTACTCGCCCTTTTCCTAACTCCTAGATTTTATTTTATTTTTTTTCCATCTTTCTCCCATCTTTCTTTCTTTCTCTTCTTGATGGTGGAAGGGAGAAAAGTTTTTGTATTTGACACATTCTCGTTTGTGATACGCTTCAAGGAAATTTACCTGAAATTGGTGTTTTCTTTTTTTCTTTCTTGGGAAAGAAAGTCGTCTTCGTTTGATATCATGGGTGAAACTTTTCCTACGTCTTATTAATGGCTCAAGATAATGTACCTTCACCGTCAGCGTGCTTTCAAATTAGAAAGTTGCCTTTTAGGCTGAAAACAGAATAAACATCAAGAATACTTGTATTTACATTTCAACCTTTCATTTCTAACGGAACGAAACGAAACAAAACTAAATTTATGTTTTTGGAGTTGAAGGTTTTTTGGTTTCTGATTACTTTGACTTTATACGTGTGAAATGGAGAATTCTGAATTCAAAGTCTTAATTCTTAGTCTAAATTCATCTACATTAGAAAGCTATAAATATTTCAGGTTCGCTTTTATTTCGGGTGAAATTATCTGGAATCTGAAGCACAAGGAAAATTAATTCACAAGAAGCAAATGTTCGTGAAGAGAAACCATTTGAAGATTTATTAATATTAAAAGCATAATTCTCCGCCATTATACGCCAGCTTGTTTTTCTTTTAAAAGCTATTTTAATAGCGAAAACTTTTTTTTTGTGTGTGAACATCCATTTTCTTGCAAGCTTTTTTTCTATTCTACAATTCTACTTTTAAATTTCATCTGCCGCTAAGGGAAAAAGCAAGTAAAGAAAAAAGAAAACTGTCAGATTTATAACTGTGCTTTACATAAGAACTAAAAAGTGAGAGAAGAAATGACTTGACTTTAAAAAAAATGCGGTAAAAGCAAGAGAAAACCTTTACTTGCTACCTTTTTCTACACAATTCCACTGCTCGAATATAGAGTGAAAAGAACAGAAGGTCAAAATTTTCATAAAAACGAGCATGAAGTATGGGAAACTCTGAGGTTCTTGCGGCAATCAACCATAATAAATTAGGTATAAAGAACGCAGACAAAAAGGAAAAAAAGAAAACATGTGGTGAACTGTATTAAGCTTACCGATAATCAAACTAATGGAAAAGTATGATAAATGAATGAAATCATCTTTAATTTTAAACCGACAGCTAATAAACGACGAGGTAAGAAAAGTTTATGAACATAACAATCATTAAGGGCAGCACGAGTCAGAAATGTCAGAAGATACGGGAAAATAAAAAGTTTTTAATTACATTACATACTTGCTTGTTATGAAATGTTAATGATTTTTCTTTTATCTAATGCTTTTCCTGGTGATGATGAGGGTAATCTGATTATAGTGTTAGTATTATTAGAGAAATTTCCTACACGATGAATGAGAATAAAAACATTTTCTTTCTGGTGTGAAATTTTGATTTCAAGTTGAAAGAAAGTTTTGAGAATAAGATTTAGTTTCGCTAACAATTGAACTTGAAGTTGAAGAGTGAAACGAAAAACACGCTATTAAGCCATAATGAAGGGAAGTTTTGAAATGTTATGTCTTGTGAAAAGTTTTATTCAACAGATAACAGCTTCGATTTCATGGAGTTATTTTGTCGGTTATTTCGAGAAACTTTCTCAATGTGCCATTTTGATAAATTAGTCCACTGCCACATACATAGTTTCTTAACTGTTTATATCTCAGCGGTTGGAACTCCTCGAACATATAAAAAGAAAACTCGTTAAATTGAAGTATCTTACATTTATTGGCATGGAAGTATCTACATGTAATAAGTTCACCATTTTATGTTCTCTTAAAGCAACTTCACAACATGAAAATTATTGAGAAAAAATAAAACCAAACATGAAGAAATGATTTTTACAACGATGAGATAAACAAATAATTAATGTAATGAAAGGAGAAATAAAGCAAATAATTCATTCAATGAATCATAACGAAAACGACGTAATTCAACGATCTAAAAACCGCAAAAACCTCCGACACAATCCCATTAAAATGCATGCAACCGCGTAAAATTAATAGAGTAATCATAATAATTTATTATCAACTTATAATTGTGTGTGCATGCGCCATTAAGTTTGTACTACACCTCAGTTTAAGTATCTGTAAGGATGAGGAGTTGAGTGAGAGTTTTCTTTATTCTCTTGTAATTGTGCTTCATATTTGTTTTTCAGATCATCCGATGTGATAGAGTCGCTTGCGGCATTCTGTTCTTAACTCTCGTCACACTGATAAGTTCATGTAAAATTTCGGAATTTCCTTGCAAAAGTAATGGCCTCTGCCTTCCGCTTGACAAATATTGCGATGGCATTGATCATTGTGAGGATTTAAGTGACGAACCAAAATTTTGTACAGGTAAATATTTTGGATTTCGGAATGTACGGAGAAATTTTAATAAAATAAACCCAACAGTTTGTAATCGCACTTACTATGGAGATGTTGGACGAACTTATTCAATCCAAGTGCCAACACCACAATGGAATAGGATTCCATTCCTTTGTCATTTAACATTCACTGCTTCTGGTCACGAACAAGGAGACATCGTTCAGGTAATGAAATAAAATTATAAAAGATTTTTCATCCCATGCATCATTGCAATGCATTGCTGATAATTAGAATAAATAGAAAAATAATTGAAGTAAACAGCTAAAAGATATTTATGATTACACTTAATCAAGAAATGCAGAGAAGCATAAATTTGCTTATAGCAATTTCCCCTGCTGTGTAAAAAATCCCCGTCATCAGCAGTTCACAATCAGGCGCATACCATTTTCTTGTTTCCAACGGGAAAAGAACTTTGTAAATAATTTCAATCACACATGCATAAGAAATCTGTTTCCGATGCTCAAAGCAAAGCTTTCAAAGCAAAAAGAAAAGAGAAGAAGGGGAATAACTAGCGAATTCATGAATATTTCATAGCTTTGTACCTACATCGCTTTTCCTTTGAGATTTTACGAACCGTTATAAAAATTCTGAATATTTCTTCGATTGCCATTAGTTGCAAATAAAGCGATATTTAATATCTAACAGACGGTGCAACTTCTTCAACTTCCTCTCTGATTTGATTTCAATTTTTTCTTTGCTCTTTCTCGTATTTAAAATAGATTGATTTTCCATCATATCTTTAACTCTAACTTTTACAAATTTCCGTGATTTCCCATCACTGCAGATTGTGCTGTGAGTAATGTTTGATACCTGGAAAATCGTTGCAGTTATATGAAATCAAATTGGCAAATTTGTAATATATGAAGAAACCTTTGAAAGCTTTTCATTTATTTTGCATCCACATTTATGTCTTTGTCCTTATTTAATACATCTCAGTGAGATTTCCATCGTTCATGAAATTGAATCATATTGCGATTTATTTCGAGATGAAAGTATCAAATGAATCAGAATTGCAACAAAGAGCATAACATTATAAATTTACTTGCAAGGTTTTCCTTACTTTTCTGATTTATATACAGTGGAACTTCGATAAACAGCTACTTCAATAAACAGATATTTTTTTGTCCCCTTGAATCGAATTTGTATGAAAACTTGCCTCGATTAACTGATACCTCGATTAACTAATGCACCTTCAGCCATCTGTTTATCGAAGTTCCACTGTACAAGGCAATTATTGCTAGAAACTTTACAAAACATTTAATTTTTTTAACATTTTTAATTGGAATAATGGTGGAAAAGATTCATCAATATTCTTTAATAAACTTAAACAATATCAATGAATGAAGTTCAAAGTTAAGTTTCGAAACAACATCGGGAAACTGCTTCCAGATTTTTCCTCGAATCGCCATGTTTTAATGAGAAGCTTTTCCCTCAACGGTCTGTGCTCTTTTCAAGTCAGCTTAGCTGAGAAAGGAAGTTTTAATTAAGGTTGATGTGCTTTGTGTGAAAAACGCAAAGGAAGTTCATTCGATTTACTTATTTTCTTTGTGATATTTCTCTAATTTAATTTCATTTTATAAACATTAATTACCAAATGGAAATAAAAAAGCATTTCTGTTTAAATAAATTACATTTATGTCGTTACCTAGTTTCATATTTATTAGGAAATTTCTTATTTTTCACAGCAAAAAAATGTTTTGATTACCTTTTCCTTACATTTTCTAATTTTATTTATAAACTGGGGTGGATATATTTGTACATATGTTGATATGAAGGTTGTGTTTGCTTTAATGTCTAAGAATATGATGGAAGACTTCACAAATGTTTAAATTCTATTAAAAATATTAAGGTCATGAAAATATGAAACAACCTAAATATTTAAAATGATGAAAGCTGTTGACTTCATTTGGCTCGTTTGTGTTCCATCATTCTTGACATTGTTGTAAAATTTATTATCATTTCTAAATGGAAAATTTTGTTTTCTAAACTGACATCATCTTGCAGATGTAAATGTGTGTTTACATCTAAGTACACAAAACTGTTTACATTTAAATAAACTTCTCCCAGCATGTTATGGGGAAAACTTTCAATTACAAGTACAACTTTGAATTGCATGCTTCTATGCATGTGTCTGGTACTGAAAAAGTTTCTTTTATAAAAATATTTCTAAATAGAGAAGAGCAGCTGTGGTTAGAAGTAAATGTACCAGGGAAAAGGAATAATAAATCTCATTTCTCGAATGCCTAGAAACACAAGAAGTCTCTTAACTTTTATTTTAGATTTTATCCTTTATATTGTTCATTTCATTAATTCACTTTCAATTTATTGCGTTGAAAATACTTATGAGAAGGGAAAATAACAACAACAACAGCACTATTGGTTTTTCTTTCCCTCTTTCAAACATCACGTAGCAAGAAAATGAAGCTTGGGAAATTTACTAGACTTCTTCTTATGTGATAACTACATCGAAGCAGAAACGAATGAAAAAGTTTTTCTAAGACACTCAATTTAAATCTTAAACGAAAACACGATGTAAAAAGTTTTCTCCGAAAAGTTTGATGAATTTCGAAGCTTTTGGAATTAATTTCATGGTTCTTTGCTTGCTTTTCTCTCGTCGTATCGCATCGTGATGCAACATCAAAAATGTTTATGCACTTTATGAATGTGTTCGAAATTCTGAATAATTAACCATGAAATGCTTTCATTCAACAAACATCATTAAACTTTTAACAATTACTTTATTTTTCATTTCTCATTTCGAATGAAATGGGGTTCATTGTTGAATGAAATGAAACTAGCAAATGCCATTGTTGAGTGTTGAGTGGAAAAACTCCAACGAGTTGAAAAGAATATCTAAGTTCAAAAAATTTAAAGTCATTCTTTCGCCCTTTTTTCTTGCCTCAAACAAACAATGGTGTCACATATTTCTCTCATTTCATTTTTAAAAGCTAATAAATGTTGCTTCTAATATTTATTCACTCTTCAGATCATATTTGATGGCTTCACTGTTGGTAGATTTGACGAGGGTTCATCTGATAGTGACTTTGAAACAACAGATGCGAGTCTGATGTTGTCAACCTCTGGTGCTGAACTTCCAGGGTGTCCCGATGGATTTATGCAGGTATAGAGAAAAGAAATGAAGACAAACAGTCTCTTGAACTTTACCACCTAAAACCGAACCAGAAAAAAAAGAATGCTTGGATATGTATAGCAAATATCAAACTAATGGCAAAATCATTATATTTTTTCCTTTTTCTTGAACAGCTAAGTGAGTTGGGTCGTCCTTTCACTGGAGGTTCATGGTGTGGGACTGCTAGCGGGGTTCAGCAATATTTTAGTGAAACTTCAACAGTTACAGCATCTGTTAAGGTAAATTAGCCGAGCAAAAGCTCGTTATTGTAAATTCATATCATAGTGGAAAAGTAGAAGTTTTTCTCCGACCGCACACTTAAGAGTAAGCATTAATTTGATTCCATTCTCATCTTTTATCTCTCCATATTGCTTGTTTTTAAAACAAATGCTTTGCCAGGTGTTTCACGCACCATCAATTCAACAAGAAATACCTTTCGAGTTTCGTATTCGATATAAATTTCTGAGTCAAAGCGAAGCAGTTGTACGTTATGGGACGTCATCGGATCTTTTTGATCTCGGACGAGTTTCGCCAGGAACATATTGTACTCGGCAATTTGAAGAGTGTTCTCGTAACAAATGTCGCTTACAAAGTCCTAACTATCCAGGCATGTATCCACGTAATGTAACATGTTACTGGACAATCCGACAAAAGACTGTGCCTACATGTAAACATGCTATGATAGCTGTGAGTCAAGAGAATTCTCATAAATCACTCGTCAAACGTTCGATAGCGAGTCTAAACAAAACAGCACGAACTGTGCGAGCATGGTCAGGTGAGTTTTCAAAAAAAAAGTAATGAAAAACATAAAGAAAAAAACAAAACCATAAAAAGGAAAGTTTGTTGACTCTTCTTGAAGTTCAACCCAAAATACTTAAGTTGTAAATGGTAAAAGACAAGAAAAAACGAAAAAAAAGGAGAAAAGTTGATATCACATGGATACTTTATGTGTTCATCATCTCATCATTTATGTTTACTTCTCATTTAGACTGTACAGGCGAACGTGATCACTTAATATTTTACGATGGAAGCTCTACAAATGATCCAGTGTTGGCGAAGTTTTGTGGTGGTGATTGGCTGCCAAAAGTAGTATCAAGGTAATTATTATTGTGGATTTTGTTGTTAATGTGCCATTTAATTAATTACCAAAATGTCACACATTTAATGCAATGTTAAATAAAGTTTACGTCTGACTGTGGTATCTGAACTGATTTATGTTTCTCATTCATTTCTTTCTTACATCTTAACAGAGGTAGTGAAATGTTAATTGCCTTTCATTCATCACCATATTCCGCACCACTGCAGACAGGCACGCCAAACCGGGGCTTTGAACTTAATGTCGATGTTCTTTTTACGGATTCTGACTCGTATGACTTTGTACAGACGACGAAATGTGAATTTCACATAAATGCATCAAGTCCAGGTGAGAGAATTTTCCTTTTTTCTTTATTTACGAAATCACTTTGAAAACATTGAATAAACACGAGAGAAGTTTTGTTTACTTAATCCTTCATATTCGCACTTTTATAGCTGCATTTGGAAGTGTGAAGGCTTATGAGCTTTTAGACACTATCCTAATGGCAATAAATGCTGTAAATATGTAGATTCAAATCAGATTCTTTTCTCTTTTGTCTTCACACTCACCCTCTCGTGCTGAATAATTTAATATGATTTTAATATGAGATAAATATCATGAGCTTTTTTTTCGCTTGGATAAAGTTGGAGATGAGGGAAAATAAATCACATTTTTGTATTTTTTATTCTCATCTTTCTTGTATATGTTTTCTTTTTTATTTTATCTCCATGATGCCTTTAAACGATTTGCGGTTTAAAGGTTCCAAGAGCTTTATTATGACATATGCTGGCATAATCGCTTGTTGAGTGATATTGGAGATGGTAATAAAGAAAGCAAAGCTCAACTTGACACGGATATCGTAGAACTTATATGTCTTAGAGAGTTTAATATCAAGCAAATGCAAAATATATGAGCCAAAGGAAGGAAATTAACGAGTATTTAATATTAAAGTCAACAGAATGATACTGAAGTGCATTTGATGATTATTATTGAATTTAATGGCATTATCGCTCGTTCCATCTCAAATTGACTTTCCTTGTACATACATTTAGGTTTAATTACAACACTTAAGTGCACTTGAGAGAGTTTCTATTAAATTCAATTTACGAGAAGGAACTTTAAAGTGGAAAATGTTGCCAGTTGTCTTGTCAGTTTTAAGAACATTGCCATTAACTAAATTATATTGGCATCGATTTCTTACATTTACATTTCGATTGCCAAGTCTTTCCTTTCAACTCATTGCAGTATTTTTTTATTATGTTGGATTAAAAATTCTGAAATTAAATTAAAAATGAGAAGAATTTGCAAGTTGTTAAAGGTAGAAATAAATTGAAAAGTGCATTCAACATTTCAATTTGAAATGGAAGAAAGAAACGAAAACTTTTGTTCTTCAAAGATTTGCTTAAATGAAATCTTAAATTACGTTGATCTTTTGATGTTTCGTCAATGTGGAAAAGACAAAATAAATTCTCTTTCAAAGATCTTTTTAATCCAACAAAGTGACAAAGAAAAGGTTGACATGAAATGCAGTGAAAGTCATAAAAGACTCTCAGGCCCAATTTAATTTAAATTGAAAATTTTCTCTCTCTTTGGATGTAAATTATTTATATTAATCCACTTACAACATATGTATGCTTGCTTTTACCTTTCGACAACATCACTCGCTCTTTCCTTTCTTTCATTTTATTCAATCGTCTTTCTTTTATTGCCGTTCTTGCTAAATATAAATCTTCAAATGGCTTATTCCTACCTTTTTCACTTCTATCGCGGTAAATTGCTTTTGTAACCCCGAAAAAAAAGAAGAAAAATGTTCACAGACATTAAAATTCGGGGTATGAAGACTTTTGTATAAAGATTATATTTATGAGTCTTAAAGGACCGATAAATAATTTGCAAACAGGAAGAGATTATAAAGGTGCTGGGTGCGTGTATACAAACTGTTAGGTTGTAACATTCCGCTCGATGAATCGCCTTAAAAAAATCGTCGTTGTCACATAAAAACTTTTTATTTGATGGCTAATAAATTCCAATTTTTTTACCCGAGCATTGACTTTCTTAAAATCCAAAGTTTTTCAATGAAGACACATTGACTTAATCAAATCTAGTTCAATGATCATTTCAATCAATGAAGTCGAGGATTAATAAACAGAAAAAATATTTTAATTGGGATCGTTGACATCATGAAAAAAATTTCATTTTTATTTTCACTTGAAGACAGACATGGTCGATTTAATGTACCGCAAGATGCCACAAGAGAAAAGTTTGCAATCTACATACTTTGCTCGTTTTACTTTATATTGTCACGGTTTGTGCTTTGAGCTCGTTCCACCGTTCCAAGATACGCTTCAAATCCTGACCAGATTTAATTTACGATCTCACAAAGACAAATTTCATTTAACTTCTCGTGTTTACCTTTTTTTATTTGTGTGTTTTTCTTCCCCCATTCAATTTTTTAATTGCTTTCTTTTATCTTAAATCTATCCTTCATTATTCTTTTTAATGTCTTTCTTATGCAGATGACGTTATAATGTCGCAGAGAAATGGAAGAATGGGACGACTGTTGAGTCCACGACATACATTGCCACCGAATACGACATGCACCTACTATTTCCATGGCTTTCCTAATGACTTAATTTGGTTATCATTCACTAGTCATCATTTGCAGCTTTTACAGCCAGTTACGCATGATAACTTGACGGTATTTGGACAGGTGAGTAGCTTAAAGGCAATCAATTTATCGATACGTTGAATTCTAATTGAATCTCAATAGAGCGACCAGCCTTCGTCACATTGGATAGCGCGAATGAGATTATATGATAGTGTAGGCACACAAAATCCTAACAAATTGCAATCAACACCGTCGACAATTGGATTGTCATTGCAACAGCATCACCAACATCAACAACGCTTTAATATAACAAAATTAAAGCAAAGCAAAAATTACTATCGAGGCGAAGACACGAAAAATCCATACAATTATAAAGGATATAAATTCAACATGGAACAGTCATGGAATCCAGTCAATAATTACATCTATGGCCCGACTGTAAACAGCGTGTACAATCAACAAGATAAAGAAGCTCAAACCCACAAAAAACTGGAACGAATTTTGAATATTAATAGCATCAACAACCGTGATCGGGACAAAAATAAAATCAGCGACGAGCATGAAAGGGATTCTTTTGGCAAAATGAAAAATCGACCCGAAAAATTTTCCAATCGAAAACTCTTGGGTGAGTTTATTAACAATGAAGCGCCGAGATTATGTGACCACGCAATCGATGACTATCGCGTTGAAAGCATCAAAAAGCGTTTCTGTACGCCATTGGAGAGTTATGTTAGTACCGGGAGGGATATGGTGAGTTAATTTCGATATTTCTATTCATGCTTTCGGGCGAGAATCTTTTGAAATTGAGGTCACAGGAAAGATTTTCAGTTTCCATTTCCAGGGCTCGAAAACATTTCCAAAACAAATCTTTAAACATCTAAAGAAAATTAAACTTTTTATCTCTTTCAAATTCATGCCCTGTAAATGGCTTCAATTTGACTTCATCACCAAAATATTTCCCCAAAAAAAGAAGAAAAACTTTTTCATAAAATTAAAATAAATTTTCCTTTTTCACAGAAATTGGAATTTCATACAGCAACAGGAACGGCTTTGTATCCTTACTCGTTCTCAGCAAATTATGAATTCGTTGACACTGAAATGGGTGGTGATTTACTTGCTTTCGATGAAAACAATGAGGATGATAAGAAGATGGAAAGTGAATTTGCGCTTTGCTCGAGAACATTTAAAAGTCGACGTGGCGAATTTCGTTCACCTCGTAATGTTTTTCTTCATGGACGCGGTGGTGCGAAAAATTTAAGCTGTCTATACAGATTCGAAGCAAATGCCGGCGAACAGGTTGGTGTGGTGGTGCATGAAAGTGGAAATGACTTTCATTGATTTTTTTTGTTTGCTTTTTGTATATTTATGTAACTGAGAAGGTGGAAGATATCTAAGAAAAATGATAAAAAAATATCCTGAAACATAAGCGAGAAGCTACGACAATGAAAGAGAGATGATTAATTACTTTTTTATTCCACAGATCCGCATCACCCTCTACAATGTTTCATTTGGTGAGAGTGGCTTTTGTTCCACCGAAGCTGATATTCATACCGGTCGACCTCGATGTCAGTCTGGAGATGTTGTCGATTCTAATAATATTAATTTCAAATTGACTAATGACGACAATTCAAAAGTTCGTGAACTAAAAATTTATGATGTTCCCTATCCACATACAAGAGTTCAGATGGGATGCATTTGCGATAATCAATCAATCTTTTATAATCAACCTTTAACATTCCAATCAACTTCACCCACATTGGAATTGACGTTTATCGCTACAAAGCTCAACATAACTGAAGATTTTATGGATCTCTATTTCTATGCATCCTATGAGATTGTAAGGGTGCCAGATTGCCGTCATAGACACAAACTCACTGCCACTGGAGGTGAAGAGAATGCTTACTTCAACATCCGTAATTACGACAACAATTGCAATGGAATGGCTTGGCTTGTTGAAGCAAATAAACTAGATCACAGTTTATTCATTCAAACTTGGGGCACAATCTTACCTCAAAATCCAACGCCTGAAGAGCTTGCCAAATGCCAAACGAAAAATCGCTTGGTAATTTATTCAGGTCACACAATGGGAACAATTCGTATCATTTGTCCTGCGATTAAATCACCAGAATCACGACATTTATCGTTGAGAATATTCTCGGAAGATTGGATGAATTCCTTCACGCTTCCATCAAAGTAAGAAACTTTTTTTTTCGTTTCCTTCTTTTATTTTCTTTTCATGATTATTTGAATGATTATGTGGGTGTGCGAAGAGATTAAAGTATCTTTGTTCTATATGGGAAAATTTCAATAAATATCACTGATAAATCCACCCTCCACGCACATTAAAAGTAATCATTCGCTATGTTGATGTGCTAAGTTTGATGGGAAATAAATCATCAATTTACATTAATTTTCCAGGCCAATCAGTATGATTGTTGAACCGATACTGCGTGAACCAGGAAGTGTTTCCTTTTCGTGGTTGGAAATTCAGAGAACAAAAGCTTCACTTGTCCAACAAATTGATCAGCAAACGAACTTCACTGCCAATGAAACGTTATTGGAATTCGGATTGTATCCAAAGGATGGTGATTGTGAATATAAATGCCCTGAATTAGATGCTTGCATAGCGAGTAATTTATGGTGTGATGGTAATTGTTTAAGCACGCAAATATGTTCTTTTCAAAGCCTTTTCACATACCAATTTCTCTTCTTCCCTTCTTTCATTTTTCTCTATTTGCTTTAAGGCTATCCCAACTGCCCTTCGGGTTACGATGAATCTTCGAGTGAATGTGGTGCGACGAGAAAGTTATTAGAATTACCTGCTGGCTTATATGCTGTATTTGGATGCTTTGCAGCAGGAATTGCAGCTTGCCTTATATTTTGTATGGTTGGCATATCTCGCCGACAAAAAGATGTTCCCGAACCGAAGCAGCATCCATCACAGATCACCACACCGAACGGAACTTACACTTTGCCGAGAACAAATGGCGGCGACACATTGAAGAAGGATTCGTTGTTCTATAATCATGATCACGACTCCTGACATATGCTTCAACCGGTGGAATATGTGGACTACATTCATGTGGATCGTGAGACCACAGTGTGACCGCCGGATAGTGTTCAATATGAATCTTTTTACTACACAAATGAAATTATTGACTATGATAACTCAATTTACAACAATCATCGTCAACCAAATACGTTCACGAACAAATTTAATTATCTAGTTACGATTCTCTACATTTCTTTTAAACTGTTTATTGTTATGTAATTGAGATGAATCTATTCAATGATAATGAAACTTTATATGGATGATTAAATACACGATGGAGTATATTTTTTAATGAAGCATTCAAGATTGAAAGATTTTCATTGATTTCATTGGCATACATGCTAAGAACTTAACTAGACGAAAGTAACAACAAACAACGTCTAATCCTAGTTTTCAACTTTAATCTTTCATAAGAAACTTCGTGTATGTACATTGTTGTCCTTAAGAGACAAAAAACCTCCCCCAAAACTCTTCCTCAAACTAAACTTTAAATAAATAATAAAGAAACTTACAAACGATATTTAAATAAATAAATAAATGATGAAAAGAATGAATAGGAAATAAGAAAGAATCCAATTTGATAGTAAAATTAAAAGTAGTTTTAAAAAGGGATGAAGAGAAGGAATTCATAGATGATAAGTAAAATACTGGGAGAAAATGTTGAGAAACTTTCTGCTTTAATTTAATTATCCAAATTGTAAACTTTCACAAGTTAAGTTTTTCATCCTTGACATTTCAAATTAGTTGAACTTTATGAGTCTAAATTTTCTACCCCAAAAAGTGCATTTACTTCTTCAAACGCGATAATTATGAATTAATTAGTTAATTAATGAAATTATAAGGAAGAGAAATTGGTTCATGTTCATTTTATGGGAAAAGGAAGATTAAAAGCTTTAATATTTTATATGTTGTGAGAAACTTTTAATCACACACAGTTAGTGATCATTTAAGCAATCAAAAGATTATAATTTTGATCCTTTCATTCTTCCTTGATCGTCTCACGATGATGATGATGGTGAAATCTTGAAAACTTGAAATGAAAATAAAAATGATAAAGTTTTGATCTTTTAAGTTTCACGGTAAGTGAAACATTGGCACAATATGATGTATATTACACCACAAAGTGAATGTTTAATCACAACTTAAGCAAAAAGCAAAGGAAATAAATGCACAACCCGTTCCCTTTCACCCATATTTACGGATTAAGGGATTAAACTGAGAAATAAAATAAAGAAGAAAAATAGTAGATAAAAAATAAAAAGCTCTCGCAAACTTTAATGTTTAAATGGAATTTAGATGAGAAAATTTTCATTCATTTCATGCATGAACAGAATTTTTTCCGTACACACTTCAAAAGCAGGCGATATAGAAATGATTTAAGAAATTACTGAAATTTGAAGAATAAATGAAAGTAATTCAATTCCACTTAGTCTTATAGTGAAAACTTTCTAATTAAGGAATAAAAAATGAAAGAAATAAAGTTGAAGAAACATAAAATGAAAGTTCTCGTAGAACTTTGATTCTCAAAGAGGGAGATCAAAGTCTCTAGAGTTGAAAAATTGTAAATTGAGAATTATGAATGACCGAAAACCTTGTTAATAAAAAATGGAAAAGATCAATTCAAATTAAAGTCAGAAGTTTTAATGAATTTAACAGTTCTAGATTTTAAAAAAAATTAGAAATAAATCTTCACACTTTCTTCCCTACAGATTTGAATCACATATCGCTTTGAAGTCTCTCGAAAGTTACATTAAAATTTTCCGACAAGTTTTAACATTTTATTTGTCACAATTCAATATTTGATTACTCAATCATTTCATATCACATTTCCCAGAAGTATCTCTAACTTTAAATTTCATTAAAACATTTAATTAAAATCGTCATTTTAAGTTGCAACGTGATGAAAATTTAACGAAGCATAAAATTGTTTTAATAGACGATATCAATGAAAAAATTAAATTACATTTCAAAAAACGTGTTTCAAACTTCTGTTATTTTAAACTTTAAATCGCCATCTGGAATATTAACCATAACGCTTTTGATCTTCAAATCTGAATGGTGCCATTCAATTCGATAGTCACGAATCATTCTGGTTAATAATGCTTCAATCTCAAGTTCAGCAATTCTTCGACCAGCTAAATGGAATATATGTTAGGCAATCGATTAAAGATAGAAAATAATTTCGTAACTCACCACACATTCTCGGTCCGAATCCAAAGGGAATAAAACTAAATGGATTTGCATTCTTTACGCGTGGACATTCAGGATCAGTGTTGTCTTTAAGCCATCGTTCAGGAATAAATTTTCGCCCTTGCGGAAAGAATTGTTCATCATAATGGGCAAGCGTAGAGGCAACGACGATCTCCGTTCCTTTGGGTATTTGATAACCAGCCAAAGTTATATCCTTTCCTGCAGCTCGCGTGTTTGCTGCAGTGGGAGGGTATAGACGTATCCCTTCTTTAATAACTGCCCGTAAATATGGCATGTTTCTCATTTTTTCTGGTGTTAAATCATCAGATTTATTGGGTAAAATCTTCCTAAGTTCTTCTCTTAGTTTGTCTTGTTTATCTTGGTTCTTAGCCAAGCAATATAAGATGCCAATGGAAGCTGATGATGTTGCATCGACACCGGCAATCAATGAATCAACACACATTATAACAGCAGCATTCTTATTTATTTTTATAAGCTTCTCCAAAATACTCTCTTCATGATCATCTGCCTTTGGCTGTGCTTTTATATCTTCAATCGCTTTATCGACGTAATGTAGAATGATGCTGACAAAAACAACAATTCCAACTCTAAGATTTGCTTGTAACATCAAAGAAAAAATATTTTCTCACTTTGTCATCCCATCGTAAACTTCCATCAACTTCTTAAAAGCTTTTGTCTCGTAAAACTTCCAAACTGATGGATTAACTTCAAAGTCATATACGTCAGTCAAGAATGCTCTTATCAGCTGAATATAAGTTCAAAGAAAGTAACATTGCACTTGAATTAAAATGTTATTAATAGCACACTAATCTAATCATTAAACCTTTATCAACTTTTCAGCATTCTCGTCATGATAATTTTGATTTAAAATACCCAAACGACGGTTTAATGATATGCATGTTATTGACTCTAAACTCCACATGTTTATGTAGTCACCAAATTGTGCTGGCACTTCATTAGTCTCATCTCTTTTCGAAAGAATCCTTAAAATATTTACTTTCAAAAATAATCAGAAGAGTCTCTTAGTTAATCATTCTTACATCTCAACAAATTCCTTTGCAATTTCATCAACTTGCGGAATATAAAGCTTTACTGTTGTTGGCTTCAAAAGAACTGGATTGACAAGTGTTCTCATTTTATACCACTTTTCACCTTGTCTTTGAATATTCTTTGATAACCAAATTGAATAAAATTTAATAACTTATCAACTTACTCTGTAAATAAACTTCCGTAATCACCATAAATATCAGGTCGAATTGTTTTTCGATAATGTTGAAGTGTTTCGAAAGTTCGACGATATGGAATTGGACCCTCAAATCTGAACATTTTTTCGATATCTTTGACATTAAAAATCCAAACCATTTCTGGCGTAGCAAATATTGCTGGAAATTTCACGATATCTCCAAACTCTTCCCTCATTAGTCTGAAATATTTTTGAGTTACCAAACTTTTCTTATCATCACAATAATCTTACTTATGCATTTCATAAAATGATTTTTGAAAATATTTTCCACCAGGAAGAAATCTTCTGGTCAATTGAAATCTCGTAAATGCTGGAATGCTGCCATAAGGAAGTGCATCGATTTCTTCATTCTTAACTTTTGTATCAACTGATGGTTGTGCTTGAGCCACAAGACTTCGGGCATGCTGACCTAGACTTTGACTGTTCAAAAATATTTTCGCTCTTTCCAATGTTCGTAACATTTCAAATTAAGCCAATTTTTCAAGTCAGATCAATTCAAAGTCTTAATTGGAACTAAAATATTAGCGTAAAGACTTTAATTATCATGAAGTGCGATAAATAATTTAATCTTTTTCTAGATAAGAGAAGATTGCATTCAACTAGGCATTCTTGAACTTTATTTTTGTTTACACTTATCAAACATGTTTGTGAATACGCGAATTCTATCATATATTGTGGGTTGATATTAATTAGTGCTCAAATTCATTTGCAATAATTTAACGATCATTAGAAATTTGAAAATTTCAGGTGTTGCTACCTCACATTGTATTAACTTGATGTAACACTAACATTATCAAACGACATTCATTCTGCGCATGCTCTATCAGTTTTAGGCTTGCTAACGTTACAAAGCGAATAAAATTTTATGTCTCTCTTAACATAGCAAATACCACGTTGGTAATCTTTTAACAAACATTTTTCTACAAACTTTATTTTGCTTTACACTACGAGACGTAGGTATTTCATGTATTTGTCGTTCTTACTTTTTAGTTTTTAAGAGTTTCTCAAAGAGTTGTGTTGAATTTTTGTTTGTTCTTGGGACTTAAGCTATTTTGAAAGAGAGCAAGCTAGAATTAAGTCATCAATAACCCCTACAAAAAAAGAAATAAGAAAGTAGTGTAAAAAATCAAATCAAGCTTTTCTTCAAGTTCATTACAAAGAAAGTAAAAAATTATAAATCACAACAAAGTAAATTTATAGTTTGAGGCACGACAAGTAAAATCTCTAGAGTTGAAAAATTCCCAATTGAGAATTATGAATGACCGAAAACTTTGTTAATAAAAAATGAAAAAGATCAATTCAAATTAACGACAGAAATTTTAATGAATTTAACAGTTCTAGATTTCAGGAAAAACCGAAATAAATCTTCACACTTTCTTCCCTACAGATTT